ATGAGTACCCTCGCCTACATATGGGGAGCGATCAACAAGGAACCGGCCACCTCTGCTCGGGCATGGTTGCGATGGCGATCCTGTCATGTGGTTAGGGGACGAGTCAGCGACGCACCGGATGCCAGGTAAGGTAGCTTTGACATACATACATACACACATATTTGCATATTGGAGCCGAGGCCGCTTATTGATTCGTGCTTAGCCTAGCGTGGTCGCATCGATTATGTAGAGGGAGGAAAACGAAGACATGACATTTCCCAGGTTGAAGTGCGATGGAGATGGAACTGGGAACTCGGCAGATTGGATGGATACGCATGTGCGGTTGGATTTGTGGCCTCGACTGCGTGCGCTCGTGTAACCCCTCTGCGTGGACGGACGGCGGTGGGCGGTAAGGTAGAGTAGCACCTGAGGTTAAGCGGGTTAGGTTAGGTTGGGGAGGGGGTTAGCGACCTAAAATATGAGCAGACAGCAGGCTGGCTGGCTTTTGGGGTAAGCAGGTTAAGTACACGACGGCGAGCGCGCTTTAGGGAGGCTAGGTGCCCAAGGTGCCCGAGGCATGACTGCCCGGGTACCTGATATAGGCGACGTGGTACCTATGCACAGGTAGGTCTAGTAGGTACCTACATACGTAAGATGGCTAAGACGTTGGACGTTGGTATCCACCCCACCGTAATATACGGCACATATCGTCGTCTTCGGTCCCCTCTCTCTGGCCTCTCTAGGCGCGGGGTAGACAATACTGCCAGCCACACAGTACAACAGGAAGAAGATTGCCTGATACGGAACAGCGACAGGGACCCCAGAGAGAGAGAGAGGCCCAGAGACAGACGGACAGACAGACAGACAGAGCGAGAGAAAGAGAGAAAGAGAGAATGCAGACGGTACCGAAGCGGGCGACCGGGCCCTGCTGAAGGGGGAACCAACCCCAACGTGCGCTGTTTGCCTCCTCAACGTAGGTACATCCCCGCATATAAGCACATAGGCAAGGCCTCAGTCTGAGAACGGGCGGAAGGACGGCGGACGGGGGAATTCGAGCAAAAAGAGGAGGCAGAGAGGATGGGCTTACTCCGTGGCTGCAGCGGCGGCAAAGGGGTAACTGACCTGCCTAAAACCGGGGATAGAATTAGGTAGGTACCTAGGTATGTACTGTAGGTATTTATCGAGAACAAGTGTCGTGCCAAATAACCGACGTCCGTGGTTGGCGTGCATCCGGCCTTTCGCCCTTCTCTCTTCTCCCTGGGCATCTACCTAGGCTGGTCTTGATCCGAGGGCCCATCTAATTGCACTACACCACCACCTGCTGTGTTCTGAGTCTTATTGCGTGCCTGAGCGCGCAGGCATCTTATACAGATATATAATAGATATATATCAGATATGTGCGTACGTATATCATATCATATAACATAGCATGTTTGCATTCAGGTTTCCCGTACGCATCCCATTCCCCATGCGATATTCGGTCAGTCATCATGATTGTTCATGACAGGGCGCATTGAACGGCACTGGCTGGGTCGGCGGCCTGCTAGCTGGGTGTGTCCCTACATAGACACCTTACTTGGAGGCAACTATCTAGTTTAGGTAGAATGGGTGACGTTAAATATACTTCTTCTTAGCTGGAGGTAGGCCTGTGCACACCTAACAGCGCCTTGCGACCAAGGAGCAGGCACCTAATCCCTAAGGACTGGGACTCTCTGAAACCCCACCGCCTCCCGGTCCTTAGGGATTGAGGCGGGTATTTTGTTTGTACCATATGGAGCACCTGAGGTGGCCGGTGACGGTGTCGGCGCACAGCCAGAAAATGGGACAGTCACAATATCGATAAGGAATGGCCATACATATGAGTACCTATACTCCTCATCTGAATATTCAACTTTGACCGCATCGTCTCCTTTCGTGTCGTCTACGTGTAAGCAAGTAAGAGGTATATGTATGTAGATATGTATGAGGACCCTCGACATCACAGCGCAATGTGAAACCAATCTTGAACCCAGCCGAGAAAGAAGATAAGAGAGAAAGGCATTACCCCGGTTCTCTCATAGCGTCGATTAGTTCCGAGTCGCCGAATCACTACGCACATATCGGGGAGTCGTTACACCATGCCTACACCCATACATCCATCCATCCATCCATCCACCATACCGCATACACACCCACACCCACCCACACGCCCGCTCGCTCACGCAGACGCCGCTCGCTCGCTCGCTCACTTCGCTCACATGCACACTGCACACACCTAGACAAATTGAACGTGCCCTGCTTTGGCCAGAAAAAAAAAAAAAGAAAGAAAGAAAAGGGGAGGAGGAAGAAGAGGAGGAGGAGGGCGACAATAGGTACCTATTACTACCGCAGACCCAGACGGTCTCGGCCCAGAAAACGGACGCGCCAGCCCAAACGATGTCTCTTACCCTCCGAAGGAGAGAGCCAAGCTAAACCGCTAAACCCAGCCATGTTGGCACAAGGTCTCGTGTCCGGGTCGAGCGTCAAGCCAAACTAAAGGTTCCTTCGCGAATAGGATTCCAACTCGGAGCGAGGAATTCCCTCAATAGGCCCGGGCCAGTGCCTGTTCCGCATCCGCACCTACACAGATACGTGACGGCTTCCTGGTCTGTCAGGCCATCCGCGAACTCATTTGAGGGCCCATCCGCCTGGCCTGGTAGATACTTAACCAACCCGAGAATCCAGGGCTAGGCGTCTTCCCCCGTCTCTAGCACGGAACAGGTAGGCAGACAAAGTCAGCCAGGCAAATCGCGGACGCAATCAATCCAACCCATGCGCATGATTCCAGCGCTACTATGACATGCCCACTATGGATGGACGGGGGGGGGCCCCTAAGGTTGGTGGAGGAAGGGAAGGGACGCAATGGCGTTAAGCAGGCGGCACAATAGGTACCTCCTAACCTCCTAATACGCCAACCTTCCGGGCTATTTGTACCGGGCGTGTCATGTGTGTACATACCTACATACCTCCTAGAGGGTAGGTAGGTAGGAGGTAGGTACCTAAAAGCCTGCGCACGCAATCCCATCGCCTCCATTTATGAGGTGCGCAACCTAAAGGGCTGCCCGCCAACTTCTAGGCTCCCTGTCCGCACGGCCTCGCACACGCCTACCCTCGGGCTATGTAGGGCAGGTGGGCAGGTACCTCCCTAAGGTGTGGCCTGGCGTAGATGAGCCTACTCCCCGGTAGGCGCACAGTAGGTGCCTACCTGTAGGTAGGCATGTAGACGCGTACGGGCTGCACACGTATGAGCTGCGACATGATGATACCTATCTACCTAGGTATCGTATGTACCTAGCGAGGCAGCATGCCACGGGTGGTGTGCTACGGGGGGGCGTGCTAGGCAGCATGTACCTAGCCCGGCCTGGGTACCGTCCATCCCCCAAACCGTTTTGGCCGTATTCCCGCCCCTCGCTTCTTCTCTTCGACACAATTCACCTCCTGGCCACCGACCTACCTACCTACCTACCTACCTAATATTTACCCACACGCACCACTCTCCCACGGCGGGCCGTGTACCTACGCATTACATCCCCGTTACCTGCCTTGCCCTGCTCTGCTTGTGAATGGACCGCCCTCCGACCCTTTCACGTTACCCGACCGCCGCCATTGGATCGAGCAGCAGAGCAGGAAACAGAGACGGCGGCAGGTCACGCACGTACCTGGCAGAGCAGGTACCGCGCGTCGCATGCTACGTAACCGTAACCGGAGCCCCCTGCAACCGGCAGAGCCCAGGCCAGGTACCTTGGAGGTAGTCCGTAGCCGTGTGCGCGACCTGGCACCGTACGCACCGCACCAGACGGAGCCAGGTTCGCCATTCACATCACACTGGATGCACGTACGGTATGGGTAGGTATGGGTAGGTAGCTATGCACTATGGCGGGAGCAGGAGCAGGTGCGTTGCGTGGTATTTCATTTGCTACTTTCATCACCACTTACCAACTTCCTTGCCGACCTGCCTCGCTCTCCCTCCTCCCTCCCTCCCACTCTTCTCTCCTCTCTCCCACTCCCTCTTACCTGCTTGCCCTACGTAAAGTAAGCCAGCCGGGCCACCAGCCTTTTGTTCCCACCGACCTACCTGATCCTGACTTCCTCCTCTCTCTCCTCTTCTTTCTCTCCCTCTCCCTCTTCCTCTTCCCTCATACTTCCGCCCAGACTACACGCCTCGCCTACCTGCCTACCCTTCCTCGTCTGCCGCCTCCATACCACCTAACTGTCGACCGTCTACGTTCTCTCTTTCTACGGAAATAGGTTAGTTCTATACCTCCTTGTTATTGATTTGACCCGGGCCAGGTTCACCTTTCCCACTCCAAGTCCCCCCCCCCCCCCCCCCATCTCCCTTCAAGGCACCAGTCTGTTCCTCCTCCTCCCGCCGCAGAGCCAGGTCCGGCCAAAAAAGGGTGGAGGGAGAAGTAAGGAAGAACGAGGGGCTGGGGGAGAAGCGTGGAAAGAGAGAGAGCGAAGGGAGTAGAGGGGGAGAGGGAGAGGATAGGGAGAAAGTTTGGGAGAACGAGGGAGGAGAAAAAAAGAGAGAGAAGAGAGTGTGACTTTGACGACCTGGACCTGCGTTGGCGCCTCCTCTCCCTCTACCTGCTCAATCTTTCGGCCTGTCTTTCCCGTCCGCAACTCGCCTTCCTCCACGGTCTTCTCATCTTTCCCATGTTCGCCCGCCGTCTTCCCTCGCTTTCCGGCGCCTTTTGCGGCCTAGCCCAGCCACGGCCTACCCTGGCATCGGATCCCGATACATATCTTAGAGTCCACCCTACCTCCCCTCTCCACTCCCGAAGCATTTCCCTATTTTAATCCCCTCAAAATACCTAGAGCCTCTCCTCATGATACATGCTTATTCGTTCAGTAGTTCAGCAGTAAGGTAGCGGGCGGAGAAGCGAATCTGACGAGGCATCACGCGGAGATCGAGTATCGATCCATTCGCCTTCCCGCAGCAACGATATCACTATCGCCGATTAACTCCTTGGCGGGAAACCCAGCTGTCCGAGCCCACACCCACGCCCACATTCCCCCCTCCCAACGGGGATACCTCAGGCCATACCCGCCGTGCTCCCCTTTCCTCCCTTGCGCCGCACGGTCAACGAATGATTACGAGAAGGAGGATAATTAGAGGCCTCGATTATTCTACGGGTATTACCGCGATCGCGGCCACCTCCGCGCGCCGAGTCCGATCTACCGCGGTCGTCCAATTCACTGTGATTTGTCGAGCTATCTCGCCCGCCCCTCCCCTACCATACCTCGGCGTCTACGGTATAGCGCCACGCTCAGTCGGCCATACGCCAGCAATCGTCGCGAGATCAAGAGCGAGAGTGACGGCTGGCAGACCAAAGCCGCCACTCTCCGGAGCAAAGAAGAGCCATACCGAGCACAAAGAGCATGGATCCCTCAGCAATGGAGTTCGTCATGCACCATCCTGACCATGCTGGCACGGCCTCGTCTTCGCCGAACGTCGATCATGGCGCCCGCTCGGCTTGCCCGGCCTTGCGTGCTGCCGCCGAGCGTAATCAGCATTCGGCGCCTCGCCCATCCTTTCACTATGACCCCGTCCACGGCAATGCCCACGGCTTTTGGGAGGCCCCGCCGTCTTTGCCTCATGGTCGATGGCTACCTGACACTTTTCAGCCACCCGGTCCCCTCCCTCCCCACACGGGTCAATTCAGCCAATCCTTATACACCCCTGCGTTGGGCGGGTCGAGCCATTACAATTACCGGTATAGAACACCGATGTTGAGCCTGCAGAGAATCGGAGGCACGGCTCCCATTCAGCATAGTCACGGGAATTTCTCAGTGCCTAGTCAACCTCAGCCTCAGGCTGGATCCGGGAACGGAGTGGGGCCAGGGCCTCACGTCTCGAGGAATAGCACGCTGCCGCCTTTGAATCCTATGCCACCTCAGGGCCCGCCTCAGACTGCGACTCACAATCTACAGGCACCGACATTCATGTCAACCGCTCGTCCGGCTCAGCACCCTGGCCGGCAGAGCCCCCCTCCTTTTGTTCGCCAGAATAGCACCCCTTCGACATCCCTCCCACCCGCGGAAGTGGTCCTGTCTTCTTCCACTAGCAGAACTGGTCAACCCAGAGGTTCCCACTCCGGTAAGTTGTGTCCGTCGCAATCTATATATATATATATATAGATCCCTTGGGAAGGTAGGACGTGCTGCTGATGTGAATCACGCGCTAGCGTCGTCTTCTCCCCCTCGTCGACTGGCCGTAGGTAGCCAAGCGGAAAGCCAAGGCACCGCTTCCGAGACGCGCCGGAGGAGCCAGATTAGTCGAGGTCCTGCGCGGGCGTCGCCGCCCGGGTCTGATCTATCGAGCGACGAGGACTCGGACGCCGACGCCGTCGCGATATCCTTTTTAGAGGCTGCCGTATCCGGAGCCGGAACTCCCATGGGGGAAGATCGGGTCAGGGCTCACCAGATCATCAGGGGTGCTGCGTCGGGGAAGCGGGTGGCCTCACGAAAAGCTATCACCTCTCTCGAGAGCGTCAACATCGCGGACCTGCCGGAGAATGAGCGAAGTGAGTATACAACGCCAAGTAAGCCTGAGGTTTCCCAAGCTGATCCGGATGTTAGCCTGTGTCATCTGTTACAATGACTTTGGAGTCGAGACCCCCGAGGGAGTGAATGAGTCCCCACTACGTTTACCTAAGTGCAAGCACGTCTTTGGGGACCACTGTATCAAGAAGTGGTTCGAAGAGTCGGATAGTTGCCCATATTGCCGGGATAAGGTCCCCTCAGAGCCGCAGTATCCGCTAGGGATGAATTCTCAGGCCATCCACCGTTTCCTCCGCCACGCGAACCAGATGACGCACATGCATATGCGTCACTCCCGGGACCGCGAGCGAGGTGACGTAGACTCGTCGAATCGATCTCCTGGCATGGTCGCTGGCATTACGACTCTGGCATCGAGGTAATGAATTCGCAACATGATATAGGATGGTAGTTAGTGCTAACTAGCGATGCAGCGCCTTCACAGATCTGGACTACGGATTGGGAGACCCTACAGTAGCGGGTAGGAGAGGAGATGGCGCATCGGCGTACAACTCGCGAGCTTGGTACGGCCACACAGGCGAGCGCCACTCCCCGCACTCGTTCGGCGCGAGCGAGGCCACCGAGATGCGTCGGAGGACCCGCGCTCGTCATAGTAGCTTACGAGGACTCCCACCCACTCGGCCGCATTTCACGCAGTCTCCGACGAATAACACGCCTCAATCTCAGGTCGGTTCCCCCGATTACCTTACTCCCTTACCTCACTAGAACAATCCCCCTCCCCCCCTTTCTCTCTCTCTCCCTGTCGGTTGAAGCCGAATATAAGTGACAAAAACATTCGCTGACGGTTTGTTTGTCGTAGCCGTACCCCTGGCTTGGTAGACAGAACGCGGGCCACTCGCATGGTCATCGCCATTCCATGTCTTCGTCCAATGCGGCGGCGCGGCCGGCTTTCGACGGTAGCATCACCCCTTTCCCGTTCCAGCCACAGATAGGTGCGCCGCCCGAACCTTACCTGAACCCGTTGAACATCACGTCCGGTGGCGGTGTCGAGGAGTATGCCACGTTGCCGCATATGCGGTCGCATTACCCCCCGCCCTTGTCACCCACATTCGGAGGTCCAGAAGTGTATATGAACAACTCGGACGACAACATGCTCGGCGGGACAGGCGCCCACCAACAGTTGTAGGGATACCATTCGGCGGGAAGACGCGGGCTATTTAACTGAAGACGGCAGCACTACCAGTGGCAGACACAGGCATTCGTTCCCGATAGCAGTAGGCAACACGGAGTGAAGCTACCGGGTATGGGTTCGGGGTTGACATTTCTCCTTTTCTTGTGCATGCGACGTCTCACGAAAACTAATCCGCATAGAAATCTGCATCGCGTTTGATTTTCATACGCACGGCATCTGGTTTGGCTCGACTCAATGGGGCTGGTTCGAGGATCTTGCTAGGGCGGGTTTGGCGGGCTTCTCTTTTTTTTCTTTCTCAACTCAGTACCATCTATGTTGGGCGTTCAAGGAGTTTTACCCTAGGGGTAGTTAGGGTGGCAACATGACGACACGTACTTGTTTTGATTTGTCTACGGCCAATTCAAGTCGTGTCTCAATTTATATCTCACTATCCGAGGGGAGACAGGTGGTTATTGGGTCTGTGAGGTGGGCTCGTTCGGCTTGCCAGGGATGGACCGGATCGGTCTCGAGGCAAAGAGTTTGCAGAAGCATATGATCTCGCCGCAGTCGCTTTTAGCGCTCGGTTACTCCGCGATAACATAGGCAAGTAGATACCACAATCAAGCGCTATTATGCTGGACTATGCAGAGTGTCGAGAGGGTTGTGCCCCGACGCGGCGGTTCCGTCGCCTCAAGCAAGTTTTGAGGACTTGTCACGTGCGGAATCGGCCATTATCAAGCCTACTAGTACATCTGCAAGTCGTAGAATGTGGGCGTCTTCGTCTTGCGCAACAGGACTCGAGATAGGTAAGCCGAAGTTCTCTCATCTCTCTCTACAAAGAGAAAGAGGAAAAGAAAAGAACCTGGGCCCGGTAGCTTTAACTCTCGTACTAATTCCAGGTTTGAGTTAAGTCGACGAAAGGCGGCGAGTATGAGTGCATGGATTATACAATACAGGCTGACACCAAGCCACTAATTCTAGGTACCTACTTCTCCTGGATAAGGTACCTCCTCTAGGTAAGTAGGAATACGAACCTTAGTTATTACCCGAGGTAAAAGCCATTCTGATTTACTAAACTGGTACCCGCACACGTGCTAGTTCCTCTCTCCCTCTGTCTCTCTCTCTCTCTCTCTCTCTCTGTTTCGGGCACTTCCTCCCTTTCCTGCCCCCTGGAAGGAGATTAGAGAGGGTAAAACCAAAAAAATAAAAAAAAATAAAAAACCAGACATTCGACAGCGTCGCCACCTTGAAGTCGCTTTCCCTCCCCTCCTCCCACCTTCTTCGCTGACGGGGCAGGTAGGGGCGAAATGTAGGGCTGTATATATATGTGTGTGTGTGCAGATCCTATGCCGACAAGAATTCCGTAGGTGAGTAGATAGATAGGTAGGTAAGTACACAATAGTCTTTCGGATCCGACCTTGTGGGGAGGCGGGCGGGCGCACTCATGTATGTATATGACATGCGCGCAAACGGACGTCGAGATGTACGAGCATCCCGCCCTTGCGTCCACCCCTTACAGCTTGGCCGGCGCGCCGCGGCCGCCGCCGGCGCGCTCGCGGTCCAGCTCGCGGCGCGCGTCGCCGACGAGGCGCCAGGCGAAGGCGCCGAGGGCGGGGAAGGAGGCGGCGTGGGCGCGCGCGTCGGCGCTCGAGGCCTGGCGCCGCGCGACGCGCGCCGCGATGCCCTGGCAGATGGCGGCGAGCCGGAAGGTGCCGAAGGCGGCGGCCCACGCGACCTCGGCCGGCGTCGGGGACCAGGCGGCGGCGGCGGCGGCGGCCGACGAGGAGGAGGCCGAGGTGGCCGCCGCCACGTACCAGGACAGCAGGGTCGCGGGCTCCGGGATCCCGAGGGCGGCCCGCGACGAGGCGAGGAAGGCCGGGTTGGATATCGAGACGGAGGGGGCGGACGAGGAGGGCGAGGCGGAGGTGGAGGAAGCGGACGAGGAGGATAGCTCGGCGCTGAAGAAGGGGTACATGAGGTTGGCGAGGTCGCTGAGCGGGTGGCCGATGGTGCTCATCTCCCAGTCGAGGATGGCGGCGACGGCGGGGTCTTGTCCGTCCGCGGCGGCGGTGAAGATGAGGTTGTCGATCTTGTAGTCGCCGTGGATCAGCGCGGCGCGGTCCCGCGGCCGCCGCGACGCGTCGCCGAAGAAGGCGAGCAGCTCCGCCATGTGCGGGATCGGGCCCACCGCCGCGCCCGTCTCGGCGTCGCGCGTCTGCGCCTGCGCCTCGCAGATCTGCGTCCAGGTCGCGAGCTGGCGCTCGTAGAAGCTGGCGCGGCTACCGCCGCCGCCTTGCGCATTGTTCTTCTTGCCGCCGCCGCCGCCGAAGGACTCGAGGCCGACGGCGGCCGGGTCGACGCTGTGGAGGGCGGCCAGAGCCTCGACGGCGGCCTTCCAGAGCAGCGTGCGCTCGGCGGCGCCGCGGGCGTCGGGCATGGCCGGGTCCTCGAAGATGCGGCCGCCGACGAAGGTCATGACGTAGAAGGGGGTGCCGAGGACGGCCGAGTCCTCGCACAGGCAGAGCGCGCGGGGCACGGGGACGCGGTGGCGGCGCCGCGGCGGAGCGAGCTGCTCGTTGTGCTGCCCGAGCGCGCGGATCACGCGGTACTCGCGCTCGACCTTGTGCGCCGCCTGCGAGAGCAGCGCGCCCGCCGGCTTCTTCCGCAGCACGTAGCGCGACCCATCCACGGTCGAAGTCAACTGGTACGTCGGATTGGACTGTCCAAAGCCGAACTAGAGGAGCGGTGTCGTGTCAGCACGGCGTGGGCGTATGTGTGTGTATGCATGTAGGCATGTTTTTAACGCGTGACCGGTGGCCGGAAGGTATTTGTGTAGGCAGGGGATGCCATTGGCCGCGGCCGGGCACGTTGCGGCGGCGGGGGTGGGCTTGTCTGATCGGTGGGCAGGTCGAGGAGGCCGTCTCTGGGTCAACTCACCTGCTTGATGTCCAGCGGGAGCTTGATCTCGGGCACATTCTCGGTGATGTAGCGCTCGAGCGCCGCGGTGTCGATCGGATGCCTTACTTTGCCTGCCATGGCCGCCGAGTGCGTGTACGCGTCCGCCTCGTTTCCGGTAGACTTTATGGTAGGAGAGGTTCGCGATTAGGGGGGGTAATTCGTCCGTGCAGGCCGACCGAGTTAACTGGGCGTATGGTAGGCGCTTCTAAGTTCTGCACCGCGGCGCGCGTCGTAGATGGGTAAGCAAGTATAGACGACGTCATAGGCAGATATGGTCGACAGGGACCGACCGAGGGAGATGGCTAAGGGCGAATCACGGGGCGATACCGGCAAGCGAACGAAGACGGATAGATAGGAAAGGGAAGCGGGTTGGGAGGAGGGGAGGAGGGAGGAGGAAGAAAACGAAGGCCCGGTGGCCGGGCAGAGACACGGAACGAACCTATCGGAGCAGATCAGCCAGCCACCAATCTGGCCTGTCCCCTCGTTCGTCGCTTCGTTTGTTTGTTCGTAGGTTGCTATATTATGCGACGAACGCCGTCACGGAAGAAGAACAGAGGTGAAGCAATAAGGGAAGACGGATCGGCAGGGCGGCCTCGACGAACTGCATATATACGTCCTGGGTAGGCTATTTAGGTACCTAGGTTAGGAGGTACCTATTAAAAGGCTGGGCAGGTACCTCTACCTAGGAGGCGGGCTAGGCTAGGTGGTATTTGTAGGTGCTTAGGCGGGTGGTTAGGTACCTACCGACCTAAGTATAGACGGTCAGTACAGGCGAGCGAGTTACCGAAGGTACACATTCAGATGTAAGCCGCGCAGGCAAGTAGGGACCGGGTGTCTCAGGTACCTCCCGCGTCGCTGCATCGGCCGCTGCTACGTCAAGTCTGGGGATGCCGAGGTACCTAGGTAAAATAGAAACAAGCAGCAGCGCCGGCGGGTCGGATCGGCAGCTGGCTCGCTCCTCATTGGCCGACGGCGAGCTCCCCCCGTCTGCACCGACAGACTATTGCGGGGGAGGGGTAAGCAGTCTGTGTACCTATGTACAGTGCAGTATACCTACCTGATATAACTTACGATCATATACAAATGTGGACAGACGTGTAGAGACATAGGTAGGTAGAGACGTGAAGACCCAGGGACGTAGGGACGTAGGGTGGTTTGGTCAGTACCTGGTACCTCCCAGCGAGAAGGAGGCCGGCACGAGGCGGGATATTGCCTTAGGTAGTCTCTGCGTCGTCCGAGAGTGATCCGATCCGATCCCATCCCTAGTCCGTAGCGAAAGAACACCTTATGTAATCGACACCTGGTAACACCATGTACCTACCTCCTACCTTACCTAAAGGAGGTGACCCCTGAGGCTACAGGTACGTACCTGGTCGGGCCGGCTGGTCTGTGAACGTCTTTCCTAGCAGTACCTATGTGTATATTCCGACACCGTTCCTACATGCGCGTATCCCCGTCTTAACCTAACCTGCCTACGTACGCACCTTGGTAGGTAATCTTCTCCTCGCTACGACACGTGCACGAACGCCCTCTTCCTCTCCTTCTGCGCGCCCGAGGCGTCGTCGTCCCAGCCGTCGTCGACGTACTCGCTGACGCCCCGGTCGCGGATCTGGAGGTCCGCGATCCGGAGCGCCGCCATGTTGTACCCCATCTCGTCCTTGCGCCGCCGCAGCGTCTCTCGCAAGCTCACCCGGATGTCCTCGAGCATCGCCCGCATCCTCCGGCTGCCCACGATCTGCCGGTGGTGCGTCCGCAGCATGAAGAACAGCACCCGGCACGTCAGCGGCACGTTCAGCGACCGCGCCGCGAACCGCTGCACGAACGTGAACAACGCCGGCACCGACGTGAACGGCAGCACCAGCAGCGCGTCGTTGAGCGCCGCTGCCGCCGGCCGCTCCAGCACCTTCATCACGTATTCCTCCGCGCTGATCCCCCCGTGCGCCATGAACATCGGGTCGCGCTGCGGCGGCGCCAGGCCCGGGTTCGCCGCCTTCGCTTCTTCCCAATCTTTCACCACGTGCAGGTCCGCCATCCCCAACTCGAGTGCTTCCGCGATCCGTTCGCCGTAATTCAGCGTTTCCGATGTTTGCTTGGTTGCTGCCCCAATCTCCCCGTCTTCGCCCTCGACATCCTCCTCCTGCTCTACTGACTGCATCAGCGTGCTCTCGTACAGCTCCTCGATCTCCTTCTCCCTCTCTTCCTCGAGGAATATCTGCTCGTCCGTCTCTTCCCACACCCGGATGCTCTTGTCGTGACTAGCGCTGACGATGAAGGGGGGCTCGCTGCTTCGGCTGATCGCCAGTGCCCAGATTTCCCCGTGATGGCCGTTGAGCCGCTGTATCTGCTCGAATTTGTCGCCGTCCCAGTACTTGATTGTCCGGTCCTTGCTAGCGCTAAAGAAGTGGTGGCCGTTCCCTTCTCGGTTGTTCGGTAGGAATTTGACTTGGAGGATGCTATCTTGATGCGCCAGCAGCGCTTTGTGGCAGTCGCCGAAGTCGAGTCCCCATATCCTGACCGTCTTGTCCGCTGAGCATGTGGCGATCAACTTGCTGTCGTACGAGATGTCCATATCGAGCGCGGGCAATTTATGGCCGTAGAGGTTGAGGTATAATTTGAGCGAGTCTACGAAAAACACCTTGACCGTGCTGTCCAGCAGGGCCACGGCTAGGAGCTTCGCATCGGGGGAAAACTTCAGACTCAGAATGTCGTCCGAGACTTTCAACGTCCGCGCATGCGTCAGCTTTAAGCGCGGCGTCGTCCGAGTGGTTCCGAGAACTGGCTCCTGAACGACTTGGACCTTCCAGAATTTGGCTGACTTGTCCGCGCTCCCTGATACTATGGACCGGCCGTCCGGATGAACCTGCAAAGACCATACCGCGCCCTCGTGCGCGCTGACGGTGTCGAGCAGAGCGCCCGTCGCTACCTCGAATAGCTCGATCTCGCCGCTCTTTGTCCCAACGACTACAAGCTTGTCGCCGGGCAAGAACGCGCAGCACAGGGCATACCCGCACTCCAAGGTTTTGCCACACTTTTGCGTCAGCATGGACCAGATCTTGAGGCTTCCGTTAGATGCCGAAGCGAGCCACTTGTCGTCAGAACTCAAGGCTAGCGACCGGACATCCGCCCGATGGCCGGGAATTTCTATCGACAGCGATCTTTCGTAGTCAGGGACGCCGTCCTGCTTCGACCTTCCGCTCCTCTCCTTGAGAGGCATGTTGAACATTTCTAGTAGATTATTTGTCGTGGCGACCAGCAGCTGAAGCTTCTTCCCGCCCCGGATATCTGCCCAGTCGACCGATCTCACCTTCCCACCTGTCCGGACGATTAAATGTTGGGTGAAGGCGTCGGTTATTTCTGCCTTGTTAACGTCCTCTTCCTGGTCATCCTCCTCGTCTGGCGGGATCTCGCCGCTTTTGTCGCCGTCTTTCTTCTGGGATAGTTTTTCTCGTCTCCTCCTTTTCTTCCTCGCCATGCTCTTTTTTATTTCCGCCGCGCTGCGTATCCTCCATATCTCGACGGACTTCTCTGACCCGTGCACGGCGAAGTAGTCACGGCGGGGGTGAAAGATGATCTCGGTAGTTCTATCCTTCCCATGCCGGAATAATGTCCCCCGGTCTTGTAGATATTTCCTGTCGCCGGATATGTCAACCTGTCGCCTTGACGCGGCTAGCGAGATCGTATCTAGGGACCAAACTTTGAGTTCGCCGGCATTTCCCGCCGTGATGCATCCGCTATAATCCGGGGAGAGCCCTAACGCCCAACATTCGCCATTCGTCTGCGCTATATGGGTTTCGATACAGTGCCTTGATCCCAAGTCCCAGAGCTTAACCAGCGCATCCTTCCCCGTAGTCAACAGGAACCCCTCGGCCGACGAATCGTTTAGGCCATCGAGCACCATCGCCTGAGCACCGTCCTCCTCCGTGACCTCCTCCTGGGGTTCTACAAATTGTAGACCGGTGATTTGGTCCTTGTGCCCGCGCAGCTTGAATTGGCCGACCTCGGCTACCAGATCCCATATGATGACGTTCGTGTCTCTCGAGCCGCTCGCGAGCCGCACGCCGGATCGGTCGAACGCCAGGACGGTGATGGCAGAGCGGTGCCCATTAAAGGTAACGAACGGGCTCGGGTCCTTGCTCCGCCAAAGTCGGACACTTCCATCTTCGTAGCCGGCGGCGAACAGGTCATCGTTCACCTTACTCCGGGCAATAGCGGTGACTTGGGCCGAAGATTTCTCGTCCCTCCATCGTTCGACTATATCGCCCGTCTTGATATCCCAACACAGCAGCTCTTCATTGGCGGCAACGACTGCCTGGCCGGCGCCAGTGCTGGAGCGGGTCTGGGAGGTCCAGAGGATATTGGAGGTGCTAGACGTTACGAGGCCAAATGATTTCGAGTACTCGTATTTTCTAGGGTAGAATTTCGAGATTAGTATGGTATGTACATATCTATCTGTATATAATGCATTTTTTGATATATATCTGGAAATCTTCACTCACAGGTAGGACTTGACCATGGTTGCGACCGGCCTGAACTTGAGGTCTCAATACCCGTATGCAGCTGGGACAATGCCAGGTCTCGCATACAAAAGTAGGGGTTTTTTTTTGCCAATGGGAATTTCTTATCGGGTCTTATTATCGATAACAGGATAAGCTTGTGATAACAGCTGATAAGAAATGTTATCAGAAGTAGGTGTGCACAGACCTGGAGGAACCCCTTTGTTCTAGCGAAGCTACGTAACTGCATCAGCCCCACCAGATGCAACTCACCAAGGAACATCAACACCATGACCAGTACGGGCCGGACGGCTTTCCATCTATACCCAATACATCCATTTATTCCAACATCCTCAACAGCCCCAACTCCGGCGTCGTACGTAACCGCGCTCTTCTAGTCAACCCGGCCAGTCGCCTCTGCCCACCATGCTGCTTCTCGACTACCAGAACGTCCTGATACAATCTGTACTGGCCGAGAGATTCTCCGGGTGAGTCCGGTTGCCTGCAACCGCCCACCACACAAAGACAGACGTAGAAGGGAGAGCATCTGCAGGTCTAACAGCATAACCCCCTAGAGCTCCTCCCGCCTCCATCGACCAGACCGTTTCCGACTTCGACGGCGTCATCTTCCACATATCCACCCCCGAGTCCAAGACCCAGATCCTAGTTTCCATCCAGATCCGATGCTTCAAAGATCTCGTTAAGTATGGCGCTGAGCAGGTGCTCCAACGCGAGTATGGCCCTTATGTGGTAGCCGCCGAGACCGGCTACGATTTCTCAGTCCTGGTCGACCTCGAGAATCTACCAGCTGAAAAGGGTAAGAATTCCCGCAGGGTTGCGCCGGGGTGCGTGTGCGATGTTGACGGAGAATCTAGAGGCACGAGACGAACTGGTCAACAAGATCTCGTTGCTGAAGCGCAATGCCATGGCGGCGCCGTTCGAGCATGCCTATTCCGAGCATTACAAGCTGAAGGAGGCCGCTTCGAAGTACACGTCGGAGGAAGCGCCCCAGGGCGTCCGAGAAGGCGGTGAGGTGATGGCTATTCACTACCGCGACGAGGAGGCTATCTACGTGAAGGCGAGCCACGACCGCGTGACCGTCATCTTCAGCACCATCTTCCGCGAGGAGACGGACAGGGTGTTCGGGAAGGTCTTCATCCAAGAGTTCGTCGATGCGCGAAGGAGAGCGATCCAGAATGCGCCTCAGGTCTTGTTCATGAACGAGCCACCGCTGGAATTGCAGGGCGTTCCCGGCGTACAGGCCTCTGGCGGGGACGTCGGATATGTCACCTTCGGTACGCGAAGCGACACCCAGGATCTGCGAGGGAAACGATTGCTGACTCCTCGAAGTTCTGTTCCCGCGACATTTGACCCCCCAGCGGATGCCAGATGTCATCTCTCACATCCAGACCTTCCGCGACTACTTCCATTACCACATTAAGGCGTCTAAGGTACGGGCGGAGCAACTGAAACCAACCTCCTACTTATACTAACTCGAGGTACTTAGGCATATATTCACTCCCGTATGAGGCGGAGGACAGCAGATTTCCTCCAAGGTAAGATTGCATTCCTAGTTCAATCCTACTACACGTCCCTCACGGAGCTCGCACTTACCACTGCTTTTAGTGCTCCGAAGGGCCCGGCCAGAGAATGAGGAGAAAGAGAGGAAGACAGCAAGCGGAAGGACATTCAAGGTCCAAGGATCCTAGGATGGGTGCTTCTTACAGCTTTTTTCTTCACGCAACACGGCGACAATGCGTAACCTCATACCCCCACATGTGCAATGCCGACAGACAATGCCATGCCAAATGGAAGATTTTTTTTTTGGCTTCAATGCCTGCAGCCTATATAAGGTGAAACAATATGTTGTGAACTGAAGGATACAATCGCATTGCTCAACCCGCAACAACTTCAACATAGACAAGGGCAACAAAGCCATCGACTGCCAGCTTACGACGTCAAAGGAATACGAGCTTATAAACAACCCCGTCGATGGGCCGTACATGTGTAATTATTCAGAATATACACACCGCTCTGGAGACTCATACGTAGGTCCCCATATTTAATATTCCAAACATAGACACCTTCGCCCTCACGCAGCGAGGTCAAATTCTCCCGGTAGGTTGACCCCCCCTGACCCCTATTGTCTTATTTGTTTTGTTGGTACGCCCTCCGCAGAACACTATAAGCAGTCCGAGAGGGATCTCGCCGCGGGTGCTACATCCTCTAAGTCGTCATCGTCCTCGTCGCGAGCGTAGTTACGGTCTACGTCTAGTTGGCACCAACCTACCTCACCCGCCCCACCGTCAGTCTCAACCTCGCGATACCCACGCGCCCGCCCGCTCGCCCGCGCACATACCATATACATACATACGCACATACATATACGCATATACATAAAGAGAGCATAGCCAGCCCGGCCCGCCCGCCGTTGTCCCCAGCTCAAGAGTGCAAGATGTGCCAGTACGGGCGAACGGTGTTCGCGTGCAACCACTCGCAGGTGGGCACGTCGCGGGTGCAAGCGTGCACGGCGCAGCAGGAGTTCGAGTCGGGGCAGCGGGCGGAGCCGTGCGAGGCGGCGACGACGCACGCGCTGATGAGCGTGCGGGTGCCGCGAGCGTGCGTGGCGTGCGCCGAGCGCAAGGCCGCGACCGACCGCAAGTTCGAGGTCGTGCGCCACCACATGCTCGAGCTGCGCGGGCAGCTCGAGCGCCTGTACGACGGGTGCGTAGCGCAGGTCGAGGGGGGAGGCGAGGCGGAGAGCGAGGGGGCGAAGAAGACGAACGGAGAGGGGAAGGGAGAAGAGGCAGCAAACGGCACAAACGGCACGAAGGAAGAGAGAAACAAGGAGGGAGGAAAGGGGAAGCGAGCCGTGGGTGTGAACGGTAAGCGCCCCGACCGAGACTCGGCCCCGGGTTCGGCCCCGGACGCGGGCTCGGGCACGGATTCGGGCGCGAGCGTGGATCCGGTCGCGGAATTCCTGCGCAAGAAGCGGATGGAGCCCTACGCGCATCTCATGATGTTCTCGGATTACCTCAGATGATGGATAAAACGGCAAGGTGAGCTTTCTCTATTCCTCTTCGGATCCCTCTTTTTTTTTTCACACACAGAAGCCCCCGCCCCTCCCTAGCACATACGCCTATCGCTTGGTAAGGCCCAAGCCGCTGCGTAGTTTACGTGGATGGGATGGGGTAGAGAGGGGTTTCCTGAGTTTGTTGACTGACTTGGGGGAAAGGGAGGAGGACATCATAACGATTAGAGGACATACATAGACTATTGGCCCATATCACGAGTTGGTGTGCTCCACGCCTCTGAAGGCGCGGGAAAATGTGCATATAATTCTGTTCCCCTTTATGGCTATACCTAACTGTATTTGTATGAGAGTGAATGGAATAAGTGTGTAAGTGGGGAGTAAGTAGGTTGTGCAGGATGAGGAGAGAGATGAGGGACGAACAATGAGTGGAATAAGTCCGCAACCACGGCCCATTGCATGCATAGATGGATCAGGGTTGCGTGGGCAGAAGCGCACAATTCATTTCTCTTGATGGGATGGAAATTAAAAAATGGAAATAAAATGGAAGAAAAAAAGGGAGCAGAGAGAGTAAAACAAAAATAGAGACGAAATAAGGGATAGTTAGAAGAAAAATAAAATAAAATAAAAATGCCATGGAATTCAAAGAAGAGAGGATGCGTGTCAAGGCGGCTGGAGTTGGAAGGTGCGCCAGGGCCCAGCAAGGCGACCCCATCGCGGCAGCCGTCCGGCGTCCACGTATCACATGTGGGCAGGTTCGGCCCTGAGGCCAGCCACTGACCGCCTCTGCGCACGGACCACGCACGTGCTGGGTGCCCGAAGATGGTTCAAGTTGGCTCAAGTTGGCTCGCGCTGGGTCAAGTCGGCTGGAGCACGAGCCAATCAGCCCGGCCAGGCGCCACTGTGGCTCCGCTTGCCTGCCTGACCCTGCTTGTGACGGCCTCCCTGGCGATCCATTTATCGTCATCACCGCCATTATCTACCCAGCAGACCGCGTGGAAATCGAGCGACGGCGTCGACAGATAGAAACTACCAAAGCCACCGGAATCCCGCAGCGACCCAGCGACGCAGACACCGACCGGGGGGGCCTGGAAGAAGAGCAAGCAGAGACCAAGCGAGACCAGACCAGGGAGGAGACACATACGCAGGAGACAGAGACAGAGAGAGAGAGAGAAAGAAAGAGAGAGAAACGCACACGCCACTCCCCCTGCTACCGCCGCTCCCACCATCGCGACCCAAACACCACAACACCACTGTTATCACCAACCCAGCACCGCTTCCTGGCTCCTCTTCTCTCCATCATCCCACCTACCGTCGGAGCCAAACCCCTCAACCTGTCCCTCTTCTGGTCCTTAAATTGCCGATAGTTTCCCAGACAACAAATGACCCGGTGCTGACCTGGGGTGTACCGCTATCACCGACTGGACCCTTCTCGTCTCGTCGCTCGCCCCGTCCCGCCCTCTGTCCCGTGACAGTTGCATCAAAGTTCGAGCCATCTGTCCATCTCCCACGTCCATCCCATCCATTCTCCGGCATCCAGCCTCTCGCCGCGGCAGCAAACACCCCTTCCCGCCAACGTGACGCGAGCGAACGAGCAAGCACACGAGCAGACGTGTTGTCACACGAGCTTGTTACTCGAGACCGCTACCTACGCCCAACCAGGCACGCCTGAGCGCACCTCTCGAGTGTCGTTGATACGGCCCAATACCCAAACTACACACACAACCATGGATAGAGGAGACATTTGGATAGTTGACGCCTTGGAAGGTACGTGGCCTAGAATTATCTGTGCCCTAACCATCACCACCACCACCTTCTGTCCCGTTACCCATTTCCATCCATCCATCCATCCACCCATCCCGTCCCACCCACCAGCCAACCACCGTACCCGTGCCCACTTGCTAACCACGAACCCCTCTCTTCCCTCGCTCGCAGGCATCCTCCCCCCACAGGCTCTGACCCTCGTGCGGGACCACATCCAGCACCCGCAGCTCATCCTGCCCTCGCTCTGGGAGCAGACCTCGAAGCTCACCCACACGGTGGCGGCGTCGCTCTCGCCGCTGCTCTCGCCGCTGCTCGCCCGCGCCGTGCGCGCCCTGCACGACTCGCCCGACCTCGTCGTCCTCGCCTTCCTGCTCGCCGTGTTCGTGCTGGCGCTGCAGATCGTGTCGTGGATCCACCGCGCCGCCCTGCTCGCCGCCCGCCTTGCCTTCCGCGCCGCCGCCTGGGCTCTGCTCGCCGCCCTCGTCGCCGTCGTCTGGCGCCGCGGCCCCGAGGCCACCGCCCGCGACCTCGCCGTCCTCGTCGGCCGCCTCGCCGGCTACGCCGCCCTCGTCCGCGACATCTGGTGGTCCGAGTACCAGCGCTTCGACGCCCAGACCCGCCGCTCCGCCGCCGCCGGTGCTACGAGCGCCGCCGGCTACGGCCAGGGCGCTGGCGCCGCCGCCGGGTACACGAGGGCCGGCCGCGGCGGCTGGTGAAAGGGGCCAACCCGAGGTGGCGCGGTCGAGGGTCGCGACCGGCTGGCTGGCTGGCTAGCTACCTGGCTAGGCTGGCTTAGCACAGGGAGGGGGGCGAGCGAGAGTGGGTTGGATAGATGAAGGGTAAGAAAGGGTCTGGAACCGATAGAGAGAGAGAGAGAGACGGAGACAGACAGAGAGAGAAGATCTGGTGAGCAGAGAGGACTGGTTATCTTCCCTTGTGCGAGCGGGTGTGCGGGTATGGGGAAAATAAGCGGAAGGCAAGTGACGAATTGCTTATGAAGCAATCCGGGGGTTTAAGGGTCAACCGTACTGCGTATCCTGTCCCTTTTTTTGGTTTTTTTTTTCCGCGTCGGGACATAATTTTCTCGGGTTGTTCTTCTTGTCTCTCGCGTCTGTAGGGTTTCCATGTCGCGTCACGTCACGTCTAGGGAGTACAGCAGGTTAGGCAAGGGTTACAGGGAGGGTCACGAATTGATGATGGAGAGAAGAACCAAAAACAAGAGCTGCCTCCCCGCCGTCTACCGCGGGAGAAGGGGGGGAGGAGGGGGGGGCGCGCGGCCAAGCTGATGATAGGGGATAGCCATGGCACGAACACCGATCCAATTCCACCACACAAAGACGGAAACTGGAGCAGCCTCCCGTCGACATCGTGCATGTTGTGACTGGTGCCTAGGCCTCGTGTCATCAAAATGCGATTCAGTAAAAGGAGAGGCGAGACAGGACTACCCCCGAGGTCGCCGTCCCTCCTCCCCTATCTCGATGCCCACTCCTGAAGGGGTTATACATGCCCCTCTCCATGTTCTCTCCTGAACTAATAAGCACGTATGCATGTAAACGCCGTCGCTATGTGAGTATACACAACCAAATGCCCCTTTCCTCGCCATCCGTCCGTACACGGCCTACATTCTATAGGTGTATCCCTTTCCTTTACCCCTTCAATTCTCTCGTGGAACGCAACCCTATTATACTCCGCCCCCCGGAATCGGGGATTTACAAAGAGAACAAGACTCCGCGGACAGCCAACCAACCAACCATCCGATGCTCTCCCCCTCTCTCTCTATACGCCGCCTCTCCCCTTCGCCCCCTGGCTCTCTCGGCGTGGCGGAGACAGCCCACGCGACCCGGCTCAGCCGTCCATCTCGTCGTCGTCGTCGAACTCGTTGTCCTTGAGCTCGCGGGGCTCCTGGGCCTCGTGGTACTGGATGCAGTCGTCGATGTAGCTGAGGATGCCGGCGACGCTGTCCTCGTCCTGGACGTCGAGCTTGAGGTAGCTGACCATGCCGAAGCTCTCGATGAGGCGGGCGACGGCGCGGTTGAGGCGGCGGAAGCTGGCGCCGCGCATGACGGCGTCGCGGGCGGCGGGGTCGGCGGCGGCGGCAGCGTCGGCGTCGGCGTCGTCCCGGACGTCGGCGTCCTCCTGGGTGAGGCGGCGGGCGACCTCGGCCGGGTCGTCGTCGAGGAGGTCCGGGTCGGGGGTGAGGAAGCGCCTGAGGTCGCGGCGGCGGACCTGGTCGCGGACGAGGTCCATCTTGGAGAGGATGTTGAGGTGCGGCACCTCGAGCATGACCATGGCGCTCATGGCGCCGAGGGTGCCGGCGAAGAACTTGGGGCGGTCGACGAGGAAGGTGGCCTCGAGGAGGTAGGCGGCGCAGAGGCGCAGGTCGAGGGCGCCGGCGCGGGTGAGGAAGCGGACGAGCGCGGGCAGCACCGGCACGTGCGTGTACAGCTCGATCTGGCCCGGCATGTCGAAGAGCACGAGGTACTCCTCGGTGAGCGGCTCGAGCGCGTCCGCGAGGAAGTCCAGGTTCTCCAGCAGGAACTCGAAGCAGTACACCAGCCCGCCGTTGGGGCCGAGCCCCAGCTCCTCCATCACGTCCGCCAGCGACACCAGGTCCCGGATGTCCAGGTCCGGCGCGTGCTCGAACCGCTCCGCGGCCGGGTCCAGGTTCACGTAGAAGCACGACCGCCGGTTCAGCTGCAGGTGCGTGATCAAGGCGGCGCAGAAAGTGGACTGGAAAGGGTGGGGGGAGGCGGGGGGAAGAAGGGCCGGGCGCGGTTAGCGAGGGAGCTGCCCCAGAAAGAAGGAGGAGGCTTCAGATGCTGCCGGGGGCGTGTCCGCATACCTTGCCCGCCCCTGCAGGGCCCATCACCATCACGCCGAACTTGCTCATGGTTGTAGGGAGATCGGGTAGGTAGGTAGGTAAGGTAGGTAGGTCGGCCGGGAAAGGGACGGCGACACGGCTCCCTCTTAATTACTACCACCAAGCTTTTTTTTCTTCTTCTTTTCCACGTCAATAGGGACGACAGCGACTAGCTAGCTAGCTGGATCGGGCCAGCTGCTGACGGGGTGGGACAGGGGAAGCTAGGTAAGCCTCGCAGCTTCGGGTTCGGGTTCGGGGCAGTTCGTATGTAGTTGGCAGACGGGCAGGGATGGCTTCTGCGAGACTCGGTGCTCTCGGAGATGAATGAATCGAGGATGTCTCTGTTTTTTTCTTGGCCGCTTTCTCCTGGTGGAGGGGTTGAATGGATGGACGGGGGCGGCAGCAGGGAGAGGGGGTTGTGGGAGAAACATCGAAGGGTCCAAAGTGGGGCTCGTGGCTGGCCAAGTTATCTCGTAAGCCCCGCTTTAGTCGACGTGCTTCATGCCACTAACTATGATGTGCAACTAGCGGGGTGATATGCCAGCCAACCCTCCCCTTTCTCTCCCTACACGGACAGATAGATGATGTATGCGCGAATAGATACCTAATCTATCTCTTACCTGTCCGTCTTCTCCGATGTATTTCTTTTGCCTAGGTAGGCAATAGACGTAGGCCTAGTAGTGGCTCGTTGGCCCCATGTGCTACAACGCTACCCATTTATGCGCGTACAGAGCAGCACCCCTACATGTGTGGTGGCAGAATCCAGACCAGTCTGATCGTGGACGGGCCGCCGGTTACGGACCTCTCGCCTCTCGAGCAGCACGAGAGGCGGGTAGGGAAATCCGGGAAAGAGACAGATATGGGCATAGGGAGGATAGATAGAAGAGCTCAGAGAAGAGAAGGTCTAGTTGATCGGACGGACCCAGAAAAAAAAAGAGCGCCGTGCGTACAGGGTGTATTAGACACCTATCATGTAGGCATGGAACGATTTGCAGCGGACTCGTTGGCCAGCCTGCTATCGGCCGGGCGCTGTCTATTCGCGAGAGGAGAGGAAAATCAGATGCCGAAAGTCGACTGTCGCTTCGCACGCCTAATGCACGTTCCTGAGAGGGGCAACCGTGGCAAGTCAGGGATGGAATCCTGGAACCAACAATGGATAGGGAAAAAAGGAAGCGAAAGCACGCCGGCTACCCGTAAAGACCTAGGTGGGTAGGTTTCCGAGTTGGCCGGTTCTAATAAATCAATAAATCAATGCCTCCTATATGGGCTGTGACTGGATGAGGTTCCGTTCGGTGGTTGGGCGAATAACTAAGGCGCTTACATATAACTACCTAACCTAGCTACCTCCTAGGTAGGTAGGCATACATATGTATACGTTGGGTTCGAGTGCTTAAAGGCGCCAACGTTCTCCACTGAATCAGAGCTGAGATTATGTAGGTAACGGACTCGAGATGTCTCCCGTAAGCTGGTCGGAGCCCGGAAGAAGCTTGCGAGGATGCAAAGGTCTTGGAAGGACTTGAACTTTTGAAGGATGGATTTCCCGGTTGGATCTGCATAAGTGCCTGCTTACCTGCGGCGGCCGGTGAAGTCAAATAAGTCAGTCAACCAGGTGCATCGAAGATGAGGTTAGGTAACTTACTCACCTCCATCCCGAGTCGCGCTGGGATATACCCTCCATAGTTACGTCGTGTGCCCGTTCACAGTGTAGGTTAGGTGCCTGATACTTGTGTATGTAGGGATTCCAATTGTTGGGGCCCCCGTCGGCGGATGGATCGAAATACGTCGCCGCGACTAGCACTGAGGTATTGGCGGTACAATGGCATACCTACATCCCTGCGTAGTACACGCACCAGACAGACCTACATACAAAGACGTGCTGACAGGATTCCGCGGTAGGGAGGGCGCGAATATGCAGCACGCAATCTCACACATCTCACCTTGTCCGACCCGCGAAGAAGAGCCGGAATTGTACTGCCATACGGGGAGAGTCGTCGGCTCGTCGTTCGGGGCAGGTATTGATGGCGGCGAGTCGGCGGACCGACTGTCTGGGTGGTCATTTTCTCTGACTGGGCACGTAGGGCTAGGAGCCATCGCACCGCAGCAAGAGGAGGGAGAGAACATAGAGGGTAAGTGTTGTTGGTCGTACGCTTTGTGACGGGTATGTCAGTAGGAGGTAGATGTGTCGGCATAGGTAGGCAGGTTGGCGCGTAGGACGAGGCACGCAATGCATTCCACCTTATATACCTCATATACCTAACTCTGGCGTGAGTGCGCGTGTCTCTTCATACATACCTCATCTGCAAGTAAGACTCGTCACCGCCTCCTTGCCTTGTGGGTTGGTTGCAGAGGAGGTAGTTAGATACCTAGGTAGGTAGGTAAAGGTAGAGGTAGGGGTAGAGGTAGGCAGATAGCTGAGTTGAATGTAGCTGGCTATGCAGCTATGCAGTGTCCCTGCTCGACCTCGCCAGCGATGCGCCCCGATAATGCGATCTCTGCCGGATCATCTCTAGACAAGTCGAATTGACCCGATGGAGTTACTTTTGCCAGAGCTGGAATATCCGGCGCCATCACTCGAGAGAGTTACTCCGAGCCTCCCCCCTTCTGTATCAGGTCCTCGCCTCTTCCGTTGCCCGCGCAAGGCGGATCTTCCACGCTCCTCTTCCTGCTTCTTCCCAGCCCGCGAAAACTCCTGTGGGAGGGCCGCCCCCGCCACTGCCCATTCCCACCCGTCGCCTCTACACCCCGCTTAGAGGCATGCGTCGGTGTACTTCGCAGGTACTTTAGGCCGATGGGGAGGCGGGGCCGAGAGGTACCTACCTTGGGAGGTAGGTACCTACCCCACCTTCACGGTGCTGGTGAATCTCCAACCTCGCTCTAGGCATAGTGTATCTTAGGAGGGAGACAGAACCACGGCGATGTGCATTCTTTATATTATTTATATTATAGAGTTGGCATTTCTGTTTTATCTCTTTACTCAAACGCGCAACTATCCAGCCACAAGAGGCATATGCACACCGAGGGGGCTCGTCGGAGTTCGAGATGGTAGATGTGGCCGACACAATATGGACAGGTCCATTATCTGGGTGGGCGCGGGTACTGGAAGGTAGGCAGATAGGTACCTCCTAAGGCAGCCCAGGTACCGCCTTTAGGCTGGGGTTCGGGGTTGTCCCGCTACGTCGTTAGCGCGGTTCGGCAATAGTGTGGCAGGAATTGCGCCATTTCGCCTGCTATTGCACACTGCGCGGTATCTCGTGGGTACCCGTCACCAACAGGAACTCGGCGCACCGGGTACCTTCGAAGTACCTGCCGACAGGCGCCTGGCCAATGGCTAGTCCGAAACGGGAAGCGACCCAGATTCACCAGGTTGTCGGCCTGTTGGGATTTTCTCTTTTAAACCTTTCTTCCACCCCTCTTCCCTCTGATCCCCATCTTCCTCTCCTTCCCCCCCCTAATTATTCACTTCTACACAACGAAACGAGTGACGAGGCGAGACGACTCTTGGGCTTCAGGCTTTCTTCCTTTCCGTTCTCCTTCTGTCGACTAAATAGATCAGCAGTCTACCCTCTATACTTGTTCATCATCTCCTGCTCTATAGATTTCCTCTTCTTCCAGCAAAATGTCTGCCACCAACGGAGTCAACGGAGTCAATGGAGTCAGCTCCTTGACCAGCGCGCCTCGCAACCCGGGTGCTTTCCTCTTTACCGTAAGTCTCCGACATGTCTGGCCTGGGCAGCTCGCCCGCCTCTCGTCTCACAGCTAACTGGTCCTCGCAGTCCGAGTCTGTCGGCGAAGGTCACCCCGACAAGATCTGCGACCAGGTCTCGGATGCCATCCTCGATGCCTGTCTTGCCGAGGACCCCCTCTCCAAGGTGGCCTGCGAGTCGGCCACCAAGACGGGTCTGATCATGGTCTTCGGTGAGATCACCACCAAGGCCAACATCGACTACCAGAGCGTCATCCGGAATGCTATCAAGGATATCGGCTACGACTCGTCCGAGAAGGGTTTCGACTACAAGACCTGCAATGTCATGGTCGCCATCGAGCAACAGTCCGCCGATATCGCTCAGGGTCTCCACTACGAGAAGGCCCTCGAGGAGCTGGGTGCCGGTGACCAGGGTCTCATGTTCGGCTACGCCACCAACGAAACCCCCGAGCTCCACCCCCTCTCTCACCTGCTCGCCCACAAGCTCAACCAGGCCATGTCTGCCGCCCGCCGAGACGGAACCCTGCCCTGGCTCCGACCCGACACCAAGACCCAAATCACCATGGAATACAAGCACGACGGCGGCGCTGTCGTCCCCCTGAGAGTCCACACCGTTGTCATCTCCGCTCAGCACAGTGATGGCATCACCACGGAGCAGGTCCGAAAGGAGCTCAAGGAGAAGATCATTGACAAGGTCGTCCCTAAGCAGTTCATCGACGAGCACACTATCCTTCACGTAAGCAGCCTGCCCTCTCTTTCGGGCGCGTAATTTCGCCTCGCTAACTGTTTACAGCTCCAACCCAGCGGCCTCTTCATCATCGGTGGTCCTCAGGGTGACGCTGGCGTCACGGGCCGAAAGATCATCGTCGACACCTACGGCGGCTGGGGTGCCCACGGTGGCGGTGCCTTCTCGGGCAAGGACTTCTCCAAGGTCGACCGATCTGCTGCCTACCTGGCGCGGTGGGTAGCCAAGTCGCTCGTCGCCGCCGGCCTCGCTAAGCGAGCGCTGGTGCAGCTCAGCTACGCTATCGGCGTAGCCGAGCCCTGCTCCATCTACGTGGACTCGTACGGCACGTCGAGCAAGACGGCCGACGAGCTGGTCAACATCGTCCGGGCCAACTTCGACCTGCGACCTGGCGCTATCGCCAAGGAGCTTAACCTGATGCGCCCCATCTACAACCAAACGGCCAAGTTCGGCCACTTCGGCACCAACCAGGACTTCACCTGGGAGCAGCCCAAGGCGCTCAAGTTCTAATCTGCTGCCACATTCTAGACTTCCCGCGCTTGAGGGAAAGGGAGAGAGCGTTTTCTCGGATTTTAATAGCGGAAGAATCAACTTCTTTCTGCATTGCGATCGGCGTTGTCGGGTGTTATCTAGAGACATAATGGTTCCCTCATCGGAAAAATGTCACGAAAAAATATGGGCATGGTAGCATGGCGTACGGTTTCAACATACCCGGTTTACAGGCAAAGGCACAGTGATAATGTGGCTGGCAGGCATCCAAGGGAGGGTGGGTGGTGGGGATGGCAATCATCGGCCAGATACGTCGGTGACGGATAAATATATCCGCATTGCTTATTTCAACACGGCAATATATCATGTCGAAGTACCCAACCAAAGCATGATACCATTAAATGAGAGAAGTCGTGATCTCCCGAGCTGATTTTTTTTTTCTTCTGCCGTTGAGCTCCTATACCTACGTGAAGATTTATCTGTTGACTTTTCCTTCCCAGTTCTTCCCCTTCTCTCATTTAGCCTCCGACTCTGCCTCCGTCCCCATCTCATGCTGAGTTTTTATGAGGGGTTTTCTACTGTCAGGACGAAGCAGGGTTTTTCTCTTCGAGACCCTGTCTCTCCCGATCCTGCTTCCTCGCGCGACGCCGTCTATCCGTTATCCGTCTTCTCCCCCCCCTCTCCCTCTCTGCGTACCGAAGGCGCAGAAAGTGACGACAATGCTACCGACGGAGCCCTGTCCTGCCCTACCCTGCCCGACTCAGCGCCTCTCTTCTCTTTGTTTGTTTCCCCCACGTCAAGTCAGTTTGGTCAGTAAGACCGGACGAGTCCGAAAGACAAGCACAGCAGGACCGCACACACGCCAAGCGCGGACCAGCTCCTGGCTCCGCCAGGTAAAGTGTTTGAGAGTAATGTCAAAGGTAGTCAACACTTATTCGCTCGCCCGCTGCCTGGCTTTCCGTCGGGCGGGAAAAATAAAAGAGAAATTCAAGGGAGGAAGAGGAGGAGACAAAAGTTAGATTCTATAGTCGCCCCGGTCTATGGAGCTCTGTCCACTCTACCGTGCCCCTGCCCTGCCTCCCGCCGCCGGCTCCCCGAAACGCGGCCCGATGCCTCGCCGTACCTATTCCTTTTTCTTCTTCTCCTTCTTCTTTTCCAAACCCCCCTGCCGGCACCCGCTCCGGCCCCCCGCGTTGTGCGTGTATGTTAGTGAGTTTGTGTGTGGCTGTGCAGTCCTGCCCCTCTCCATCTCCCTCTCAGAACACCCGCGATTCTGTCCCCCGTCCTTCTTTTCCCTCTTCCTCTTCTCACTCGCGCCGGCGCTCCTAGTCTTTCTCTTCTTGTCCTTCTCTCTCTCTCTCTCTCTCTTTCTCTCAACTCTCCGTCCTCGTCCCCATCTCCAGGCGTTTGCCTAACCCCCCCGCTTCCCTCTACCCACACCCCAGAGTTCTCGCGCCGGCGAAGGGGGGGGGGGGGGCAGACGCTCAGGAGCGCTCTCGCCGCGGGGCGCCCCGGCGGCGGCGGCGCGTGCGGCGCTGGGAGCGCGCGCGCGGCGAGCCGGCGGTGGCGGTGCCGGCGGAGGACCGGGAGGAGGAGCGCGAGCGCGAGCGGGGCGGGGGGGAGGAAGAGCGCGACGGCGACGGGTACCGGTGCGCGGGCAGCAGCGACAGGAGCGCGAGGAAGTCGGTCTGGAACGGGGTGGCGGGGGGCGGGGACGGCGAGGGTGACGGCGACGGCGACGGCGCCGAGGTCGAGAGCGTGGCCGTCGAGGACGTCAGGGAGGGTGGCGAGCGCGGCGACGACGGGGACCCGCCGCTGCGGGCTGGCGCGGGCGACGGCGAGGGTGAGGGCGAGGGCGTCGGCGTCGGCGTCGAGGCCCCCGACGCGCACGCGTGCCCGTCTGGCGCTGCGGACGCGGTCCGGTCGCCTGCCGCGTCGTCCGGGCTGCTGTTCTCGCTGGCGCTGGTGCTGGCGATGCCGGTGGCAGCGTCGGGTTCGGCCCCGAAGACGGCGACGCGCGGTGGTTGCGAGGGGGGCGGCATGGCTGCTGCTGGGGTTGGGTCTGCTTGTTTTCTTTTTCTCTTCTCCCTCCCTTCTTCTTCCTCTCTCTTCTCTCTTCTCTCTTCGCCGTATCTGTCCCCGCTCAGCCCCTCGGCCCCCTTTTCTCGCTCGCCTCCCGCCTCGACCTCCTGCTAGCGCCCCAGACGCGTGCGTTCTCGGACGGTTGGCCCTCCCGCTTGGCGGCTGCGACGCTTGGGTCGCGACGGGACCGCTCTGCGCCCTCCCGGCCGTCCCTCGTGTGCTGAGGCGGCTCGTGTCGGCGGATCGGCACCCCCGGATGCCGCCGCGATACGCGGTCGGATATCTCGGCGTACCTCGCAGGGCGGTTCGAGAATACACGGCTCGCCCAGATCTCGGTGCGGAGGCGTGCTGGGCCTGTCTGGTAGTCGGCAGCGAGGCTCTGTCAACTAAGGCACGGCGCCACACCCTAGTCTGCTATTGGCGAACGCGTCGGGTCGAGGAAGCCCCCCAGCTTTCGGCGATACAGCGGCGGCGCTAGGTTGCCAGGTGTGTATGGTTGTATGTATTTATCTTGGAATATCCCTGGCAGATAGTGGAATAGTTGTGTATATATATATAAGTGTACTGTATATGCAGATAACTTAGGGGCTTTCAGGGATGAGCGAGCGTAGAGGGAATTGGACAGGAAGCAGGACAGCTTCGCATGCTAAGCGAGGCTATCCGACGAGATATCAGATATTATGGGGAGATACGTATATTTCAAGTAGCGGATCAATAGTCGAGCGGCGGCGAGTCCTAGCAGATATGTGACAGCTCGAGGGGGACAGGCGACGGTAGGCTGCCAGGCTTAGTGTATACACTTATACGGCGGCGCCGAATCCCGTCGGGATTTGAGCGACCGGTTGCTCGTCGCGCGTATAGGCCAGGAGGCAGTAGCCCCTGATCCGCCTCTATAGGGAGACCGACTATATGACGTTTGAGCGCGGTACAAAGTCCGACGACGCACGACGCCGCAATACGTTGCCACCACTTCTCTCTCTCTCTCTCTCTCTCTCTCTCCTTCCCCCCTCCGATTCGTGGGGTGAGTCCGGCTAGATCTGCCTATCGATCTTGGCCCTCATTACCTCTCTTCTGCCGCCAACCCTACACGAAGCTGGCCAGATCAGCTCACCTGCGCCTAGACGAGCTATACGGTCGGTCGGTAGTAATCCACCGAATCAACCAACCCGGCCTATGCTTGGAGGGAAAAAGGGGGTGAGGGCAGGGAGGGGCACGAAAGTAAGATGGGCCGAGGCTCGCGAGGGATACGGGGAGATGTAGCTAGCTATGTGGCTAGTGAATCAGATAAAGGGTGTGTGTGCACATGTGTGAGTGTGTGTGTGGTGGTGTGAAGGGATGTACGTGGGAGGCGTTGGGACAGGGAGTCGTAAGGTAGAGTGATGGGAGCCACCCGAGAGCTACCCGAGAGCTACCCTTCCCCCCTTCTCGGGACCTGGACATGATCGACCGCGAATCTGGACGCGAATACGTGCTTGAGGCACGCCCCCTCACCCTGGCTCTACGGCACTCGCTGTGTATACATGCGCGAGTCGAATCACACCCCTCTAGCTACTTGCTCGCCCCAGCGCGAGACCGCCAGCCGAGCGGACACGCCAGCGTAGCGTCTGCGAAGGTGATCGAGCCGACCCGATCCACCTTCGGCTACCCTCTGGGACGTCCCTCGTCGAATACGCAACGCCGCTGCGCTTGTGCATGCCTACCTGGTCATATTCATGTATGTATGTATGCCCATCTAACCTACCTGTCGAGCTAAAGGGGGAGGGGGCTAGCTGAGGGTGAGTGTATATGCCTAGGCGTCTCGGGCCGCGAACAAAAAGACTTGCTCGGGCGGCCCCCCTCCCGAGTTTAGGGGAGACGCGGTCAGGGGAGACGTGGGTAAAAGATTACTGTTTTCCCTCTGGTCCTCAGCCCCTCCCGCCCCCTGTCTCTCTCTCTCTCTCTCTGCGTGTACATGTCTCGCCGTCTCGCCTCCCATCGCCACCTTTTCCCGCGGATTCGAGCGATATCTAGGATGAGGAAGCACAGCAGCTCGGTTCGCCGCGCAGCTTGCCGCGGCCGGGCTCTGGGGGGGGGGGGAGTCGGGTCAGCTGGCGGCCTAACACGATCGGTGGTGGGACGGCATGGGCTGGCTACTACGATCTCGTGACAGCTCGCTGCCGTCGAGGCATCTTGTCGCGATGTTGCCGCCCGCGCGCTGGGGGGGATAGATAATACAACCTGCTCACGCCGCCTCTCGCGCTAGCCGAGCCCCAGTGCCGATGCCAATGCCCGCTAGCAACCAATACCACCAACCCTCCACCCTCCGCCAACGGCCTGGACATGGGCAAGGGCAGTCCGTCCGTCACGCCCCGTTCATTCGCCCGTCACGAGCAGCCAGATGGACCGGCGCAAGTCGACGGATGTGTGTAGGTGCAATCTGTACCAGCCCCTATCCCCCCCCTTCGCCCCCGAATCCCAGAAGCCCGTTTGACGGCGTTTGGCTGGGCGCTCTGGCCCGCGAGCGAAGTACGAAGGTCGAGGTTATCGTCTTGCCGGCGGCGGTTCTGCCCGTGTGATTGGCTCGGACACGTCCCGAGGGTTGGGCTGTGGCGTCCCTCTTCCTCGTCCTCGTCCTCGCCCTCCATCCCCTTTTGCGACCCCCTGATTCTCCCCCAGGCGCGCAAGCCGTGTACCTCCGCGCCTACGCCCCCGAATATGCCCAAGAAGGGTGCCTGGGTGCCTGTCTTAGGTAGGCAGGGTTAGACACCTCTGGACGCATACAACTCGGGGAGGACAAGATCTGGAGAGAGATACTTATCGTAGGGGAGGTAACAGGCTATCGTTACCCACGTGCCAGGCGTTACTAGGCATATCCAGGCTGAGCGGCACGGCAGCAGACGACCAATGCAGGTTGGGAATTGCTGTGCTCCGTAGCGGACGCGGCTCCGTCACGAAGCAAAGCGAGCAATACGAAATACGACGGAACCCGCCCGCCTGGGCTGGAACCGGACCTACATGGTGCCCCACGGGCAGATGCAGCCCGAGGGCGTGCACCTACAGTAAGTACCGGTACCTGGGTCGGGAGCGATGCAACTTGGCTACCTACTAAATTGCCCAACTGGACCTCTGTAGAGGGACAAGTCGCAGCCCATCTAGACACCTGATGCGCTGGGATACATGGCAGCACTCATGTACACGGGCAATATATCTGGTACCTCTACATAGGTAGCTACCTACAGGTCGGTATCACATCACATGAAGGTGTGCCTGTAGGTACCTAAGTACCCACCTCCTCATCCCCGCGCGCGACCCACCTAGCGAGATAGCGAGAATATGCGTGCAAGCATATACTATCTATACCACACAGAGCAAGCCGACGCCGCCGCCATATCGCGCACCCGTCGCCATCACCACCGCGTCCCTCTCCTGCCGGCTGCGCCCAGGCGAGTAGCAAATTACACCTCAGCCGCATCGGCAGCGGCGCCAGCACCAGCTATGTATATACATCTATGCGCACCCATGCCGAGGAAAAGACGCCGCCGAGAGGCAAAGCGCACCGGGAAGCGCGGCCAGCGAGCTACGCACGCCTTTGTGTGTCCGCCTCTGCCTCGTCTCATCCCGTCTCGTGTTCCGCCCGCCTGCTTACCTGACCTGCGCGGCGTCGACGGGTAGCGCCCCTCGATCGCTCGTCGGGCCGAGACGCCGTAGCGTAGGCGTGCGGCCGCCCCCTTCGCTTTCCACCTCTGGGTATCGCTGGGCGCGATGCGGGCGTGCGAGCGGCACGACATGGTGTGTTCGCCCCCCTTCTCTTCCCATCCGTATGTCCGTCCCTCCACCCACACCACCTGTGCCTCCTCTCCCTTTCTCACCCGCATACACCGGTGTGTTTTGTCTGGCGTTGGTGTGCGTGGGCGTGCCGCTACGTGCAACGAAGCCACGGCAGTACAAAATAAAATAAAAACGCCTCCATCTCCCCGGACGGCGCAGCCGGGTGGAGAGTAGGGAGATGGTGTGATCGCGGATATCTCTCGTTCCTTGTCGACCTGTGGAATCGTACATGGCGAACTTCGAAGCTACAATCGTAAATGTCTTCCCTGCTGCGGAAGAAGCAAGCTTGCAATCTGACCCCGACTGGTCCGGCCGTCAGTCGTCCTCTATGTCGTCGTCGCTCAACACCAGCTTCTGGATCGACAGCGGGGACGCGGCCGCGCCGGCACCCGTCGTCGATAACGCGTCTGCGTCGCTCTTCCTCTTCTGCCGGATGATCCCGAGGCCCCTCCTCTTCCGCGGCGACGCCTCCTCTGTCGGTCTGTCCGTGGCCCATGCCTCGCCCGCCGGCGCCAGGTCCTCTCCGCCCGCGTCCGCGTCGACGCCGTCCTCGTCCATCGCCGCCCCCGCCGCCGCCCCGATCCCCGAGAACGACACCACCTTCTCCATCTCCCGTAGCTGCGCCGCGCTGACAGCCGGACACCCGCGCCCTCCTCTCCCCATCTGCGCCATGTACGGCAGCCGCTCGAGCAGCAGCTCCCGCCGGGCGGAGCTTCCGAGGAAGAGCAGGGGCGCGCCCGCCGCCTCTTGCCCCGGACCTTGACCGTGCTGCTGCTGGGCTCGTTTAGAGGTTTGGGTGTTGCCGCGCTGGGACGATTGTTTACTTATCCACTCCCCGTCGCTACCGGTTGCCTTGGGACGTCGGAAGGCGGAGGCGCCGTCTGTGAGATTATGCCCCGCATCGTCCCCCTTGAGTAGTCTAGATGCCCAGTGATCGACGACGCCCTCAATCTCCTCCTTCTCGCGCCAGAGCTTGAGGCTGGCCGGGTAGAACATCTTGTAAGCATCGCCGCCGCCGCGTCGGGAAGTAGTCACCACTCGCTTTACCGGGTTTGGAAGTGAGAATAGGAGTCCCCTCGTTGCGACCTGGAACGTGATTTCCTCTTGCCTCAGCACGTGGCTGGCCGAGTCCCTCCCCGAATACGTGGAGCTGTTAGATCCCCTACCGCGGAAGAATATATCCCACGATGGGTTTAGTAGGTCGCTATCGGATAGATAGTCGATGCAGCCATTGATATAGTCGAGTGAGCTGTTGGGGTCCGAAGGCTCGCTAGATTCGCAGGAAGGGGCGTAGTTCTCGTGAAGGGCGGAGATGAAGGTTTGGGCGTCGGTGCCAGTTTCGTCGATAAGATTGCCGACGAGAACTTCGGACCGCTTTGGTCGGGAGCAAGATGTCATATATTCAGGTAACTGTTCGGCTTGGCCTTCAGGCGTGCGCTGGTCCATCGGGCGTTCTTCTCTCTTATTGTACACCACTTTACCGACAGCGTGAAATATGCCCAAGCTCGCTTCTCGCTGCGAGACGAGCTCGAGGCTTTCTATTTCACCTTTCGTCAACGCCACTTCATTTTTAGATCCGCGTTTGGGCTTTGTGAATGCGACCTTAGATCCCCAGTCCGCGTCTGCGTCGCCCTTGAGGCAGAGGAACTCGAGCGACGAGATTGCGCTTCTGATGTCCCCTCTCTCACCTAGCCGCTTCAGAACAAGCGGGCCTGGCGTCCGACGTCGTCCAGACTTTCGCGCCTCCTTCTGCACCACCAGCTCGAGCGCGCTCGCGAGGAGAGTGGGAGCGATTGCGTTGAATTCGATAACGCAGCTGCCCGGATGCCGAGTGATTTCGGGCCCGAGGAGTCTATAGGTAGTGAAACTATCTGCAGATGCTGAGCTGGTGGTCAGGAGGGTTTCTGATATGATCATAACAACAGGTGTGATGGGGTCTACGGGGTCTTGACGGCCAAATGAGGCGAGAGGGGGAGTGTTAGTGACTAGATACTGTAGAACAGTGTTCCGGAAGGCCGCCAAAGCCGTCGAGGATCGTGTGAACGTGTTTGGAAATTCCTCGACGAGCATAATCTTCCTCATATTATTATCATCCGTCTTACTACGACCTGGAGCGGTTAGGTCGAGATCCGTATCCAATTGACCAAATTTCCCTCCTCTCCCTATGAATTCTTCGAATTGCGCCGCGGCCGACTGATGCCCTTGGTTCGCGCCGAGGGAGCCTGCCGGGTTTCTCCACTCGAGAAGCTCGCAATGCATATCTCGAGCGAGGAGCCGCACCGTAGTCGTCTTCCCGGTCCCGGCAGCGCCCTTCAGAATAAGCAGTCGTTGTCGCATGCGGCCAGCCATCACATCTTCGAGCCACCGCCGGACGTCGGCTACTTTCTTCTTGTGGACTGCGAGCTCGGCCAAGCTCGAGGGGCCAAATCGCTCGGACCACGGCCGTTGTTCGTCGGCCGGCGCAGGGTCTCGCACGGGACGAGGCGGCTTGAGGAACTTCTGACTCGACATGCCGACTGGGCCGCCGGCAGGCTGAGAGGCGTCTCGAGATCGCTTGCGAGCATTCTGTCCCACCCGACTGATGCTCGCAGCCCTGTGTTCTCCCACATCGTCGTCGTCGGATATCGGGTCGCTAGCAATATCATCCCTCTTAGTCGGTGACGCAGTTAGGGCCCGTTGCGCCTGTTTGGAGAACATAGACACGAGATCGGCCGTTTTTTCTTTGCCTGCCGGCTTCCCCCTGGCGAATGGTCGGCTGGCATTGGCCTTCTCTGGGCTCGTGCTGCCGCTTTTGAACTCGTTCCTGCCGGGAAGAGAGGGTTGAGAAGCAGGAGTCGGCACGGTTGGTCGGGAGGCTAGCAGCCGAGACGACTTCCTTACGGCGGGGGTTGGCGATACAGGTATGGTTCGAGACGCGCGCTTGGGCGATGTAGCTTGTTGTTGATCAGGCGACGACAGGAGGTAATTAGTAAGGGTATTTGCCTGCGATCGGGGCACTTCCTCGTCGTCCGAAGAACCGTGGAGCACATTACGTCTCCGACGCTTCGCGGGTGGTGCCATGACGACAAGGCAGACGGTATGGGCACCGCATCTGCTGGCTAGATGTCTAGTTGTTTGGGTGTAGAGCAGAAAGGCAAAAGAGCCTGAACTTGGTGTTTATTTTCCTCGCTCGACCGGGATTGGGTGGAAATCTCGAGCTTTTCGAGTTAGGTACGTAGCATTTGGACGTGAATCGGACAATTGGAAGCAGATCGTGGGTTGATGAAAAGGACGAAGAGGCCCGAGTTGAGTCAAAAGTTCAGGTAATAGTTAGTAGAAATAAATCGAGACGGGTCTTCCTCCGCCCGACCTCCGTCATAGCCATGCTAATGGAGCCCCCGTCGCGGCCTGTCCCTGAGAATAGCGCGTCTCCCAGCGGTCTTCGGTACGATATCATGTGACCAATTAAACGCATTATCGCCCTAGGTGCCTTATTACCTGGGTAACCTCCCCCACCACCTCGGTACCTTAGGCCTAGGTACCCCGAACCTACACCTACGCTATACTTGTTGGTAGGTGTAGCGCTGCGCCTACGTGCTAGATATACGTGCATGCGCAAATTATCAGTCTCCCTCTGTTACCTCTCACCACCGAATATCCTCATCGAAAAAGATTTTCGGCATGATTTTCGTCGTTATGATCCTAGAAAATTTATTTGACCCTGGTTTTTGCCATTCCCTACTCCCCTGCGGCCTTTCGCAGCCTTTTGTTCTCGCCGAGCCCCCAAAGCCTCGATAGGCCTCGGAGGACATTAGAAACGCCATAATCATCATCATAATAACACCAGTATAGCGACCGTTATAGGAATTCGAAGCCACCATCTCGCATACTAATCTGTATGCTCCATAAGTCACGAGAATGTCCAGCCGGCGAAATCGTCAGCGAACCGTACGGCGGCGGCTAGGTAACGCTCGTGCACGTCTCCCCAGGTCCGAGCCGCTTCCTTTATCGCACGCACAGCTGCGGTGAGTCGATGTGTTAGTAAGATACCCCTATTAGTCGATAGGGAAGCCTCGGTCTTACATTTAACAAAGTGTGCGTCCGTGGCATAAGGTCCGTTCAGGGCCTTATCTTCCACGTAATCCCACCCTTTCCCGGCCACGTCCCCAGGCTGGATGTAATCGGGGTCGATCCTGGGCCGAAGCTCGATGGCGTAGACAGTGATCGCGAACAGCCACCATTGCCTCACCAAGCTGACGCGGAACTGTGGCGGGATGAACGGGAGCAGTATCCTGGCGGCGTGACTTGTCGTGAGAACATGACAGGTGAAGAAGTCGTATGCGTGCGTCCCACGTGGCACCGTCTCGACGAGAAGCGCGGTAGCGGCTTCTTGGGATAGCCGGAACTGCGTCAACGGGTCTTCGTCCAACGCCCACGCGTTCCAGTACTCTAAGACAACTTCTTCGTGCTTTTGGAATAGCGGCTCCATGTTGTCGGGTCCTCGCTCCTGGAACGAGCCGTCCAGACGTTCATCCTTCCCCAATCTCACCAGCAGCTCTATCGGCGAGGCCGCTTTGATCGGAGACGGCTTCGAATACGAGGCGTCATCGAGATACTTATGAAGGAAGCCGTACTGGGTAGCAGCCATGCCAAGGGCCTCCATGGCAACTTCGCGATTATCTATCTCATAAGCATACGCGAGGTGTATCATGGGGTGGCCAACTAAGACACAACGGTCAATTTATGCTTCCGAGAAGAACCAGTTCCGTAGGGAGTGACATACGACCTCCGATGAGGCAGTGAGCTAGTGGTTGCTTGCCCGAAAATATGTATTCCTCGACCACGTCCTTCCAGCGGTAGTTGTGTCTTAATACGAGGACATCCTCGAAGAAATCGACGTAGGCACGCTGGTATCTCGCGTCGCCGAGAAAGTCCCTCCAGTCGTCCTGGACGATTTCGGCCGGCGACGGATGCCACGGTTCGAGGGTTCTTGCCTCCTCGTCATATATATTGTGCAGCTGCTGAGCATTGGCTCCGAGGAGATAGGCAGATCCGAGGATATGCGGCATGTGGTTATGAAACCGCAGGTCGTGGTAGAGGATGGAGTAGTTCACATGGTTCGCCCTGAGCAGATGCTTGAGCGTTCTGGGTCGTTTCTCCGGCGACGTCTCCACACTATGAACCTCAACAGGTGGGATCTCGATGGTGTTTCGAGGGCGGCCACCAGAGACCAGTCGGTTCACGATCGGTACATACGAGAGTATCGAAGCCATCTTGGATCTTGGTTTAGATTGCCTGTCTCTGTGTCGTCACCGTGCTGAAGCTGTTGGAAGGTGATTGGAATTAGGTCCAAATGGTGTAAGTGAAGGTGACATAAGGTAGCTCGAGGGATTGTTGAGAGCTTGGAGGATCCAGGGTCCTTGTTTAATAAATAAATCCATACTAACTATGACGCCTATATGCATTTATCCAGGACCTTTGGTGGCGAGGTAAGAATAATCCATTGAAGCCTTTGGGGGAAGAACAGACCCGAGTCCAAGTACAAGTTCAACCACGGAAACGCCGCTTAATAAGCATAACACTCTTTAAATAAGAGATGCAATTAGGCGCAGAACGCGTGGGCAAGGTTCACCCGCCGCCCCACGCACTGCCGAATTCTTGTCACGCGGTTAGACAATTCAACCCGCGCTCTTGAGACGAAATGCAACAATGCCTAGGCCCCGTGAACCTCGCCAGGCCCTCATCTACGCAGAGCTACTACCCAACATACGGCAAGTTTCCGTTGGATGCTCGCTGCCTTCGCCGAGCACGCCCGACACCGAAGCCACCGTCTCACCTGACGGCTTGACACTTCGCGTCAAACACGATGGTGTAGAAACATCCATCCGTCTCCCCGGGCCAGTCGCCCCGTCCCAGCAGCTCCCAGTGCGGCATCCGGGCACGGCAGCGCTCTCTTGGCGGTTCCCTCTAGCTAGGAGCTGGGGGCATAAGGCACTCTTGCCTGTGCCGGAAGAGCCGAGCATCCCGTGGTCCGCGAGTGATGTTCGGCCAGAGTCGCCCATTGCGTGTAGAGCATGTCGAGCAGTTATCGTCAGCGCCGGCCGCCTCAAGGCATGGAAAAACTTGCCGAGCGAGAACTGGGCTGAGATGATGGAATTCTGGCATTGCCACAAACCTCATCACCACCGACACGGCCATGGCCATGATGAGGCAGGTCTGGCTTCCAAAGGGTATAGTGCGAGTTCCAGAATATCAGCACAGCCCGGGGTTGGGTTTATCGACATATCCTCCTTCCTCGTGTCCGAATCGGACATTTTTCCATCCTCTGTAAGTGCCTGTTCTCAGTGGTCGCTCCCTATGGGTATATATAGAAGGTGGCCATGCCGGCTTTTTAGCCTGTCGATGGTTTGGTCACCGATACTCATACCCTAGATTAAGATGCTCTCTCCGATCCTAGTACGGGCGCTGTACCCTAGTCTTCGCTATGGGGCCAGCCCTACGTCTTCGGAGTTGCCTCTGCCTTTCACTAAAAATTTTCTTGGATGTGAAAATTTTGGGATTATCCAGAGGTACATGTCATATGTCTCTCAAACGCTTCGGTTCTCGGTTTAGTTGGATAGTTTGCTCGTTTTGTCGTCGCCCATTGCTTGCTCTCATCTGGTATTTCTAGTCTAATATTGTAAGTTTTAGATCACGAAGGCGTTACTGTTCCCGTCATCCGACGGAACTGTAGGTCACGATGAAATGGTTCAAAATAACGAGCTACACAAGCTGCAAGACGGGAAGACGGGCATCTTCTGCGCATCTTGTGAGTCTATTTTGGGGGTACTGAATGATGAAATATCTGTTTCCATATTCAAATGGGGGGTTTGTATGTACGAGCATGACCAACAGTCCCCTCGCCCAACACTCTCCCATTGTATCAGCGCCATGCTTCTCGCAACGATGGCTCAATCAGGCTGTTCGAAGTCGATCATTATGCCCATGGAGACTTGGAACCGGCCAAGGTCGAAAGATGCTCAACCGGAGCCTTTATTGAATATTTGGGTATTCAATAGGAACATCGCCTTTTCCTCGACCGAGGAGCCGTGCAATCTCGCCATCCCCGCTGTGAAAGTCCTGTATCGGATGATCAGCGCGTCAGAAGCGGACAAGCTACTAGACTCGATGACGTCGGACGTTCAGGACATCACCCTGCCAACCAGCATAGCCGGGGCGCTCCTCGAGCATTTGACCCGAAGCAACGGTTATTTACCACATAGTGACCGCCTGTTCAGGGAGTGGACGGTGGGCCTGTTGGAGAAATGGGACGGTGGAGGCGAACAAGAACTCTCTGATTGTGGTTGAAGCGGGGGATATGCCTCGCTGCGGAGGTGTTTGTGCACCGTGGGTCCTGTGGTCGAGTAGCTGTGGTCCCGACGAGACTTGCGATAGCCTCGGTAAATGGCGTCAAGGCGAACTTTTCTTTGCATGAGTTTGCCCACCGCTACCCTCCAGGGAGCGACCGGGCCTCTTTCAACCGCTAGAGTAGAGATGTACCTGGATCACCGCGTCCATAGCCGTTAAAGCAAATACCTCGATAACGGCGGATTTCACTGGGCACGTAGCTACGATAAAAACGGGCACGTTGGCTACCTATTAGGTAGGTATAGACTAGCTAATGTCCCTAGAAATTGGCGATAAGGAAAGGCGAGGATCAGATGAGAAGAATCTCCTGCCAAGTTCGACATGCTTGTTTATGTACTTCCGTATACGTAGAGTCGTACTTATAATAGCTGAGGCTCTTCATGGTATCACGACGCATAGGAACTCGCTAGGTCATTATAGGTACATATCTCACGACCAAAGTTTCGAGGTTAGGCTCAATGCCAATGGTTTCTTTTGATTAATGCACAGGGTGTTGTTTATTTACGAGCACATGCTAGGTGGACAGACCGCGGGGAGGTGGAGCCGAGGGTATCTGTCTAAAATCATAGAGTCTACTGAGCTTTGGACGAGATGATCCCTGTAGACAAGTTAGCCTATACACCCGCGAGAGGTTGAAAGAGGAGAGGGGGGGAGGAGGTTGAAGCTTACTCTCCACGTCGGTGACGCTCTGTTGCAGAATTTGTTGGAGAGCTCTCGGGCTCTCGAGCTCCTTCCTGACCTTGGCGATGATGGCATCGGCCAACTCCCTCTGCTGGCGCTGCTTGACCTGTCCCTCGTACCTCACCCATGAGTCCAACACCGACTTAGCCTCGGCTGCCAAGGCAGTGGTCTGCTCGAGCTCGTACGCCTTGGCCTCGAGCCTAGCAGTCTCCTGTAACCGATGTCAGCCCCGCCCATCGATAACATAGCCCGCGACACGGCCCCCAGGATGCTATCGAACCTTGGAGACCTCGAAGAGATTCTTGGTGATGTCAACGACGCCTTCCATCTGCCGGACGTTCTCGATGCGGTTCTTGACAGCCCGCGTGTGGTCCGCGCGAGCGGCGTTCAGAATGCCCTTGATCTTCTCGTTCTGGGCGTCGGCCCACTGGCCGATCAAAGGCCCGCCGAACTTGATGAGACCGGCCCAGACGCTGAGCAGGCAGAAGGCGACGACAGTTTCCTCGTTAACGACATAGTACTCGTTGCTGATGGCATAGACGGATAGGCCGGCGGCAGAGGACAGGATGGCGGTCTTAGAGATGAGAGAGTTGCCGGGCAAGGCATCAATGATGGACTGCGCCTTGGCTTTGGCCGGCTCGGGCGCTTGGGTCGCCTGCGCCTGCGCCTGCGGGGTGTTCGACGAAGACGTAGGCCGTGTCGCGCTCCACGAGCCGGCTGCGACGGGCAGGGTTCGCGGCGCGATCGACGGTCGCAGACGGGTGGCCCCTAGCGATGCTGGGTGAGCTCGGCTGTTCGGGGTAGGCGTCTTAATTGGGGGGGATGGTCGACGAGCGTCATCGAACAACATCTACCAGACGAGCGGACGAGCGGATCGAAGGGCGTTGACTTACCGAAGGCGCGGGCAGCCAGGCGGGAGGCCATTATGAGACAAGGAAAAGAGGGGAGAGAGCGCGGCCGGATCGGCTTCGAGTATGGGCGAGAGGGGGGGATACAGAGGGAAAATTGAGGTCTTTGCTAACTGGGTCGATAGCCAGCGACCTCTCGGAATTGAGGTCGACGAGTGAGGGTTTAACGGAACTTGGACCTGGATGGGTCCCGACCGGCCACGATGATTGGCTGTAAGGTCATGTGACTTCGCTATCTCCCGGATCCCCACTTCTGAAAAGTTGACAGCAGCGCTCCTGCCTCGTCCCTCCAAACTCATTCTGCACAATTTTAGTCAGCCTTGCATCTGCTTCCCCAGAGGCTGCTAAGTACTGCCCTACTTTCTAACTTGGTCAAGAGGTTGACAGAGTTGAATTGCAGACTTGAATTCTTTCAGTCTCAAATTTCCATTCTGCTGTCTATTCGTCTATTTTACTACTGTACCTACCTGGCTACTTCTCCAGCCTCGCGTTCCTAGAGTACCGTTGCTGCGGTTCGTCCCCCAGCCAAATCGTGCGATTATTCGATATACACAGGGCTGCTATATACACAGGGCTGCTAGGAACCATGGTTGAAGAAGCCCTAAAGAGGAAGAGATCGAAGAGAGCCCCTGAAAAAGCTAGCAAGCGGGCGAAAGCCGAGAGCAGCAGCAGCAGCAGCGCCGAAGATGACGATCCCCAAGCTCAAATCCTACTCCTTGAAAATGGGATCCTCGAGTCCAAGAAGAACTACAATAATATCGCCACTCTCCTTGAGCTAGCGCAGAAAGAGGATGGCAGTGATGGCGACGGCGACGGCGATTCTGCAATGCTTGCCCTGGTCTCGCTGTGCAGGGTATTCTTGCGCTTGCTTGCATCTGGTGCTTTGAGGAAGAGGCCCGGGCAATCCGAAAAAGAGTCTGTGGTTGTCCAATGGCTCAGGAGTAGACTCCGCGACTACAAGCAAGTTGTCGTCGCTGCTTTGGGTCAAGAGGAGTCCGCATCCGCGGCATTGACCCTCGCTATGCGCATCTTGCAGGCCGAAGGTCGATATCTGAACAGCAAAGACGAATACAATTTCCCGACAGGGTTTCTGGGAGAAATTGTCGACGTAATTGTTTCACAGAGCCTACAGGATATCCGGCAGGAATTTTGCGAAAAGTTCTTAGGCGACTATGCCGATATTCGCTTCTACACTTTCAAGACCGTGAAGTGAGTGGCTGCGAACCCCCCGCCTCCCCCACAGGAGCCGACCCGCGGTATACTGACCTGCTCCAAGAGATATTCTCTCCTTGGATCATCATGTATCGTCAGGTGAGGGTCTATTCGATAACGTATTCGATTTACTGGCCTTCTTCGAAGACGTGCCCGACTCCACAGCAGACATGGGTGGCTTCTATATTGATCCGCCCAAGAAGTCTCACCCGGTCGCGTCCGTGAACCAGCAGAAGAAGCAAGCCCAAGAAGCATGGTTGGCATTGCTCAACCTAGGCCCCGACCGCGACCAGAGGAAGAAGTTGCTCCAGATCATGACCAAATCCATCGCCCCGTGGTTCATGAAGCCTGAGCTTCTGATGGACTTTCTCACAGATTCGTACAACTCGGGGGGCGCCACCTCCTTGTTAGCTCTGTCCGGGGTCTTCTATCTGATACAAGAGCGCAATCTGGACTACCCGTCCTTTTATCGCAAGTTGTATTCGTTGCTGGATGCGGACATCCTGCATTCTAAGCATCGATCCAGGTTCTTCCGGCTATTAGACACCTTTCTCGGCTCAACGCACCTTCCCGCCGCCCTTGTCGCGAGTTTCATTAAACGCATTACGAGACTATGCCTCAACGCGCCGCCTGCCGCGATCGTCGTCGTGGTACCATGGATCTACAACCTATTCAAGAAGCACCCTCTCTGCACCTTCATGATGCATCGCGTACCAAGAACGCCGGAAGAGCGGGAAGCCCTGGAAAGCGAAGGGATGGAAGATCCCTTCGTTGCCGAGGAAGAAGATCCGATGGAGACGCGCGCGATTGACAGCTGCCTATGGGAAGTTGTCCAGCTGCAGTCGCACTATCACCCGAATGTGGCGACTATTGCGAAAATAATATCGGAGCAGTTCACCAAGCAGGCATACAACCTCGAGGACTTTCTGGATCACTCGTATGGTAGCGTAAGTTAACCTATCCGACATGACGCGTTTCTCTAGGTACTCTAGTGTTGCTCACAGCCCACTTAGTTGCTCGAGGCGGAGCTATCAAAACAGGTTAAGAAGGCTCCAGTCGTGGAGTTTATGATCCCACAGAGAATCTTCCTACCACAGGACCCAGCATCGGGAGTGGAGGACAACCTTCTGGCCAGACTCTGGGATTTCCAATGATCACCGTTGCGTACGACCCGGGGAACGAGTTTAGGTGTTTCTGGAACGCTTGGCGGTCGATCTTGTAATTCCGCCAGTTCTTTTTCGAAACTTCCACCGTCATCAATCCGATACTGCCTGCGCTCCGTCCGTGTCACCGGATAGCTTGCCGTGGGTCACCCGGGTATGGATGGATGGCCGTGCTTGGTTAGGAATCCACTCACCGCCACAACTAGTCGTATTGTGGGCGCAGGGTGCTATTTTCAGGTCGTGGAGAATCGTTGGAATTGTCTCATGATCCCCACGGTCTCCCGCGACTTTGTGCGACCATGAACGTCTTACTATCGTGCGCCGACGTAAAGAACGAGACGACAACATGCCGTGTATCCCTCGACTCTAGAATTTGCTGCTGCGGCACGCTGCTTCAGTACCTCCCACCTTGCCTTACGTTATGCGGGGTGGGGGAAAAGATTCGACAAAAAATAAACAAAAACGAAAAGACGCACTATTCCTAGCGCTCCCAGTCGGCCGAGAAATACGTTTCGAACCGTCCAGTTCCGACGAGGTGAGTGGCCGAAATCCGGGGGAGGATTTGGCCATAGGTATATCGGTTATATTGTCCTCGACGGAGCTATGCGATCGACCTAGGTGTGGAGGAGCAGGCTGCGCAAGGGTTTCCCCGACTATCAAGGCCACACCGCTATATGGGCTGAGGTCTCCCAAGGAAATAAAATAAAAAAATAGAAAAAGAAAACCAACTATCTAGAGCAAAGCCCGAGTTCGGTTCAGTTCAGCTTGGCAGGAAGAAGTGACGATTACAGGAAGAGCAGGACTGACGTTGTCGACAACGTCGACTTGATGCTTGCTCTCTCCCCTGAGTGACGACGAGTCGAGGATGACGAGTCACTGCTGAGGCCTCCCTCCCCTTCTTCTCCCTCTCTCTCTGTCTCGGTGCGAATTTTTTTTTTGGGGGGGGGGGGAGGGGGAAAGGAATACTACGAGCAGTTATCGGGGTCCTGCTGGTCGGACGTAATGTCGCATGGCCTGTGGAGCCATTAACGGTACCCTACGATGAAGCTGCAGGTCTCCGGCGAAGGGTCAGATCTCGGAAACGGCGCAAAAGCAGACCACTTTAGTAGGTTAGAGTGCCAAAGGGTCAGGCATTTGTCTTCCTCAGACGATATCCCATATCAGCCGCTGCCAGTGGTGCGGGTAGCAGCTGGGATTGGCATGTCGGGGCAGGCTCTACGCGATCTTCTCTCGACAATCGGCGTCTTCATGGCCCCCCTCACTGTCCTGATCTCCTCATCCCTTTGGGCAGAAACGGTGGTTTCGTGTTGGCTATCGGTTGAGGGTCAACGATGCGAGCTGGTTGGCCGCGATGGTCACAGATGCGACTCACCGCCGATTGCGACTTAACCCGTTTCGGTCTGGGGGGGACTCCCGAACAGGCGCACATGTCTTGCCCTCGGCAGGCCCCCCATATGTGTGCAGCTCATGCTCGTCTCCTCCATGGGCCCCGAATCCATCCTCTTACCACCCTCAGATCGTACCAGAAGGGGATGTGATGAATCTTATGTGCCACTGGCCGCATCAAAGCCGGCCCGCTAGGTGTCACAGTGCTGCATGTGTGCAGTTCGTGCCTAACGACGAGCTGTTCCGATCTGGGCAAGTCCTCCAGCCCTCGTCTCGTCGGTATTTCGGAGAGAGGCCCTCTGTCGGTGTAGGTAACACGATCGGTCGCGCCCCGACCCAACCGGAACGGCCTGTTTATCCACACCGCGTCGCGCCCGCGGGCAGTGGTGAGCGAGCGGGCGAGCGAGCGCGTCACGAAGCAGCCCTCGAAGCCCAAACCGCCGTCCTCGCTCGCGATTTTGGGGTTGAAGAATCCAACCCATCCTCAACTGGGCGATGGCCTGGTAAAGTACTGCGTATCGCGGGTAGAAGGCAGAAAACACACCGCGCCAAGCGCTGGCCTGGCCTCTGAGCCGACCCGCAACAAGCTGCGTGGCTCCCGGCCAATCAGTTGCACGAGGCGAGCAGCATTCGCAACAGTAACGACTGAATCGCACGTGCATCTGGCAGCTCGCTTGCGCTTCCCTATGTTGCACTCCTCTTCCTACCCCCCCCCCCCTCCTCCTCCTACGCCCCCTTCTCGGATGAAAGCGAAGAAGGGTTTAGCTATGAACTTCCTATTCGTATTGCTCGGGCTTCAAGTTGATTATCTACGTGCTACCCCCAACCGTATGCCGCCTAGCAATTCCCCGGTTGGCTGCTCCAGGCGCGATATCGTTGGCTGCGGCCCTCAGGTCGACAGAGGAGAGGATAAAGTGGCTCGCAGAAATATACTTGCGCCGTAATCAATGCTGACGCTATGTGGTCTAAAAGTCGGCCATGCCTATTTTATTTTTCCCTTCCCAGCCCGACTCCTTCCAACTGCTACTCAACCTCACAGCCCTTGGCTTCTCGTCCGACTAGCCGTTCTCGTAACATGTCCCGTCGTAGAAACCCGAGCGGATCTTTCGCGAGGAACTCGTTAGCTAAGCTCGTCGGGATCTACTCCTGTGCGTCATCCTCGGAGTGGACAGACAGACAGACAGACAGCCTGCCTCGCCCTCTCCCTGCCGTCTCCGTTCTACACACGGTGGCTGAATCCATACCCCAATTGACTTGTGTTGTTGGTGCACATTCGTGCCTCTCTCGCGAGGGCCACGCACACAAGCCCAGACAAGTCTGGTCAGGACGGAGCCAGATAACCCACGGACGGTTCTCCCAAAGTGTACTTCTTTTTGGCTCCTATCTCCAAGTGCTAAAGCGCCTCAGACCCTGGCCCTGGAAGACCCGCCCGTCAAGAAAAGGGAACGGCGAGGAGGGATCGAAGAAGAATTTAGAACATGGATCCATTGTCTGTGCTGCAACCTTCGCGGCTTAGCCCTCTGCGCGCTCTGGGAGCATCTCTAACAATTCCTGACGGGAGACTACATTCACCGCAAGAACGTCGCCGGAGGAAGAGGTCGCCAAGTCGAGTCTGCAATCCAAACACATAAAGAACCTCAAGAAGCTGGAAGCAATTCATCGTGAACCTCGTCGAATGAAGAAGATCAAACCATCCGGCTGGGTATCTGACGGGGAGAATCCCGGGACGGGTCGTAGCAGCAGAGTTTGCCCTGCAAGGATGGGCGAAGAAGAAAAGATCGACCCCAGGCTCTCCCGGCCTCGCTTCCATCTGGGACTTCGATACACCCGCCATCCCGTCCCGAGATCTGGGCAATGGTGCCGGGAAGCACCGTAGAGGAACGCGAAGCCGCTAGGGACGCCCTTGATGCCAATAATCAATTCGCGGTTGTAGTAACTATCCGTTGATCTACTAATGGGCTGGGAATGAAGATGAACGGCAGCGCATTGCTTCTTTTCAGGCATCGTGGCTGTTTGCCCGACATCGAGGCGCGACAAGCAAACCCTCCTTGGCATGAGACAGACAGACAGAGGGGAAAGAGGAGGAGAAGCGTATGTGAGCGAGGGCGACAGCCCTCGGGAACACAAGTGTCAGGCCGCAACCATCCATGCTTTATTCAATTCAAGCACAGCACAGCACACCGAGGGCGGCACAATACACACATCATCACACACATACCTACATACCTACATTACACTACACGCCCACGCGTACTCACACACAAACAGCAGACCAGAAATCCACCGGCGGTCATGTGATACGAGTAGGACTGAGCCCGCCCTTGCCCAGGAGGATTTTCGGGGAAGCACCTCCTCACATCTATTCCGGGCTTCTGGCCAGGCGAGTATTCGTCACCTCACAGTGTCCATTGCAACTTTGCGACGGCCGCACCTTTTGGGCACAAGCTACCTGGCTACTTACTCCAAATAACTGCCTCCCACAGCGCGGATAGTGACCTTCGCTGGGAGGCAGGATGCTTAGTCGGTAGTATCGACCGATCCGGGCACTCGTGTAAGTGCGAGGTGCCTAGCAAAAGATACATATCACCCCACCGTGCGCCATTGCTGGGCAATAGGGAGGTCCAACACGCTTCTAGCAAGTCTTAATGGTGCAAAACGGGCTGCTTCATGGGCGCATGCCCCCTTGACTGTGTAGGGTAGCAATCTACCTAAGCCATCGCTGCCCAACCTCGGCAGGGCTGCCATCCAGGACCTATCAGCTGGCTCCTCTGCCCCTAAACGGTTCCCGGCTCAGGCACTTAGCGCTACCGTTTTGGCTGGATGGGCTCACATCCCACGCCTCGATCCCATTTGTCCCAGCCGGTCCTCCAGTCGTCTTCGCGCGCCGACCAGGTCGACTGATCCGAGGATGTAGTACCGTACTGTACTCTTTGTACAACACAGCGGGCGAGCGAGCGATCCGCCGCCCTACCGTAACGGATACATAGCTACGTACTCCCCTCCCGCGGGCGAGGTACTCGTAGACTTGTTGTGTAGAGCTGCTAAGGTAGGTAGTCGGTTCGTCACCCTTCTCGGCTTCGCAGCCGGCGGCACGCATCCAAGTGGTTAGGAGAGGGCGACGATAGGGTCTATCTGGTAGACAGTCAGGGGTCTTTAAGCTCCCGCCCTGAGAACCCACCGAGGTATACGATACCTGGACGTAGGCATTGTGGCTTTGCTAACGCGCTCTCGCCCGATGGACCTTTGGAGCACGCATACACATGGCGACCCGAGTCTACATACATACGTACATACATACATACATACATACATACCTTACCTACATACGTTATACCTACATGCGCGCGCACGTATATACCTACCTACCTACCTACCTACCTACCTACCTACCTTACATACCTACACATACATATATACGTACACACGTACATACATGCGTCCATAGCGTGTATGTACGCATACCGTTTGAGGAGGGGGGACGGCTGAGGGGAGGGGGAGAGAGAGAGAGGGGGGGGGGGGAACGGTCGTGCTTACACACTGGGCAGACGACCAAAATGGGAAAACGGAATGGACGGCGGAGACGGCGATGAATGCATACTACATATGTAGCCAGTGCTTCTCTCCTTGCTAGGAACAGCCAATCGAGTTCGCTAAACACCCCATGGCCGCCAACAACCCCGGCGCCATTTACAGGGGACAGACCCACGTCCATCTCGCACCCACACGACGAGAGACGGAGAGGTCAGTCAGAAGTCTCATGGGCTTTTGTCCCCACTAGTCCCTAGTGCCGTCTACCTACTTTGTCTATGGCGGGCAAAAGAAAACAGGCCAAGCCCGGCCCTGGCTCTGGCTCTTAAGTACAGACGACTCCTCCACGCCCCTTCAGCATCCGACCGCAAGGAAAAAGACTTATAAGCAGACCTCTTGGTTGTCGAGGAATTGTGTGAATTGCGCGCTCCTCAGTAGCCTCGATATCTATTTACCACTTGCTTCCCCCCATTTTTTTTCTGTTCCCCTTCTTCTTCTCCGTCCGCTTCTGCTTCGCTCTGTTTTACATATCTATCTTTGTAAGACGGATCCAGGCCGACCTAGTACGACAGAGACACCTTCACGCCTACACCACAGCCGAAGAAGTTGTAAGTTTTGGTTTTGTTTCCTGTCTTTCCCAGGTGTGTGAGCGTGTGGGAGTATCACACCCGTCTCTCCCACCTTTTTTTTTTTTTTTTCTCCCTTGAAAGTTGCAAGCCGGTTCCTCACCCCCCCTCCAACCCTGCAAAGACGACCCCCCCTCTTCGTCCTCTCTAATCCTTCCCCCCCCCCCTTCCCCACCACCACCACCACCACCATTACCATTGCCAATACTACCACCATGTTTCTTCCCTGACCCGTCTTCTCTACAATACACACTCGTACTGCTCTTTTATACATCATTGCAACCTCCCCCTCCCCCATTGTCCCTCCCAACTTCACTTATACCCATCTCCGCACCCGTACGTCCAACCCGCACACATAACCTCTACCGCTGCCCACTTCTCTTGATCTCCAAATCAAGACGGAATTGAGACGAAGGGAGCAGACAGGCAGACAGACAGACAGACAGACACTCAGTCACGGCTACCGGCTTTAGTCACCGTCCCTCACCGCTTCATACACTAATACAAACGCTGTGCAGAGCAGAGCCAACCTCTTCGACAATTTTGTTCCCACCCAGCGAGACCCCAGCTCTCGCTTCTCCTTCCAAGCCCACCACATTCCCACATACACAGACCCGAAATGGTCTCAACATTTCAGATGCCGGCCTTCTACCGGCAGAACCCCTTATCCGTCGACACCAACCATGCGGCGCACAAGTACTTCGAGGACGAGGATGCCAACATCTTGGACGAGAACATCCTAGACAGCAGCGCGATCGAGGCAGGCCTGGACATGTCGCCCCCTATGGCTGGCAGCCGGAGGGATTCGTTCGCTGTCGCTGGCTCGATATTCTCGCCCAAGACGGAGGACTGGCAGTCGTCGGTCGACATGCAATCTGTGCCGTCCAACAACCCTTTCCTCGAGCCGCAGAACAACAACCCGTTCCGGTCTGATCCGTCGCAAGCCTACGGCCCGCAAGGTCAGCAATGGAATATGGGCCAGGGTTCCGGCACTTGCACGCCGCTGCAGTACGATGGTCTCGAGACTGCGTTCGACAACAACCAGTCCATCTTCCAGCAGCGGACCCTGCAGATGCAGACGCCCTTCAGCAATGCTGCGCACCAGATGCCCCTGTTCTCGACCGTCGGTCCGGCTAATCCTGCCATGCCGACGTCGCCGCAGAAAGATTGGATGAGCCACGACTTGAAGAGCCAGTCCCTCGTGAAGCGCATGCGGCCGGGCAGCCCGAGCATCCGGTCTCACAACGAGCTGCGCCGTGGCGACGGCATTCGCAAGAAGAACGCCCGGTTCGACATCCCCGCCGAGCGCAACCTCGGCAACATTGATCAACTGATCGCGGCGACGACCGACGAGCAGGAGATCAAGGAGCTGAAGCAGCAGAAGCGGCTACTGCGCAACCGGCAAGCCGCCCTCGACTCGAGGCAGAGGAAAAAGATGCACACGGAGAGGCTCGAGGACGAGAAGAAGCACTTCACCGGCCTCATCAGCACGCTGGAGGAGGACATAACCGAGCTGCACATGAAGCTGGACCAGGAGAGGCGCGATCGCGAGTTCCTCGTCGCCCACGTCGAGAGCTTGACGCTGGAGAAGGAGGAGCTGATCCGCAACCACACCAACGAGACCGGTGACCTGCGCAAGAAGATCAGCGTGCTCACCGACCACGTCCAGAGGCTCGAGCACGCCTCCATTCCCAGCAACGCCGGCTACTCGAACGGCTTCAACGACATGGACAGCCTCAGCATGGACTCGTCCTGGGACAACATCGGTTTCATGGCCGATTTTCCCATGGAGCCCGAGGTCAAGCAGGAGCTTCAGCTCGTCCCCCAGAAGAAGCCCGAGGTATCGCTGTCGGGCGATGTCGACAAGTCCACCGCCCAGGGCGGCCTCCTGTTCATGCTCTTCCTCGTCGGCGCCTTTGTCCTGTCTAACAGGTCCACCCCGACCATCCCCCGCGTGTCCGAGGACCTCCGCGAAGCTTCGGCGACGCTGCTCGACAACATCTTCAAGGACGCCGGCGTCGCCCACAGCGCCGAGCACGCCATCGTCCCCTCCGCCCCCCAGCCGTCGGGCGCGGACTGGACCAGCACCGCCTCGGTGCCGATGGCGAGCAGCAGCATGGAAGGCGTCGCCCCCTCGATGCTGGGCGACCTGGCCGACTCTCTGACGCAGCCGACGCAGGAGCAGACGAACGAGCAGATCTTCTCGCTGACGCCCGCCCAATACAACACGGTGAACTCGCAAGACTTCCTGCGCGCGGCGCCCCCGCGGCCGGCGGTGAGCCAGGGCCGTCGCAATCTCGCGGAGGCGCTCAACAGCCTTCGCAGCGGCGAGAAGCAGTCGGCAGCCGAGGTGTACACGAGAACGCTCCTGTGGGACCAGATCCCCGGCGACGTGGTGCGCAACTTCGCCAAGATGGTAGCCGAGTGCAATGGTGCCAACGGCGGTCACCAGTCCGGCAATGGTAACGACGCAAGTTCATGACGAACGAACGAACCAATGTTTCTCACGAAGTCACGACCCCGATGACGACCAAGTCCAAGTTAACGAGAAGACGATTTCATCTCTTGTTTTTCTATCTACTCTTATAATTTCATTTTATATCTTTTGCCTCCCCCATGACCGGTCCATCTCATCATCATCTTCTCCACGACTTGGAAGATGTCGTATTCCTCACGAATGAACGAACTACTTTTTTTTTTCTCTCTCGCATTGTCGGTATTTACATCGTCGCTATTGACAGCCACCTTGTCTATACATGCAATACATTACATACACTTCCACGCCGCTCCCGCGCATCCAAAACGAACAGATCCGACGCAGCTCACGCAGCACCAAAACGAATATCATCATCACTATCATCCAGCGATCCAACTATTTGCTTTGTCAACATTGAAATTCACACACACACACACACACACACACACACAAACCGCCAGTCATTTATCGAGTCCGAATTTAGCAAGCGAGTTATTTACTTTTTTACTTGATTTCAACCTTTGACTTCTCCTGTCCCATTATTTGGATCGCACAAACTTATTTCCTTGTCTCTACCAGTCCGACATCCACCGCGATGGCCGGCGTTTTACTAACCAGTTTCTCATTTTATCTCGGAGCAAGTTGCATGGCGAAAATTGGGCGCGGTCACTGGGATGGGGAGGGCACTTTCACGGCAGGGGAAGGGGGGGATGGCATAGCAAGCCCGCAGCTGAGGCTTCAAGACATTTTTCTTGTACAACGTTTTCTTCACGGAATCATAGGGAATTTGGAACAGGGCAGAGCTTCTGAGCCTGCAAAGCAAGGGGCAATTTTCTATTACTATTTTTTTTTCTACCTTGCTCTCGGCCTACTACTACTATTAGGTACTATTCGTCGATGGTCCAGCTCTGCGCTGCCTCCGGACGGGATACGACTCCCGCTGGAGGGACGGGACTGGGCCCTCTAGCTATGAGGTAGCTTTACACAACGGGTGGGGTTTATTTCCATCGGCTTCTTTCCTAATATGGCTCACTTTTCTTACGGGGAAATATGACTGGGGTAATGTCTCACGACAACAAAGGGTTGGTTTAGTCTTAAGGTGGTCGGTCGCTCAATCAATCCCGGGGGTGGATTGAAGGAGTGCGCTGACGAGAGATGCGGAAGAGAGTGGTTTTTTTCTTACGCTCTTCTCTTTCCTACCTCTTTTTTTCTACCTTTTTTTTTTTTAAACACCTCCATCTTCCTCTTGGTCTATTCCGATGCGAGCGGTGCCGGGCCTGGCCGGACCGGGGAGAGTGGTATGCGTGTGTGAGTGCGAGTGTGAGATGCATCATATGAGAATGACAAATATCACCGACGAACAGCACACACCAGCAGCAAGAGGCAGAGGACAGACAGGACAGCTTACCAGCAGCTGTGGAGACGATTTTTTTTTTTTGGGAGAAGGCCAGTAAACCATAGCGGATAGCAGGGGGTTAGGAGAGAGGAAGGGAGAAGGCTCTTCTTCGATTTTGCGGTTCCTCTTGCTGTGTAGCTCCATCTCAGCGTACTCAGGAATGAAGTGTCGGGATGGACTCAATCTCAGCGGCAAGGAAGGCAAGTCAACCAAGCCAGCGAAACACTGCCAGAATCTACAATGGTTTTCTTCCCCAGAAAAGACCCGTAGTCCTCTCCCGCTTGTTGTGCCCGCGCCCACCCCTCACTCTCTCCCTCGTGTCAGCCCAAAGACGAACCAACAAGAAAAGAAAGGACCAGGGGCAAAAAAGGCCCAACTGACTCTTGCCCTCTCTACGTCTCCTTCTCTGTACCCAACCATCGTCTCACGCCGAGGACGAGACGCACGATTCACTCCTTTCCATGCGGCTAGCACCTCTGTCAGATCGGATGGGAGGGGGTTGCCATTCCTCCTGGTTGCCCGACCCAGCCAGTGGGAAAGTGGGAGACGAAATGGAAATATGTTCCGAAAATGGCGAGGAAGTTAAAAAAAATAAAAAAGAATTACATAAATAAATACAAAATAAAAACGATTCCTGATGTGTTTAGCTCATTACTTGATCACCCGTAATACGTCGACAGTCCCGCAGTGCAATACTAGGTATGTAGAGACCTACCTGTTGCCTCGTTCCATGGTTAGTGAGCGAGGTGGACGAACTAACCCGCTTCATCCCATTCTCGTCCAACCCCCTCCCACCCCCGGCCGAGGATGGCCGGGGGGGGGCAATTGGCTCGTTCCTACGCTGCGCCCCGAGCCGGCCGCAGCAGCACCAGCGGTGCGGTGGCAGCTAGGTAGGGTAGGTAGTATGTCGTCGCATGAAGCACGTAGCAACGAGTGCTACTGCCCTACGAGCGTGAGAGGTCACCACTATGTGGGCAGAGCGAAGGATGACGGTGACGGTGACGACGACGGAGGGCGGATGATTCGCGAGGCCTTGACTTGTCCTGGTGATAGGTATCGCACGCCTACCGACCTAGGCACCTACGGGTCTCCTAAGGATATTGTGTATACTTGACCTGCTCTAGTCGATCCAGCCCAACGCCGGCGCTTCCTTAGTCTCGCCCATAGCCGAATACCTACTTTCATCGTGCTTCAGGTCCAATAGCGGGCCCGCTTCCCCAGACAGGTCCATAACGGGGGGCGCATATGAAGTATTCCATATTCCTAGTAGAATGGAGCGCGGACACAGGAGATAGCACGCCGATACGAGCCTATGAAAAGTGTTACCACGCTCAGGAAGGGAGGCCGATACATGGCAAAGTCGGTGCTTGGCGGGCCTGCAGGGCTTCACATGCCCTGCCTACGGCTCGCGCATCTGGCTTGCCCGTTGCGTCTCGTTCTTCCCACCCCGTTCCCTCTCTCTCACGGCCTCTCGGGCTCCCGGCCATTGCCAAATGGATCCGTCGGCAAGATCGTCGAGCTTCTGCGCCGGTGGCTCCCCGCCCCCCTCTCCCCTCCCCTCCTGTCCTGTCCTCTCTCCCCCATTCTCGATCGCGGTCCACCGTTGCCACCATCCTCCCGGCCTCGCCCATGCACTTCCAGTAAGAGGGCTCGTCACCGCGCATATATATGAGTACTCCAAGACAGGAACCCGCATAGTCGTATCCCATAGGGACCTCTAAGGGACCGCCTCCCCCCCCTCCCCCCCCAAAAAGGGTAGCTGATGTAGAAAGGGTAGGTAGGTAGGTGCCGGCAGGGAAAGCGAGCGCATGCGTCCCATTCGTAACAGACGAGAGCTGCCGTGTTCCGCCAATCAAGGCACGGAAGTAAGCACCGCATATCTCCAGTGCGATGGAAGACGGAAAAGAACAAAATCGCGCGGGGGCGTGACCTCATCTACCAGTCATGGCATGTCTTTCCTTTTCTCACTCTCTATCTTCTCTCTTTTATCTCTCTCTCTTCTCCTGCTGGTCGGGTCACCTAGAAACAAGTGCATAAGTATGGTGGGCCACCCTCCCTCTCCGGAGGCTGGCTGTATTGGGCCGGCATGCCCACATGTTTTCTCAGACACGGGACCCAAAGACGGCCCTGCAGGGGCTGGGACTGGGGGCCGGGGGTCGGGGTTGGGACCGACGGAGAGAGAAAGAGAGAGAGAGAGAGAGACAGGCAGGCAGGCAGACGGGCAGACGGACAGACAGGGAAGACGGAAACCGAAGAGGGAAAGAAAGAAAAAAAAAAGGAAAAAAGAAAAAGAGAGAAGAAAATAGCAGGCCGAGTGGGACGGCGAGGATGCTCTGGGCATCGCTGCGACATACTCACCTACCTCATGGGGGAGGGAGGGGGTGGTCTGGTGGTGGTGTTCACGCGAGACAGCATCGCGGTCCGGCCGGACGAGAAGAGAAGGGGTGGGTGTGGGCAGGGGAGGAGGAGGGGTGTCTGACCTCGTGGTGGACAACTGGCATGCCGCACCGCACACCCAACGGCGAACCTGGCTGAGATGCGCAAAGTGGAAGCCCTTTTTTCCAAGGCACACGCCGTTCTTTTCCCCCTTTCCGCCCGCATACGCGGATGTGTAGGTATGTAGGTGGAGGTAGAGGTAGGTAGGTAGGCATCTCGTTTATTCGCATTCAGTGCTTTCTGTCCCCTCCCCCATCCCCCCCCTCTCTCGCCGTAACGGGTCCTTTCTGCGCCCCATCCCATCCTATAAGGTAGCTAGGCTGGATCGACTGGCTGATTGATTGATTGTTGTGCGCTTTTTCGTCAGCTCCCCTTCCCCCCCCTCCCTCATCCTCGAGCCGGCGCCGGCAGCTGGTTGGCTGGGAACGTACATACCTATATGTAAGATCATAAGTGAGATCGGGATACGGAAGTTCGCACCCATCAGCTCGAGAGGCGCACACACGCGCCCACGGATACATAGACATGAACGTACGGCGACTTGGGGCCAGAAAGAGGGGGGGGGGCGGGGGAGAGTATTTCTCCGAACCGATTTTTCCCTCCGTATGGTAAGTGGTAGGTAGGTTAAGTGCGCATACCTGCCCACTTGCTGCCGGCTATTCTACGCATGTAGGTTCCGTCGCGGCGACGATATACCTGCCTACCGACATGAAACACCACGGGATAAAAAAAAACAAGAACGACGTCCGGACACTCAGGGTACAGGGTGGCAGCAGAGCACGTGCCCAGCGGAAGACACCCGAGCATCGAGATCGCGAAACGAAGTCGGTCATACCTAGGTACTACATACCTACCGTACAGATACCTACATTCCGTGCGCGCTCCCCGTTGGCGAGTCTTCTATCTCCTGGGCGGCTTCTGAACGGCGGGGGAGGGGGAGGGGGGGAGTGGCTGTAGCTGGGAGCGAGGGGCCGGACGAACGACGAATAGGCCGAGTCGGGTTGGCTGCGGGCGTCTTGGCACGAGCCGCGCGGTCCATGGGGAGAAAGGAAAGGAGGAGGAGGAGAGAGAAAGCAAAGAATGTCGCCACGCCGGATTGCCGTAGCGGTGTGCGTTTCTGCTCGAGCATCGCATCCCCACCGCTTTCTCTCTCTCTCTCTCTCTCTCGCCGCCATCGCGTCGCCCACTCTCTCTCGCCTCTCGACGGGCCGGCCCCTCGCTAGCAGCTAGGCTCCCCTCGGGAAAGCCCGGCACCAGGGGCGCCACCAAGACCGCGCGGCTTCCAAAGGCCAGGAATGCAAGAGGGAGACCGGGCAAGCTGCCTGCCCCGCTCTACGCTGTGTTGTTCCGCTCTGTTTGGCCTCTCCCGGATTCTGGCTTCGACCGCTCGCCGTCTCTGGCTGTTTACCTGCCGACCTAGCTTCCCCGGGGCCCCACCTCGTCGTCGTCGTCGTCGTCGTCGTCGTCGTCGCTGTTTGTCCTGGACCTAGGTGTCGGCGGGCGGGAGGCCAAGCAACGTTTCCGAGAGAGGGAAATCTGTTGTCCGTGTAGGAGGGGGCGTGGTGGGCCCCGTGGGCCCCCCATCGTCCGGAGTCCTCCCTTTGTCTATCCATCCGCCTGCACGTTGCTCGCGCCCCCCTCGGGATCCCCCATCGGGCCTCTCCCCGTGCGCCCGTGCTGCCTGGCTGCGGCTCGCCACGGGAGGAAAGGCGCTTGGGGTCGGATATGTGTGGGTTCCGAAGAGCCCTCTACGGACAGAGATAGGATGAAGATGCCCCCCGTGCGGCCCTCGCACGTTTCCCAGATGGGCGTTAGGTAGGTATGTCGCGGGTAGGTATGTAGGCGGATGTAAGTGCGATTTGCTTGCGCATACAGATGCGCCGCTACAGAGGTGCAGGCCTCGCATACCTACGTGCTGCACCTGTCTGTTCACGCCCGTAGAATCCCTTCAGATTAATTAGCATGCCTCCGTAGCTGAGCGCCATTCCCCATAGCAGTGTGCCCCGTGTGGAGACGCACGAATGGTCGCCCGGTGGCAAAAGCCTCGCGATGCACGGCGCCGGTTCGAGGATTGACCCCCTGGCCCTCATTCCGTCATGCTAACGCTGGATTCCCTTATCGACCAGCTTTGGGGATGGAGAGCGAATGTGGACCGGGGGGAAAAGAAGCGAAGAGCTTGTCAGAGCTCTCCTGTGGACAACCCAGTGCCGAACCATGGCTCAGCAACGTTCATTCGTTCTTCTTGTGCCGCGGGCGCCATAATGCCTACCTCTCGCTATCGAGGAGCGCATCTGGATTGGACAACACGATGAGATGCTCTATCTAGGTGCGTATGATGATTCGTATTGTGAATATGGATCCGCGGCTCTGTGGGTCCTGCCTATTTGTCTTGGGCCAACAATGCCGGCTCTCTCTCGACGCTCATTGCTGCGATCTCACGTCCTTACATGATGCCATTACCACAGAACGATAACGCACACATGCTGGCTCGCGCGCTCGCAAGATCGAATCTGCGCCGACGTGCCGTGCCCCGTGGGTGCATGCGCAGACGTCCCGCGCTGGCGACTCTGCCATTGCCGGGGGAGGCATGTATGTACCTACCTACCTACATACACCCAGTTATACGGCTGCTGTAGGCGTCTCTCGGGATAGGTAATGGCGCGCAGAGCAGCCAGGGTCCGAGATCGCGTCGTGTACCTACCGACCTACATATGTAGGTGCGAGCTGGCGTCTTATTGATCTTTCGAGATTTGCTCCCTCTTCTCCATTACACACCTCCCAACGTTCTACTGGCCGGGCGCTCTCCGATCCTAATTGCCTTTTTCTGGTTGGGCTTTGCGTAGGTTATGCCACTCGCCTCTTCGTAAGTATCTTCTCAAGCCGCTCTAACACGAGAATTAGGCCAGCGGTTCCCCCCTGCCTCCTTTAGACTCGTACGACACCTGTCGCACACGCCCACACATACCTAAGTGCTGATGTGAGCGAGAGAGAGATCGATCGATATCCTGTTTCGGTGTGCCTCCAGGAGCACCTATGTAAACCAGACGAGAAGCTAATTCGGGGCTTCCCTCGAGCGCGCAAGAGCTGGCTTTCATTTGAGGGGGTTTTTTCTCCCCTTCTCGTTCGATTTCACAATCGACGGCCACGTATGCGATATCCACCGCGAGGCGTGGGACGCGCGACGACGATGACGGCGATCCCCCGGTGGCGAGCCGGTCTAGACCCTCCCGCCTCCCCAGGCCAAACGAGGCGATGAGCCCGCGCGAACGCGCCCCAGGGCGCCGCCGAACCCACACGCTACCCACCGCGCGGGTGGCTGCAGGTTCAGGGGGTTTCCCCCTCCTTGGGAGACCTGCGGGTAGGCGGGCGACACTGACGCACACTCACTCACACGCACTCACACAGGCACACACACACTCACACACAGGCGCACACTGGAGAGAGCTGGAGGGAGCGGGACAGCGAGGGAAACGTGAGACAGTGTAGTAGCCCCTTAGGGAACCTGCGTCACTTGTGTGCGTGTGTGTGTGTAGACCCCAGATACCGGGGCCCGGCAACAACCACCGAAGGGGACGGAGAGGGAGGGGGGGGGGGAGAGAAGGGGTGTGCCCATAGCTAGGGTGGAAAAATCGGGGGCTTCTCTCGAACGATCTGCATTTTCTCGACACGAGCCGACAGCCGACACTCCCACTTTCGAGGACCCCAGGAGCGAGGAGGATGGGGCGGGGCGACGGATCGCGCCCCGCGCGCCATACCTACGTAGCTGGCATGTCTACACACAAGCCTGCCTGCTCGGGCGCGCACGTACGTACGTGTGTATTGCACTAGTCTGGGACCGCGGCCGGGATCGGAGAGAGAGAGAGAGAAAGAAAGAGAGAAAGGAAGAGAGCGAGGCAGTGGCCAGCTAGGCTGGCGAGGGAGACGTGCAGGATGGCCCTGCAGCGTCAGGTTCGGCGCATAGGCGCCACTCCCCCCCCCTAGGGCGGGGGCGAGGTGCGAACTACGACGCGACACCTCGAGCAGACTACAGTGCGAAGGTGATGTTGGGGGGACGAGGGAGGACGCCAGACAAGGGGCAGACGAGCCAGAAGCGGCCGGATACATAGAGAGGGTAGAAGAAGGGGGGGGAGGAGAGACGAGGAGGCGCCGGCGGTCGTGTTGGGAGAGCCCGTCGTGGAGGTGGTGTGTTACACGGCCTCCCGTTATATCCTCTCCTCTCCTCGCGCTGTTCTTCAGTCACGTATATCCAGGCGCGGGTGACTCGGACTATGCACACTCGCGATACGGGCGCCCGAGATGGGTTGGGCGAGCTGTGGGAATCGTCAGCGGGGGGCCTGCGAGGTTGTCCCTACATAACATGCCTCCTACCTTACATATGTAGATACGTAGAGACGCAAAGGGGAGAGGAGGCGAATAGGCAGGTAGGCAGGCAGGCTCTGGCATTGGGCATTGTAGATCCCACGCCGAGGGTTAGGGTAGAGAGAGGAGAGGCGCGGCCGGTAGCTGGGCAGACAGGCAGGCGAGGTTGGCTGCATGGGCAGGGTAGCATCGTCGAAGCTCTCCCGCCCTTCTCGCCGCGGCGGCACCTGGTCAGAAAAATCGAGAGGGTCCTCCTGCTAGCGATGATGACGACGCGAGAGCCGGCGGCCACAAGCACCTGGCGTTTGCCTTCCTCCATGCGCCCTCCCCCGTAGTGATCGCCCAAACTCGGCCATGACACCTCCTGCGTCCTGCTGACGCCCAATTAGATAGACGGGGCGGCGAAATGCCAGGCAGGCAGGTAGGTAGGCAGGCAGGCAAGCAAGTAGGCATGCGATCGATGGCTAGTGCGGTGCCGCGCTATGCTTATAGACTGTTCGTCGCGGGCTGGCGGACGACCCTCCATGCGTACGTCCATGTCTGCCGTCCGCGTACCTATGTCTACGTCCACATACCCGCCTGCATATACCACATGCCGCCACCGTCTGGCGACCACCTCGTAGCTCGCGAGGCAACCGGCCCCGCACGTCTCACACCGGTGGCATGGGGAAGACGGGAAGGGCGATGTGCCCGGTCACTCGCCCGGTCGCCCACTCACACACGCTCGCTCGCTCATTCAGCCGCATACCTCCCCCCCTCCCCCCCCCCAATCCTTCTATGCCCGATCTATGGCCTGTCTACCCTCCCGTCCAACCCCGCAGCCGCTGGCGAATGGAACCGTCGGACTTCCAGCCTCTCGTCACCCCTCTCGCCCGTGAAGCATGGTCTGCGCGGCAGGGCAGCACGCCGCGGAAGGAATCCAGCGAGCTGGCTTAGCCCGCTCGCCCTATTCTGCACTTTCTTCCTCTTCAACCCCCCCCCCCCCCCCCCCGGTGTAGAGAGGGGTCTTGGTCTTGGGCGTGGACGAGCCGTGACCGGCTGTCTCACCGCCTGCACACCGCCCCGATCCTGGGTTGGGCAACAACAGCGGACAGGAGGTAAAAGAAGAGAGAGAGAGACAGGGAAAGGGAGAGGGTGGTCAGAGAGAGAGACACGGAGACAGGGACAGACAGAGCGAGAAAGGCGGGCGCGCGTGCGGGTATTGGGCCTACGCAGGGTAGCCGTCGCATCGCCTTCGTCATCGCCACCCCACCACCACACGTTTCACCCCATTCGTGAAACCCGGGGTAGGGCGAGACAGACAGGAGGGAGCGAGAGAGAGAGGAGGGGAGAGGGGGGACGCGGGAGGGGGGGGCGAGCGGTTGTGATCCCTCCCAGGGCGCAACCTCATCTATTCAATTGACCTTAGCGCGGGCCTGGCTGAGCCAAGGCGGTTTTTGATTCTATCCTACGGGTTGTGTAATAGGCGATATGTGTAGACGTATAGATATGTAGGCAGCTAAGCCAGCCCAGCTAGCTAGCTCGCCGGGCAGTCAGTCAGTCAGACATGGCGACGGGCACGCAAGCCTGTTGCTCGTCTCTCCTCCCGACGTCGTCTTCTGCTCCTGGTCCTCCTCTCGGCCCCCGCCCGCGCTACTCCTGGCTCCCACTGCTCGACGTAGACGGACGGACGGGTTGGTAGATAGCGTATCGAGACGAGAAGACGAAGGTAGAGACAGGACGAGAGAAGGACTCGATAAAAGAGAGTGAGGATGAAAGACGAGAGAGAGACATGCATTCCCCCGCAAATCGTCGGTGCATATGCAGAACCGATGCACAGCATCTCTCTCGCCTCTTCTGCTGCTCTGCTGCTGGTGCGATCACTTAACTTCCACAAATTAAAAACCCCCAAACCTAAGGAATGAGAGGAGAGAGGAAAAAAATAACCAAAAAAATCGAGAAGCATGACGCAGCCTCGCCCCCCATGATCTACCCTTATTTCTCCCAATGAATACCGTCAGGTGGTGTCTTTTTTTTTTCTTCCCCTTCTTAGTTTGGTGTAAGCATTTTCTCTGATCCCAATAGGTTCCCCTTCCACCACCAATAAGTTGTATGCTACGCCGGTGAACGAATGAGCCGTGCTGGCCGATGAGCGAACCGAAAACAATAGAGAGGCTATTGAAGTAGGCTGACGGCGTGTGATTCCAAGACAGACAGGGTCCATCTCCATCCCAATTGACAAATGGTGTCCGGCAGGGCCCCTCCTCCCGATACCTACCTTTGCTACCTATCGCGGCCGTCGCCCCGGGTGGGATGGATAGCAGAAGGGACAGACAGAGGACGACGGGAATGGGGTGGAGAGGAGAGGGGCATCGCAAATGGGGGCCCGCCAGCAACCAACCGCCGCACGGCTTACTTCTTGCCGCCGGCACTCTTGGGATCGTATTTGTCCTTCCAAATCCTGCGGGGGGGGACGACGACGTGCCCAATTGGTTAGCATGAGCGCAGCGAGGCCGAACTAATGATGGGTGTATGTAGGTATGTATGGCAGTGGGGCTTAGCTGGACGAAGGAAAGAGAGTACATCCGAAACGGAGAAAACAAAACGGTAGCACGGCGACGAGTTACGACAGCAACGTGTGAGAACAGAAAGAAAGAGGAGAGAAAAAAAAAGTAGAGCCGGACGTCGCCGCTGCAACCGAGGCATTAACGGTGCCAGATGGCGCGACATGGTAGTGAGCCCATAGGCTGGTGAAGGCCGAAAGAGGGAAAGGGAGAAGATGTGCGCGCGCGCGAGAGAGAGAGAGTGTGTGTGAGAGGGAGAGACAGAAGAGGAAGACAAAAGCGACTATGAACGACAGCGAGCAGCAGAGGCAGACAGGCATGCCGATGGGGACCGCGGGCAGGGATGGGGCAAAAACAGCGACAACATCCCGGATTTCGGTCAAAGTTGCGGCTTTGATTCGTTTAGACCCCAACGCCAAAGGGGGGCCCGTTTCGGCGGCCGTGTTCGGGTGGGTCCCCAAGGGGAGGACGACGACGAGGGAGAGCGACGAAGAGGAAGAGAGAGAGAGAGAGAGAGAAAAAAAAAAGGGGCATCGTCGCGAGAGGACGCGGTTCTAGACCGGATCGGAGACCCTCTTGCCTTCGCTAGGGAAGAGCAGAGCGACGGATACAGATACAGACATGAGAGCGAGAAAAGTAAGGCGAAATGCCTCCCAACGGGGGGGATCCATTGGGAGGACGGAGAACCTATCGCTGGCTTTCCTCCCCCCCCCCCCCCCCCCCCCTTTTCTCTCCGCCTGTGTCTTCCCCCCTACCCTCGACACTAAATAAGTCGTCCGGCGACGCAGAGCTACGCAACGCAACGCGACGCGACGCTATGCTACGCTACGCACCGCTACGTAACTGCGCCGCCGATGCATGCAGTGGTCGGAAGAGAGAAAGGAAAAAAAAAAGGGGGGGGGGGGGTAGAGGGAGACAGAGACGGACCGTATGCATGCACTGTATGTATGTGCATGCACACGCATGCGTATGGGTGCACACTTGCGCCCGTACGTACATACATACACGTTCGACGTATATACCATACATACTGTATAGCAGTATGCCACACATGGTTGACATGTACGGGTGCCGCTAAGAGGTGCATGTATGTATGTAGGTATGTATGTAGGTGCTGGAGCGTGCCGTCATACGATACGGGAGAGCTTACGAAACCGCGAAACAAGAAATACATGAAACGATGGCATTGGCGGTATCGACAATAGGAGAGATGCGACACTACTCACCATGTATTTCCCAGGGTCTTGTTGCCGTTCTGCTCGGCAAGCCGGTAGTATCTCGCCGCGGCGTACTATAGAGCAGGCATATGGTTAGTCTCATGTGATCTCCCCCTCTCCTTTGCTCTCGCGGCGATAGACCCCAGTCTCGTGTGTCCGTGTGGGGTGGGGAGGAGGGGGACGGAGGTAACGCGCGCAGCGTTGTTGGTCGGCAGCGAGTGGGTTAGGGAGGTAAGAATCTCTCTCTCTCTCTTTGGCATTCGTCCCGTCCGTCTGTCTTGTCTCGTCTACCGTGCTTTCCCTGGCAGGATGTGATTCGCGACGGGGAGCGCACGAGAACTCGCCTCATTGCTGCCCAACGGTGAGGGCTACGGGCGTCAACAGGGGAGCGGCAGACAGGCAGTGGGCGAAAGCGGGAAAGGAAGAGAGAGACACAGGGAGACGGAGACGGCTTGCTTCCGCTCGACGCTAAGCATATGAGTCTGACCATACAAGCCACATGGTCCCGAAGGCCACCTGAGGCTGATGACACCTCATCGCCGGATTGCTGTTGCGTGTACGACGCCCGTTTGGCTTGGGCAGGGACGTAGGTGCCGTCCCCGAATCGGAAAGTGATATGTGATGGATACCTATGTGATGACGATGGCGGGAGGGGGGGGGAGGAAGGACAGGGGGGATCGCAGACAGAGCACCGAAAAGAGTGGGAATCGGGACAGGGAGACGACGGAAGAGAGGGCGACGGACAGACGGAGGGAGAAGTCGACTGGGCGAGATACGCGGTAAGGTGGGCAAAAGATCCCAACATTAGCTACCCAGCCTTCGCGCCCGACGTACGTACCTTGTCCTTCTTGCATCCGAAGCCTTCGAGATAGCACCAGCCAACTTCGTTCATTGCATCTACGTACACCGAGCAGGGAGCGAGTCGCCCGCGTCAGCCCATCATCGCGTTCTTCTGCTTCCTCGACGAGGCACGTCCTCCCGCGCGCTCGTCGGCGGCGAGTGGATAGGGGGACGGATAGATGGAGGACTATTTTTAACGATTCGATGCCACTCACCCGTGTCTCCTAAGTTAGCTGCCGTCTCGTAATACTGCTCGAATGAACCCATCCATTAGTCAATGTCATCGTCAGAACCGTAGAATCGGCCGGCTCTTCGTCGCTCGATGGCCTCTCGCGCTCTTCCCCTCTCTCCTTCCTGTGACAATACCCGTCTCTTTGGCAAGTCTCTCTGCGCTCGGTCCATCGCGGTTTCTCCCGAGGGTGGGCTGGCTGGCCCATTATTCTCATCATCGTCATTATCACCGGCAGTGTTGTCCACTCGAGTGCGTCGTCGTCGTCACCAAGCCGCCCCGGGCGGCCTCTGCCTGCCCTATCCTTTCGGAACGCCTCTCCCGTCTCTCCTCCCTTTCCCCGCTCCCCTCTGGTTCTCTCCTCCCTTCGTCCTCCTTGCTACCCGTCCGTGCCCAACGCGCCTCGGGGAAGAACAGAAAAGAAAAAAAGAGCGACGGAGCCGTGCCACGGGCTGGGAGGCGGAGGGGGACGACCCACCTGCTTTGCGGCGACTGGATCTCGCGGGATGCCCCAGCCGTGGCGGAAGCAATTCGCCAATTCGAAGATGGCCAGGACGAGCTCGCCCTTGGCCGCGCCGCCCTTCTTCATGCCCGCCTGTAGCGCCATGCTCTCGACCGACGCCGCGTTCGACGCCGCGGCGGATAGGTAGTTGACTGCGCGCTCCGTGTCTGGTTCGCAGCCCCAGCCGTGTCTGCAACTCCCCCTTCGCGCGCGCCCGGCCTCAACCCCTTTCCCCCGTCGCCCACCACCGGCGACGGGCGGCTGGGCGGGCGGGCGCTCCAGGAGATGGTTGTTAGCCCCCTTTCCAGCAGTCGAAAATAGGTAAAAATAGCGCGTCTTCGGATTCGCAGACGCGGGAACTGTAGGAGAACCGAAAGGGAAAAAGGAGAAGGAGAGAGCCTCTGCCACGTTTTCCATCTGCCGTCCATAGATCTCTTTTTCCCCAATCGGGCCATGCCTTGCCACTCATCGACGCCGGAAAAGCCTCATGCCCATGTGCCTCGCCCATTCGGTAAGTCGAACGCAGAGCCGTGAGACCGGCCAGCTCTGGCGGCGAGGTTCTAGACCCGGCCGTATGACATAGCAGACGACGTATCAGATGAAGACGCCTCTTGTCCGTCTCCTGCTTCCTTGCCACATAACACACACACACCTCTCCCTCTCTTCCGTCACATGTAGGGGTATAATGGTTGTGATTATCATTATCATTACCATCGTCACCGTCATTAAGAAGATCCTTGTTGGGGTGCCTAGGCAAATGAAAGGCAAGGGTAAATCTGATGAAGAATAAGAGGAAATAAAAAAAAATTGGCCGCATGCGCATGCGCATGCTCGACGCGCGATGAGCGCACGCGTCGCCGCTGCTGCAACTGCTTCTGCACCAAGTACTGACTAACCTCAGAGCGAGCCCGTAGAGCACCTGGCTCAGGGGGTTATTCGCGCCTTGGGGGTCGGCGAGGCGGCCGAAGAGCCGGGTCGACTGGTCGAGGTCGCCCTCTTCGTGAAGCCGGATGCCCTCCTGGATCTGCTCGTCGATCGCCTTGGACGAGATGACCCCGCCGGGAGCCGGGGACTGCGCGCGCGCGTGCGGCGCCGCCGGCGACCGGCTGCGCTGGCGCAGGTTCGTCTCCGCCAGCATCGTCGCGCGCTTCTCCCACTGGCCCTCGTACGCGTCCTTGTCGGCCCCGGCCGCGCTCCTCCCCCTGCCGTCGGCACCGCCGCCCGAGGACGACGGCCGCGCTCCCGAGTACTCCGCCGCCTCGACGTTGATCTGCGGCAGGTTGGCGGGCACATACTCGGACTTGGCGTGGCGCGACGACGAGGACGACGGCAGGCGGAACCGCTCCGATAGGCCGCGGTGCCCACTCCCCCCACCGCTACCGCCAGGACTGGTGCTGCCATCGCCGCCCTCCCTGCCGTCGCCCGACGTGCCATCGTCCCGCGAACGCGGTCTGAACACGTCGAGGCTGCGGCGCGTCCGAGAGGGTGGGGACCCAGCGTCCTTGGTGGACAGGAAGTTGCCGCCGCTGTTAGGATAGCGATGGCGCTCGCTCGGGTCGCTCGGCGGGTGGATGATCTCCTGCGTATGCGTGTCGGAGCGTATGAAGGTGAACTCGGGCCCGGCCAATCTGTCGAGGGTCTCGCGATCGGTGCCGTGGCCGTCGTCGAGCCGATCCTTCTTCCTGATTAGGTCGCGCAGCCCCATGATTGACGTGATCTGATTCGATTAGCCTGCGTAGTTTTCAGCTGCGATTGCGACCCTGTCTCGCGCTCTGCCTCTGCCAATCTCTTCTGTCTTGGTCTCTCGGTCTCTCGGTCTCCCTCGCTATTTCTCTCCTCGTCACCACACACGCACACATACGTATACGCGCATGCACCTGCAAATGCGTATGTGCCTTACCTGGCTCTTTTCCCCGTCCCTCTGTCCTGTCCCTATCGCTCACCTTTTCCCTCACGCGGTTGGCCAAAATGCGAGGATCTAAAATTAGCGACCTAGTCACGAAGGGAGGCTTCGGATGTAGGTAGGTGTGTCTGTCGGTAGGGCAAAGATGGATAGGGAAATTCGACCCGCCCCAAAATTAAAGTAGGTGCAATAAACCCCCCCCCAAATAGGCGAAACGGCTCGCATTCGATCTCTTCTTTCTTCCCTCTTCCGCGCTGCCGGGTTAAAACAGTTGTCCTTTGGTCTTTAATAGGTGTTCGTTACCCGAGTGAGCCCAGCCCATTCGTTTCTCTCAGCCCCGTCTTACGCGCCGACGAACGACCTAAAGGGGCATGCCCAAACGTAGAGAGGGACGATCGAGAGGGGGGGAGGGGAATGCGAAGAGGGGCCTTCGCGCGAGCGCGCGTTCCCTTGCGGTCCCGCCCGTGGCACGACGGCAGAAGCACCAAGGAAGCGAATGGCGGGAGAGGGTGCCGACCTCCCAATCCAGTCTGAGAGTAGCACAGCCCGAGAGAATCGCTTGGTCGCTGCTAAACCCGAGGGGTAGATTGCGAAAAGGAGAACGAGAGAGAAAGGAGAGGAGAGACGGGTCTCTCGGTCCCAAAAGCTGCTACAACTCGCGCGCCAGGTTTGGCTGTGGCGCACCAGTGGTCTGTCTGTCTGCCTCGCAGCGCTCGGGTTGCGGGAATGGTTGCAGATCCGGCCCAGCCCAGCCCAGTCCCGTCGCGCTCTCGGCGGGGAGAACAAAAGAGAGCTGTAGCGGGTCTTCTAATAATAATAATACGCGGCACCTCCTGACATTGCTCTGGGACTGGGAACTGCTGGTCGCATTACACACGCCCAGACGCGAGTCATTCCCGACCACCATCGCATTCAGAATATTTACCATGACATCACACCCACCATCCCGTCCGCCGTCCCACCCTCTACACGCGAGCCCGTCCTTCCACTGCGCATATGCATCTCTACTCTCGCGTCGCTTCTAAGGGGTTACTGTCGTGCCATGTGTACGAATATTCTCTATTGCAATGCCTATCTTTTCGTCTGTCTTTCTTTCTCTCCCTCTCGCGCACTCTCGCGCGCCCTCGCCTGGTTGTTTCGCTTGTCCATGTCTCTCTCCTTCCCTTTCTCTCTTATTCTGCGTCCTTTTCTGCAACTTCGAGGGCGTCTAACAGCCCTCCCTACGCAAGGCTCTATCAAACAAGCCGGGTCGCAACGGGGTATCACGGACAGTAACCATTAAAAACCAAACAACGGCCGTGATTTATGCCGTCCAGATGCTAGCCAAGGGTTGCTAGAAACCGATCGCCAAGGGGAACCAAAGTTGAGGGAACAACCTGCGATACGTAGTGGAATGACGATGCTGGTGCTGGTGGTGCGCCCTTGGTACGATGAGCATTGTCCACGACGACACACACATACAGACACGGGACGCGCGCGCGCATCTTGAGTACCTAGACGGTTAGTCGAGAATTGTCAGGTGGGACTCATCTTAGCTCGATGTAATCCTTCTGCTCCGCAAAATCTAGGTCGTTGTCGTCGCCGTCCCTTCCAATGAACTCTTCGACCTCATCCGAGTCGATATCGTCGCTGTCGGCTGCCGCGTCCTCGTCATCGCTAGACAGATCCTCCATCTCCTCGGAAGACGGGCGATTGTTCGTCTTTCGAAGGACACTTGCCCTTTCGATATGTGGTCGCTTGCAGCCCTTGAGCTTGCAGACACCCGTGTTACTGAAGTCGGGGCACTCGAACACGTGGCGATCGGCGCATTGCGCTCCCCTCTCGCAGTAGCCATAGATCCCAAACGATCGACACACCGGATCTGTTGGGGAATGCTCGGCATGCACGTACGAGCAAGAAGGGTTGTGGCAATTGCCCTTCGCAAAATGCAGGCAGAGCGGAGTCCGCTCTTTGGTAACATCATGCGACAGGTCGCAATCCTCGCCTCGGAGGCAAGCCCCCTTTACGAGATAGTCTCGGCAGATGGCCGTTTTCGAAACATCGTGGAGATAACGGCATCGGGGTCCCTTGGGGCACGAACCTATACGACAGCAGGACATTAGCATGCACACCCGGGGGGGTCTTACCACTCCGCAGTCCTTCATCGGGTCGCGAGATGGGCTTGTCCGTGACAGGTTTTTTTTTTGTGAGGAAGACGATACCGGTCCATGAAAAGGTCTTGCATTGCTCGTCGACCTTCTTGACGCCACCAGCGAATCTAATAGCAGCGACGTTAGCGCAGGCTCTGCATACGCGATGCGCCACATACCGCTGGGCTTTCACGATGCCATGTCGCACCAAGTTGCCGTGTTTGGTTCGATGGAACTTGACGCCGCCGATTGACGTCACCTTCGGAGTGGCTGCGGGGGGATTCACGTCGTCTGGTAGCCAATTAGCCACACGACCATCATGTCTTCTTGACACATGACACGACTGACCGGGCGCCTTGACGAGCTTGCTCCCCTGTCGCACGACATGGAATCGAATGCCATCCACCACTACCTCGTATCGTGAGGCCGAGGCGGGTGGGTTGTGGGAAGGCCCAGACCCGAACCCACCACCGCCGGCACCCCCGGGACCGTTTTGCAGTATGCTATTCATGAAGGCAGCCGTCTCACGCTTATTCCTCTGGGCTTGACGGTGGCGAAATGTCTGCTCTATCGCGCTGGCACGTTGCTGTGTCTCCTTCTCGTACACGGAACTGTTGATCAGCTGCATATGACGGTCCGTTTTGGTGACCCAGGCCGAAGCGGGAGTGGATGGGTCGGATGGCTCGTTGGCACCATCCTTGGCATCGGCTGCGGATTTGGGTTGGCTGTTAAGAACTAGAGACCTGTTGCGATAGGTTGGGAGAGCTCTGCCACGCCCGCCACGATAGCCTCCACGAGGATATGGAGCAGCGCGGTGGGAACCTCGAGAAGCAATGTCGTTGGTCTTGTTAAGATCTTGTGACGTTAGCCCTTGGATCTACGGTGGGGGGGTGGCAGGAAGAAGCGAGTTGCGACGGTTTGGGTATCTCATACCAGAATTCAGACCGTCGCGTTGAGCCTTGTGGCGATTAATGCGGCCTGTGTGTGAATGATGAGTAGGCGCTTTGGGACGAAACCCTGACGGTCCATCGCTATCGTGCTTACCGGCTAACTGGCTGATCTTGGCCATCAACTCTTGGTCCTCTGAAGTCGACATCTTCGTAGCTGAATACTGGGTCGTAAGTAACCGGAATCAGAGATCACAACGCGTTGAGATGAAAAGGGAAGAAGACAGCGTGGAAGGGTACGAGTACAGAGATTAGCGCGAGGACGCGAGAGGTATAGGGACAGTATGAGAAAGATGCGTGGTACTCGAGATCCCTTGCTGTTTAAGAAACGACGAGGAGGAGGAACAGATGCATGGGTCACCCCCCCTAGGCTACCAACGAACAAAGAAATCTGAAGACTACAGATTGTGCCGAGGGCTCTGGCGCGTTGCCGCTGAGGTCGTTCGTTCAACCGAGGGAAGGAGGTGAAAGGGGAGGCAGCATGGGTATACCGTGTGTGTATGCGGATTGCTGCTGGGGACGGCGATCGATTCTTTAAGGGAGGCGAACTTGCAACTAACGTCTTGAGGCGCTCACTGGATCACTGGATCACACGATGGGCAGCGACTACGGGGATCGCGACGTATGCGTCTAGGTCGGTTCGTAGCAGGAGGTTACAGAGGGTTGTGGCCTAGGTTCGATGGGAGGTGTCTGATGGATAATGCTGGGAAGGGATGGCGGAATGATAGCGATACTTGGAAGAGAGAGAGAGAGTCGGTAGGTATAGGCCCAATGCCGTCGGCTCCAATGCAGGGTCCCATCGGTGCCGGCGTTAACCTTGGAAAACGAGGTAAGGCCTTATCTTATCGGAGAGGTGTATCTTAAGCAGTATGATATGCAGGTATCAAGGTTATGTACCTAACATAGCTAGCGCATCATCGAACCTGGCATGTGTTACATAATCGGTCCCCTACAGAAGCCCGTTCGCAGCGAGATGTGGCTGACAATGCATTTTACATGATTCAATTCTTTGACGGCGCTGGACACGGACAGCGCGTGCTCGACCTTTGTTCAATACACAACCGCCCTGTCCGTCCGCGTTCTCCGTCCCTACGCGCGAAAGCATCCAACTTCCTAGCCTTTGGCCTCTCGTCGCTGCAGCTGCTTGTTGCTGCAGCCCTGAGCTGGTGCAACGGCGCGCTCGAGACCGCATACCGATACCGAGAACCTGCCTCGTGGGCATTGGATACACCCGCGGCATCCAGCATGGCGGCCCCTCGTGTCAAGGCTGAGCCGAGCATCAAGCCCGAGCCTACCATCAAGGCTGAACCCGACGATGCCGGAGTCTCGCCCGCAGCCATGTCCGAAGACGACATCTACGAGGACGCCGGTGACCTCGAGTTCTACGACCCCAATGATATTCACGCCGGCTCCGTCTACTTGACCCACGTGCCTAAGTATCTGTACGATGCCTGGTCGCACCTGGACGACGACGCCGAGATAAGGATCGGTACGGTACGCCAGTGGAACGAGCCTGGCCAGAATGGTCAAATGAAGGCGAGCCGGCACTAGCTTCCCATCTTCCCCCGACTCGGTAGGCTGACGTGATACGTTCGCAGCAACGTATTTCGATGCTCATAGACCATCGGATCTCTCAGCATCAATCGGTTCCCAAGGAGTACAACCTCGACGTCAAAGACATGCAACTCACGAATACCTTCCTGTTCACCGAGCAAGACCTCCCCGGGTACAAATCCAAGTCCCAGGGCGTGAAGAGCGACATTCCTGCATTTCTCCGTCCGAAGCCGGAGCGCCCCCGTGAGGAAAAGAAGCCAGAGGAAAATAACAAGGGCGGCCGCAAGGGACGGTATCAGCCTTACTACCGGAAGGCCATCCCTAGTTCGTCTCCCTTTTCGTCTCTCCTTCTCTATGCTTTAATTCCTACGAGCCGCTTCTTGGACCCGGGCCCAATGCTGATTCATCGTAGAAAAGACGGTTCTTGCCGGGAGATTCCGTCACGAGTTAAACTGCCAGCCCGTCTGGACCGAGGAAACGAAGCATCTTCTGAGCATCAGAAACACTGATGCCATGAAGCCCAGGGCGACTACCACGCTTACGTCCGCCGCCAAGCCTACCGGCCTCATCCAGGCTGGTGCGCATGTTTCCAACGATAAATTCGGTAATTTCATCGTAAGTGTCGTCTTCCGATCGACGACGTACCGCCATTCTGACATGGTTAGCGCGCTGCTGCTCCCGAGACGAAGAAGGCCAAGAAGCAGGGACTAGAGAAGACGACTCGTTTGCCGAAGAGCGAGCTGCGCGACCAGCTCTTCAAGTGTTTCGAGAAGTACAGTTACTGGCCGATGAAGGCCTTGAAGCAGACGCTGCAGCAGCCAGAGGCCTGGCTACGCGAAAATTTGGAGGAAGTGGCGGTCCTGCACAAGACGGGAAGCTTTGCCAACCATTGGGAGCTTAATCCGGACCACAAAGCGGCGCTCAACATCCTGGGAGTCGAAGATGCCGCGCCAGATGACGCTCCGGAAGGAGACGAATCCGAAGAGGAGGAGATGGAAGATGTTGTCCCTACATGAGAGGGACGGGAGCAAGCATCTGGTGGTGAGTATGAATAGAGGAACTTTCCAGGGCTTAGGGCATAGAAAAAGGAGTTCGGGCCGTTTTTATAGGCCACATAATGTTTTCGGCCACATGATATATTCCGGACTGCTTTCATGTATGATTAATGATACCCTCGGCACCACACACCACAATCAGGACTGAGGCTTGGCGGTCATCAACTGGTAGAAACTTCAACAAGCAGCGTTAAAGGCGTATGCATATATGCTCCTAAGGACGAAGCGTCCCGGTATCGTGCTGTCTAAGATGGGCATAGCTCTGCCTCCGCTCTCCCTTCGGGCTTAGTGGAGGCGATGGTGACGGAGTAAGGAGGGTTGTATTTCTCGTCAAGAGGGCTAGCTGACGATGATGTCTTAAAAGACCTCACTTGTTCCCGGCTAGTCCCGCGTAGTAAACAGCATGGGCAACACTGTACCTAGGTGAGTATGTAAGTATATACATGTAAGCAAGGAAACCCCGGGACACTGGGTTACCTAGGAGATAGCTGTCCGTTATAAGGGAACCCAGTGGCCTTGCACACTTACGCACATATATATGAGCAGGTATATTAGGTGTTACGGGTGAAAATGCAATTTACGACTCACAGGGTTACCATTTGTATACGCCTTTTGTTAGTTGCTAGTTTTACGTACTCCTGGATCTCAGTGAATTCGTCGTGGAGCTTTGGGGACATGGGGAGCAGCCGTGAAACCTGCCCATCCCCGCAATCCAAACCCGGATCGAAGCCCGTCGTCCCTTGATCGAACCATCCATCCCTCCTTTAGTACCCCAGATCAGCCACCACCACCTGTCAATCCCACCGCACACCCTACCGACAGGACAAATCCCTCCCCCTGCAGCACGCGCAACCCATCCGCGATGAACATCTTCCTAGACTTCGACGGCACCATCACCGCCAAGGACACCGTCGGCGAGCTAGCCCGGTTCGCCCTGGGCGTGCAGGCCGCCGAGGGCGCCGACCTCGCCACCGCGTGGGACGCCGTCGTGCGCGCGTACGTCGAGGACCACGGCGCCCACGCGCGGGGGTACGACCCGCCGGCGGCGGCGCGCACGGCGCCCGAGCAGGAGATCGCGTTCCTGCGGCGCGCGAAGGCGGTGGAGGCGCGGTCGCTGGCGCGCGTGCGCGACTGCGCGCTGTTCCGGGGCATCGAGCGGGAGGCGTTCCGGGCGGCGGGGCGCGAGCTGGTGCGCGCGGGCGCGGTGCGGCTGCGGCCGGGGTTCCGGGCGTTCGCGGCGCGGTGGGCGGCGGCGCCGGGGGCCCGCGTCTGGGTGCTGTCGGTCAACTGGTCGGCGGCCTTCATCGAGGGCGTCTGCGGCGACGTGCCCGGCCTCACCGTCGTGGCCAACGACGTGCGCCCCGCCGACGGGTCCGTCGCCGGGCCCCCCGCCCTCGACCTCCCCGGCGACCCCCCCGGCCAGCCCCGCATCCTCACCAACTCCCGCGACAAGCTCGACGCCATGCACGCCCTGCTGCGCGCGGCTGCCCGCGAGGCCCACCCCTCCGTCTACTTCGGCGACTCCACCACCGACCTCGAGTGCCTCCTCGCGGCGCACCGCGGCTTCGTCGTCGCCGACCACGACGGCTCGTCGCTGCTCCAGACGCTGAGGAGGATCGGCAAGGAGGTGCCGCATGTAAGGAACCGAGACGCGGCGAGCAGTAATAGCCTGGCATGGACGTCGGATTTCGACAGCGTGCTCGACTTAGAGCTCGTCTGAGTTGATGAACGAAGTGCCCGCCGTGCCCGCCTCGCTTCTCCCCGAACATCTACGTCCATTCCGGTTTCTCGCGTAATGCCTCCGCCTACTTAGGTGGTCACGCAGTCTAACGAAAGCACTTCCGCATTTGGGTCTACGTAATAATCTACGAGAGCTCATACTGAGGGCTCTTGAATTCACCCCCTTTCGCGTAACTAATAATGAGGAAAGGGATATTAGTTTTCCGCGGCTAGGGCGACACCTGATACCACTACCAATATTCACCTGTAAGCTGCTTACTACGCAAATATAGTAAGATGTTTTGGTGTTTCGCTTGGATTCTCGTCGTGGTATTTGCTTCTCGTGATGGGCCCTCAACCCATATTGCCACCACCCACCACGAATATTCCTCGGCGTCTTCGTCTCGAAGTACGAACGGGTGGCCTTTTAGCTGCCAATAACTCCCCCCATGGAGGTACCCCTTCTTTTCCTTTGGAGCTCATAACTGGCATACCGCCGCCTAAACTCGCCGGGTGTTTCCCCCTCTCCTACGCCGACAGCCTCTGGATGCTACGCGAGAGTGACGAAGTAGATGCCCGTCTCGGATCAGCAACACGATTGACTCGATACATATTACTATGAGGGCACGGCCTAGTCACGCCCACTCTTAGCTGTAGCACCTGAATCCCGCCACCCTTGAGAGGATTGCGAGAAGCCCACTAGGTATCAGGACGCCAGTCAGGAATTGGCCAGATTACGCCGTAGCCTGGTCCTCGACTCGAGACACGAATCGTAAGATAATACCCCTTTTCGCCTTAATTTGCTTCTACGAACTCCGTGCTAATACCGTAAAGATCCCCGCTTTTCGTTTCATGCGTTGATGCGACTTGAATTCTTCATCAACTGAAGGGCAATGGCCCTCCGCCAAGCGACTCGACCTCGGGATCCAAACCCCCAACGCACATGATACTTAAACGGATTCTTGAAGGTGGGTCGGCGGAAACGTGTGAATAGCTAGACGATGGCGTATAAAATCTGAAGTACGACTGGTTAAAGGGCGGCTCCCAAGCTTCCACAGGTATGAATATTGTTGTCGTAACGTCGGCGCTCTGTATCCCTAAGAAAAGAATGATAGGATGAAGCAATTTACTATTGAGAATCACGTTAAGCGCCGAAGCATGCTATGAGTATATAATCGACAACCTTTAGACGCAAGGCTGGTCCCCCGAGAACCTTATTATTTACGGGTATAAAAATAAGACTTAGCTTCCAGTTATAAAAGGCAGAAGCTTAAGGCATTCTAGTTTAATATAGCTTTATATAACTATAAATCCATTCCTATTCTAATCCTTATTATCGAACGGAAACCCTATCTAACTATATCGCCCCACGTACATGGGACTATTATCCGATGGCACCTATAACCTACGTAACGATACGCCTGACAGTATTATGGCCTACCCGTGCCTCTCCGACGCACTAGTTTCTAACATAATCGGGATAATACCGTATCGTGGCCTGTCACTTATAAGAAAGGGCCTTGGATCGATAGGCGAGAACTATGAGAGCTACCAAAGGTGTTACGGAGATGGGCCTGGTGGTGAAGACTATCACGATGAGGGCGGCGGTGGCCACAAGCTATTACGGAACTTTATCGTCAAGGCTGATCTGCTGTGTTGGCATACCCATATCTCGCAGTGAATACTGCGAAGATATCAGGAGTTCCGGGAGGGGGACCGGAATGACGATGAGTTAGCACCCCCTCCTACTTCAGTGACATAATAATACCTTGGTCAAGGTGTTAGATGAGCATACGCCTACTGGGACGTGATTCATTATAGGGACTACTAAATGATTCGTGACTGTAATATGTATCCAAAAAGGATTCAGGGGCAGCCGGGCCATAATCACGCACACACGGTCGAGGAGACTACGTTTGCCTACGGTGACCACTATTTATAAAAGAGGACATCACTTAATGGTTGTTTAATATGGCCCCTGGATTATTATTCGTGATATTTTACTGTTTCTGTCCGCATCATGACGATTCATCACATAAGCCTTCCCGACATAACCATGGTATTTCTCTGAAGGTGTGATTCGCGTACCAGAGCCAAGTCACGACGAGTCTGGGTAGAGTGAATCTATAGATGTGTATGAAGGTCTGGTAGCGCCCCAAACCTTGTAGATATCGATATTATCGTTAGTTATTCGTTTCCATACAAGTTCTCTTAACAGTTTCTCACTTTCTCAGAGAACCTAGAGCAGGATTAATTCTGCAGCATTGTGTGGGACACAGAGAGCTGACCTCGAACCCTCCGACAGAAAGCATTTTGCCATACCGAGAACGCCAACCATACTACAATACGAACTATTACCTACTCGCCTAGGCAAGATTTGAAAGAGTTCGTTTCCAGCCCTTCAAAATGGCTGGACCGCCTCCCCCGGGATACGAAGGGAACGGCTGGAATACCGGATACAATCGAGTGCCTCTTCACCCTCCTCCGCCGGCGCCCCAGGCCTCTGGTGGCTGGCCGCCAGGTTGGTACCCGGCGGAGCGTCGGCAGTCGCAAGGTTCAAACCAAGGTGCCGACCAATACTACCCCGGCCCGAGTCCTCCCTATGCGAATCCCGGCCACCACTGGCCTCCTCCCGGGCCCGACCCGCGCTGGCGACCTGTTCCGCAGTCGTGCTTACCGAACCGACCTCCCACTGCTTCACGTGGAACTGTGCGCGGAGTCCACTGGGCCGCTGCTCCCGAGCCTCGCTACCCCATCCCTCCTCACTACCCTCCCTCTTCGTTTCCTCCGCTACCTGCCCCGCCACCTCCTAGCGAGCCCATAGCTTGTCGTCCCGTGGCAACGCGGTCCGATATAGATAACGTCTCCTCTTCGCTCCGGCGGCTCACTACCGGCTCCTCCTCCAGGTCCCGCCGGCCCGGGTTCGTGGTTGAGGTCACCGAAGAGTGGGAGGAGACGCACTACTATCCCAAGAGCAGGAGCAGAGAGAAAACAGGAAGTAGCGAGAGAACGGGGAGTAACGAAAGAGCTGGGAGCAACGAAAGAGCTGGGAGCAACGAGAGAGTAGGCAGGGTCAGAGAGAGTGTGAGGAGCCGAAGCAGGAGTAAGATCAGCTACCGAACGCTTCCTGCGAGCGTACGCCGCTCTGTGAGGGGGCGCGGGGACTCGTCGCGGAACTCTTGCAACGATAGGAGTAGTGATGATGGGGGTGGCCACCCGGAGAGGGATAATAAAAAAGGGTATAATGATGGAGGGAAGCCAGTGAAGGCTGAGAAGCGGAATTCGGGGGGGTCGGGCTGAAGTTGGCGCCACGCTCTGTTCGTCCGGGTACCGGGTGTTAGGATTGCCGTTTTGCGATGTATTGACAAAGGTCCTTTACCTGTTTCTACATCTTAGACCTGCAACGTGTGGCTCGTAGATGCAAGGGTGCCTAGGCAATGCTGTGTGAACTCGAATTTACCTACATGCTAAACTCGCCGTGTGGCCACATCACAACGCCTGGTAGCTAACGCTCATCTATTCCAGCAACCCCAAATGGGGGCGGATCTCTAAACTGAGCTCCAGCCAGTGTACACATACGGTAGGAAAGGCTATGAGTGGAGTGCCGATCCCGAATCCAGGATCCCAGGATCCCTAGGAGTAACGATACCTAAACGTACGCCCGGTGCAGCTTGACCTCTGCCAGCCACGATCCCGCTCTCTCCGTGCGGTGCTCGCACCATACCATCCTGTCCCATACCGTGCCATACCCATACCGTGCCATACCCATACCCGCAATCGGGCATCCATCCATCCATCCATCTATATAGGTACTCATTTGGCTACAAGCCCAAACTCACACGTCCCGCCCCGTCCTCTAGAGGACGCGACGGAAAACACTACTAAATATTTGCGTTAACGCGCACACCTGCGCATCCCCGCCTCCCTCCCTCCCTCCGGTCTCTCTCTTCTCTTCTTCACATCCCCAGCTGCGCAGTCGTCACGAAGTGCGAGCCGCCGGCGCAGCGATACCCGCCGGGCTGGGGTATCCAGGCGTAGCCGACGGGGCAGCAGCCGATCTGCCGGAGCTTGGTCTGGATGGCGGCCTCGCGGCGTGCGCGCTCCTCGTGGGCGCGGCGGGCGCGCTCCTCGAGCTCGCGCCTCACGCGCGCCTCCTCCAGCGCGAGCAGCTTCTGGCGGTGCCGCGCCTCGGCCTCCGCGCGCAACTTGTCCTCCGCCATCCGCCGCCGCTCCAGCTCCGCCTGCCGCCGCCGCGCCGCCAGCGCCGCCTCCGCGCGCTGCTGCTCGTCCTGCGCCCGCTGCTGCTCCTGCTCCGCCTGCCGCCGCAGCGCCTCCTGCTCCGCCTCCGCCCGCCGCTTCTCCTCCGCCGCCCGCCGCTGCTCCGCCGCCGCCTCCCGCCGCAGCGCTTCCTCGTGCGCCTTCATCTCGCGCTCCGCCTCGGCCACGCGCTGCGCCGACGCCGCCGCCTCCTTCTGCCACGCCTCGAACGCCGCCTTGTCGCGCTTCAGCTGCGCCCACACCTCGTCCGAGACGCCGGCGTCGCGGCCGCTGTCGTCATCCTCCGCCGGTGGCTGCGGCTGCTCCTCCTCCTTCGGTTCTTCGACTTTTCGGCCTTGAGGCGGTGGGGCCGTCGAGGTCGAGGTCGAGGTGCTCGTCTTGACGCGCGGCGGCTCCTGCGTCGCAGCTTTCGGCTCGGGGGGCGGATGCTGCGAAAACATGGGGCGAGCCGGGGGCGCGCTCCCGCGCTCGGAGCGTTCGCGGATCATGGCCTCGACTACGTCGATGACGAGGTCCTCAGACACCTTGCGGTCCGGGTTGGGCTCCTTCGACTTCATAATCCGCGAGAACACGGACTTGGCGAGCGTCTGAACGTCGCGGGCGTTGGCCCAGGACTTAGTCCGCGTAAGCGTGCTGAAAAGGCTTAGAAGCTCGCTATCAAACGTGGGCGAGGCCTCGAGGTCGCTCGTGTCGAGCTTTTTCGCCCGCAGGCACTGGAGCAGGAGGTCTCGGCAGTGGTGCGATAAGAGGTTCGGGAAGGATATGGTCTCGGGGAACCTGCTAGTCAGTCCGGGGTTCTGGTTCATCAGTCGGTTAATGTCGTCGTCATAGCCAGCAAGGACTGTAGTAGGGAAAGTCAGTAATCGTCACACCGGCGAGATGTTATTTACGCCGAGGGTAATGAGGGAAGATTGGGAATAGTTGAATTTGTTTGTACTTACTAACAACCAAGTTGTTATGGAATTTCTCTTTAGTCATGCAGTCTACGATCTCATCCATTGCCTCCTTTGCGAAGTGGCCCTCGGCAAGTCTGTATGCCTCATCGATGAAGAGAACTCTTCCGGCGGCTTCGGTGAACTTCTTCTGAACCTTTGGTCCGGTATGGCCGATGAACTGGCCGATTAAGTCCGTTGCGGAGCACTCGACAACCGTAGCCTCGCTGAGGAAGCCCATATCGTAATATATCTTCCCCATCTTCCTAGCCGTTGTGGTTTTGCCGGTTCCTAATAGATGTTAGACTTCCCATAACCTATATACTTGACGCAAGGAAAAACAAGGGGGTACGGTGGAGGCAGGTTGGGGGGGAAGGGATGACATACCGGGCGGCCCACGAAAGAGAAACCCAAAGGGAATTTGCGAACGTGGTTCCATATCCATGGCTTTCATGTTCTTAACTACTTGTTGATACCCCTCTAATTGCTCGGCGATCTCGTCGCAGCCGATTACACCTTGGAAGAGCATGCGTATGTCAGTGGTGGCGCGCTCGCTTCGGTCGAAGTTGGGATCGATGTCCTCTGGGAGGAACACGTTAGTCTTATTGATCCCCTGCGATTCCGATAGACGCTTCTGCTGGCGCTCCTTGGCTTGGTCGAGGATGATGTCAACCTCGCCCGCATTGCCGAAGTTGGGTCTGATGCGGGCGCGTCGCAAGACGTCGATGACGACCTTCTTCGCTGCTTCGCCGGCTCTGAAAGCTTGCTGTTTAAGCTTCAGCTCGAGTATTTGCCGGAGTTCGTTGTCGTCATAATCGTCGAAGCTGAAGCCGGATGCCATCGGGAACCGTCTCGACAGACCTGGATTGACTTTCTGGAACATGTCTTCCATCTGCTCCTTGTATCCCAGCAGTAGAACGCATCTGTCCTCAAGTGCAGTGCTTTGAACCTCGGCCACGATCGTATCGACGACGGCCGCTTTGTAAGGATCTTGGAAGCCGCCAGCGCCAGCGCCCGTACCCGCACCACCCGCAGCGAGCATGTAGGCTTCGTCGATGATGAGGACCTTGCCTTTGGTCGACTCTAGGATGGCCTTCGTGTTCTTCTCGGATTGGCCCAGATGGCCGCCGACAAAATCGGCCGGGTTCTTTATGACCACTTCGCCGTCGCTGAGGAGACCTAAGGCTTTCAATATTTTGCCGTAGTGCTTGGCAACTGTTGTCTTGCCAGTCCCGGGATTTCCGAAGAATACCTTGTTAAGAGAACACTCTATTGGCGGTTCCTCCTTGAGCTCTCGTTCGTAATTTGTCTGGAGGCGATTTACCAAAACCATGATAGACTGTTTGACCGACTTCAAACCGATCATACTCTGGAGCTTCTTCCAGTCTTCGTTTGCGGAGAACTCTGTGCTGGGCTCTGGCCCTATGAGGTCAATCTTCTTGAGCAAGAAATGGTCCGGGTTTTTTCCTTGTCGCTTCTCCTGACGGAGTCGTGTTGACATCCTTGCCAGGAGGATTGAAAGCACGTTCTCCACCTCCCGGGCATTCCCAAACCCTTCTCTGCCCTGACTACGGCCGATGCGGCGTGCCACAATTCTCATGTAAAGCCCCGTATCCCCGCCTTCAACTTTCATGCGACCAGTGTACTTCTTATTTAACTTGTAGTTCAGGATCCGGAGAAGCTCCTCGTTTCTATAATCCTCGAAGTCAAGGCGGATGGGAATACGGCTTGGAATGCCTGGGTTGTGCATGAAAAAGCTCTCCATCTGCTTTCGGTAACCTGCGAAGACGAAGACAACTTTTCCAGTGAGATTTTCGATCTCGGCAAGGAGAAAATCTAGCACCGAGGAGCCGCCGAGGGAGCTTCCAGACACGATCTGGTACGCCTCGTCCAGAAAGAAGACACCGCCCCCCTTCGAAATGATCTTGTCTATCATTGCCTTACAGCCCTGTATGCCGTCGTTTGCCAAGCGAGATCCGGTAGTCTCCTCGAAATGGGACCCAGGGATTGCGCCGACCGAAGACAGAAACTGGGCGTATAGCCGGGCAACCGTCGTCTTCCCCGTCCCAGGATTTCCCAGCAAGGCCGCTCCGAATCTCTCGTCTTTTAGATCCACCCCTTGGCGGAGAGTGGTGTCAACCTTTGCCTTTATCTCCAGGAACTTCTGCTTCACGCTCTCTAGCCCGATCATCGCCATGAGGGAATCGAGAGCTTTATTAACAGCATTCTCGTAATTTTTCTGGTACTGCCAGTCGTCTTCAGCGGATGACGGCTCCGCAGGTGTAAGCACCCGGCTCCCCGCTTCCGACTCAGTGTCAGACGCATCACAGTTTTCCGTGTCCTCTGCTGGCGCGTTTTGTGTAGGTGTGCTCTGTGTAGACGTGCTCTGTGTAGGCGTGCTCTGTGTAGGCGTGCTCTGTGTAGGCGTGCCCTGTGTAGGCGTACTCTTGGCTTGCGTGCCCTGTGTCGGCGTACCCTGTGTCGGCGTGCCCTGTGTCGGTGTGCCCTGGGCTGGCGTGCTCTGGGCTGGCGTGGCCTGAGAGGGTGTGCTCGGCGTGCCCGCAGGCTGTGACTGAAGAGAGACAGGAGGCGAAGATCCACCTCGGGGGCTCTGGATAGGGTTTCTGGTAGACTTGGCTGTATCGGGTTTGACGGGAGTGTGCTTCGGTTTCTCGAGCTGCTGCTGGATTGGCTTCTGGTTTTCCTTCTTCAGCTGTTCAAGCTCGAGGATATGCCGATTCAGCGTTTGCTGTCTCACCATCTCCTCCAGGCGGTCTTTGGCGAGTTTGTTCTCTATCTCGATTCTATCTTGGATATCTTTGAGCTTTTTAGCGTAAGCGAATTGCTTGGCCTGCCTCTCGTCCTCCAGTTGCTTCTCCCAGCGGGCTCTTTGCTCCAGGGCTTCTTTCTCCCTTCGACACTCTTGACAAGGGGGCGGGTTCTTCTGCGAGCACAGCCAGGATCGCTTGTGGTTTTGGGGGCACTTGTCAATCGTTACGGCGCTACAGGGCATGGACGAGTGGTCTACTCGCATATGGCATCGCTTTGGGCATGTATGCCTACCACAGGATAACAACTCACTGCACGGCCGCGCGCATCCCCCGTCTGGGCAGTGAATATCGAAATCGTCGGCGCAGCGAACGATGCATGTCGTATCGGGGTGCTTCTCGCATTTCAGTGGCAATCCGTCATGGATATTTCCTTTCGCTTTCAGAGACTCAAACAGCTGGACCCATTCCTCGCGTCCTTTCTTGGCGTTCATGAAGGTCTTCGCATTGCCAATCATGATTAATGCATTTCTGGCTCTGGAAATGAGCACGTTCAGACGTTCGGGCTGGGCCATGAATCCGATATCCCCCTCGTCGTTGCTGCGAGTTAAGGAGGCCACGACGATGTCACTTTCCTCGCCCTGGTAATTGTCGATGGTAGAAAGGCGGATGGGCCGCTTGTTGACTTCTGCGCTTGCCGCTGGAATGACTCCAGCCTCGACAAGATCGTGGGAATCTAAGTCGTTCAGAATTGGGTCATGGTCTTTACTAAGGAACTTTCGAAGCAACGACAGTTGGCCCTACAGCTCGTTAGTGTCCAAATGCGAGCGTCTACTGCAAACTGGAGCTTACCAGGTAGGGAGTCAAAATCACTATGTCTGTGGTTTTGTAATTCTGCTGTCCTAAATATCGAACGCACTTCAAAACCATTTCCACCTCGAAAATGTTCTGCTTGCTCGAAGTGGCACCGTGATCAAGCTTATCCGTCAGAACACTGTTCCTCTCTTCGAGATGGTTGTGGTTGAAGAACACTAGGTCGCTCTGGAACCCCGAAAGGTGCGGCCGGTCTTTTGTTCCTTTGGCGTCTTCCAGGTCAGGATAGTTATGTCGTATTAGAGATGATATCTCTGGCCTCATTCTGTGCTGGTTGAGGAGGGTACAGTGAGGCCTCCCGTGAAGTATAAGCCGCTCGAACAATGATCGGTTGAGATCGTATCCATGACCGGCTTCCACAGTCAGTCTGTAATTATTGACTTTGGGTCGGAGCTGCTTGTGGTCTCCTATCTGGATGAGATGCTTCGTATTGGGGCCCATTGCCGCGAGAATATCTGCAACACCGAGACTTAGTAATTATGAACTACTTTGCGTTCTGAAGTGGAGATGGGAGAGGAAGCCGATATTAGTGCTAATATAGGGCTAGTTCGCTAAGTAACCTCTGTCTCATAATGTGATGCCGGGTTTGGGTGCAAATAAAGGGGTGACTTGGAAACAGACGTACGACTTTCGAGAATCTCGCCAGCCTCTTCGACGACGATGATGCCGGGTGTGGCAGCTTGGATTTCCTGAGAGAACATCGACGCAGCTGTCGTAGTGCAGCAGATTATGCGCTTGCTCTGGAGAATCTGCTCCGTCTTATCCTTTCGTGTGATCTGCAACACCTTCTGTGTCTTGTTGAATGTAGCGACCGAGTTTACGAGATCTGCCATACTCTCTTCGCGAATTTCTTCCGTCCACTGGTCGATCTTCTTCATCCTATCTTCCTTTTTCATCGACCACACGTCTGCGCTTGGAGCGCTTTTTTTTCCTTTCTCGAATGCGCCAGGCCCCTTCCCGTCTTTCCAGTTCTCTAGGAGGTATTCTTTTGTGAGCTTACCACCCTTTCGCCCAACGCCGGTTTCGCCATCTTCTGCCTCTGGCACCTCTAGGGCGTCGTAAAAGTGTCGGTGGTTTAATTCGGCGTGCATCAGCAGCTGGGCTTTCGAGATTGGTTGCTGGTGCGCCTCCAGGCTATCATCAACTTTTTTCACGAGGGACGAGAGGTCGCTCTTGAGAGAATTTATTAGCTCCCATCGAGTTTTTTTCTTGCGCCCGACGTCCAGTGTCTGGTTTCTTAGCAGAAGGGACTCGGTTCTACTTGTAAATTTGGAGCCCAACCGGACAATGACATCCGGGCTGATTCCGATGTCCATCAGGTCCTCGGCGAATTGGTCCAAAGCGTGGTTTGTATAGGACAATACAAGCAGCCTCTCGTCGGTATTGTCGAGAAGAATCTTAGTCAGGAGAGCCCCAACGAGCGACTTCCCTGTTCCTGCATCGGGTCTTTAGTGTTGATAGACGTTACCAAGGAGCTGCTCTTCATGCTTTACTTACCTGGTGGCCCTTGTATTTGGCTTGTTTGGTATGTCAACCCATGTATCAAGGCTTTGACCTGCGAGGGATCCAGGTCAATCTTTTTGGGTATCCCGAGTACCTGTTGGAGGTCTGTGCCCTGGGCCAGAGATGCTCTGAGCAAGGAGATGATTTTCTGCGGTTGTATCGTCGAACAGGTGGGATCCTTTGTGTGAACTAGAATATCGTGCTCGAGCTCAACGTCCGATTTCCGTTGCAATCTTTCCAGTATCGGCTCGTATGCGAAGATGGCCGTAGACACGAACATGAAGTCTACCGGGCCGCTTCGGAGGGCTACGAAGACATCTTTGAGCGTACTCGTACCGATGATCTGCAGGCACAGTTGAGGGGGGTCGAGTGCGAGTTTGTCCTCATTCCTGTCCAGCAGTACGAACGCCAGAGGGATGTCGTCCTTCAGTAAGCATCCAAAACTCTGGTGTCGGAAGAGGGCCGGCTTGCTTTTCAACATCTTTTTTCTCTTGTCTGGGCTAGCGTTTTTCATGTTTAAAATGTCCTCCGAGCATTGGAACACGAGAGAACACGGACGCTCTCTATTCATCGATTGCAAGTCGAGACCCTTCAAGGTGACGCCCTTAATGAGCATGGCGGACTGGCGACTGGACTTCTTGTTCTTCTTCTTCAAATTGTTGATATCCTCGCGCATGTTGGACAACATGTCCTCCCTGAGAAGACGAAATTGATTGTCTAGGTGGGAAAAAGCACGATCCTCAATCGCCAACTCGAAGACTGCCGATGAAGGGAGGTAGAAAGGCCTCTCGACAGACTCCATCTCGTTGCGGGTAGGGAGGACGGTAATGTCGTGGTAGTTGACAAAGTCATTATCGTGGCGTCCCCCTGGGCCGGAGCCACGAGTTGGGTCGGGGTTGTCTCCGGGAGACGAATGTCGTACCAAGGCTCGAATTTTCTGGAATAGATCTCTAGCTGTCGGGGTGCCGAGTTTGTCTATGGTGATATCCTGCAACAGCTCCTGGGCGATCTCCCGGAAAGGCGCCGATTGGGGAGGTGGCAAAAGCACGAGCTGTAGCAGCAGCCAGGCGAAGGCTTCAAATGATCGTGCCTCCAGCTGCTTACCTCTGATGGTCTGGACGAAGTAGTCCCAGAATCGTGGGGGGTCGACCATGGCCCAGATGACCTGGTTAAGGACCTCGCCATCGCAAACCCGTTTCAGGGAAGGGTCTGCGAGATACAGGACGAGGTCTGAGACGTATGTGTTGATGAATTGCTCTGACTTCTCGGATGCCAGTGCCGTGCGGAGAGCGCGTTGGCCACTACTAGACGCAGCTAGTCTCTCGATGCAATCTGGCCTGTCGGTCCTATTCACGATGGCCTCTAGTATCTTTCGGCCGTCTTGAGATCCATCGAGTTTCACCTTTCCTTCGATGATCCTGTAGAAGAATCTGTCTAGCTGTTTCGAACGGAAAGCAGACTCGCTGTTTAGTTGGGTCATGTTGAGGGTGCTAGGCGACGGGAGGTAGTCTCAAGGTTGAGAAAGACGAAGAATATGGAAAAGGAGGAGGCTATGACGACGACGACGATGAGAAATATGGTAGAAATACGACAGCTATGACATACCTAAGGACGCCGAAGTTCAGGGCGCCCAAGAAGCTGGCTGGGAAGCTTCCACCCCCTCGTAACTGGTGAGAGGGCGGCATACTATTATTATTCTGGCCTTCAACCCGTTGGAGTCGACAAGTCCACTGGCCAATCTGCAAACGCCACGCCCATATTGTTTCTAACTGACTGATACGGGAGGTTTCTAGGCAGAATAGAGGCCGAGACAGGCCATGCATGCAGGAATGAGTACCAGACGGCCATCCCAACACAGCCTCGGGGGGTCGCATGGGGTGGGTGTTACTGTTGGATTCGCACGGTACCCCTCCCTCCTCTCTCTTCTCCTCTTTCTCCTCCTTTCTTACTCCCGCCCCCAGGCTCCCTCGCAATATACCCCCCCCCCCCCCCCCCCCCCCCCCTCCTCGCTCCCCCCCGGCTCAATACTCACAACGGCCACAGTATCCGCACTCGAGGCTACAGGCCGTGTAATCCCGCGTGAAGCTATCATCCGAGTCGTCTGATTCGTAGCTCTTGGCAGGGTGCGGGTAGTCGTCGTCAGAGTTACTGTCACGCAAAGGCCCCTCGTCACTTTGTTGCTCCTGGTAGAGGTTGCCGCTCCACCTGTCCTTCCAATCGCCCGGAAGTGCTTCCCGAGCCTTTCCGTGCTGTTCTCTTAGCTCTAGAGGGCCTGTGCCGGTTCGGCAGAGCTCGAGATTTAGGTGACCCTCCCGCTGAACCTCGATAATGAGTTGGTGCAGGACCGAAGCAAATTTGCGAAGTTCGAGCTCATGACTAGTTTCCCAGTCGAGGATGTCCTGTCGAATGACGTTCATTTGGACCTCTTCAAAATTTCCTCGATCGTGGTAGGCGGCGACGAGGTTGGGGATCTGCCGTATCCACAATCTGGGCAAGTGCTCCTCCATCTCAACGGGTCTCCCCGCTTGCGACTTTGTCTTAATTTCGATGACTGACTCTTGAGGCACGACTGTTCCCGCGACCTTGACGGCAACTGAATTGGGTATGGGGGGAACTGCGACATCCGGGCCCTCTGGTCTGTTGGCAATAGTAGCGACATCGCCGGGAGCACTCATGGAATGTGCATCACACTCAAAGCGGACGAGGCACTGTAGACCCCCGAAGGAATACGAGATGATGCGCTGATGGGACTTGGTTTCCTTGATCGCGGGATCGTGAGTAGTGAACGCGTCTATGAATGAGTGACCGAATCCGTAGACGTTAGGGATGAGGGTGTCCCGTTGGTTACGAACAAGAAACAGTGTGTTTTCAATCATTTCAACGTCGAATCGGAACGTTGACTCGACCGAGCGAACGAAGCGGAGGATATCACCTAGTGCGCTGGCACATCCCACGATGTCGACGCTTGACGGATCGAACCTTTTGTCGAGAGAAAAGATAGATTGGACAGTAGGTAGCATGGGATGCTCGGGAAATCGAGCTCCATTATGGTCCCGCAGGTACTCCCCATTGTCGCCAGCAAGCTGGGAAGGCAACGGAGGCGGACTCCAGACTGCCGGCTGTCCTAGTTGCCATGTTAGTATACGAACAACCGGCGCCAAATAGCGACTTACCGGGGATGATGATGACGGGCGGCTTCGAATCGACCAGTGAGTAAGACGCCGCGTATCTGCAGTCTGTGATCTTTGCGTCTTCCACCGGGATGCTTCCGCCGGATATACGGTCTAATTCGATCTTGGTTACGAGGCGGCCGAATGGCAGTTCTGGCGCTGGCTGTTCGGGGACTCTGTCCCTTCTCCGACGCCAGGCAGCGGCTCTGGCTCGTCCCGCAGAGGAACCCCGTGCTCGAGCACGACCGCTCGACAACCCTCTCGAGGGGCCTGGAGTCCTTCCGCGATACATAGCGTCCGTGTTTTAATAAAAAAAATCGACTGAGGCTTTAAACTGGCGTTCGAGGAGTGCCAAAAGTCCCCGACACTACTCATGGCGACGGCTATGAAACGAAGAGTAGGGCATAGGCATCCTTCGGCGGTGTCACGAGGGGAAGCCAAACGGCGACGATGCCCGGGACGGACAACTAAAGCCAACACGTACCCATTGGTGGCGGGCCGGTACAGACAGAATGCCGCCGCCCACGTCTCCTTCCGTGACAGTAACTACAGACAGGCATGTCTTAGCTCGCAAGCTGGGTGGTACGCGGAGGAGCTCTCTGCAGTGTCGCTCCACGCCGACGAGGCGTGCCAGAGCCAAAGGAATCATGGCGCCAGGCAAAGGTGTCCTAGGTCGTACAGCATATTCGTGACTTGGCCGGCAGAAAACCTGAAGGAGGGGGAGGGGAAGAAGTGACCAGCAGAGGCAGAAAGTGACGAGTCAACTATGGGCTGGTCATCATGTCCCTCGTCGCTGGAGTCTGAGCCTTATCTTAGGCCAATTGGTCTGCCTCGTCTGCGGTCGGGGGTTGCCATGCATTGTATGCGGTGAGGGAGCACAGTGCTAGCACTGTGCCACCCAAGCCTACATGTCCATGACAGTTGTTCTGGTCTTCGCGTTACTGTATTGTTGCACTTATGCCGGCGGGTAGGGTAGATGATTTGTGTACATGCCACCTCAAGTCGGTCGCCTAGTAGGTCCCGGCATAGCTCGAGGATGGGCGAGAGTGACTCAGGCTCGCCAGCACACGTTGGGTGTATGCTGCTGATTCAGAAGAGGGGGGGAGACGGAGTATATGCCTGCATGCACCGAGGACGAACACGTAGGATGAGCCACACAATATCGCCTGTTTCTCTACGCAGACACGTACATACGTAGCGTGTGTAGGGATTTCTCCCCGTGTCCTGGGACCGAGAAGCAAATTGAAGGGGGGCAGGCGGCAAGAAGACGAAGACGAAGACGACGAAGACGGAGAAGAAGAAGAAGAAGGGGAAGAAGGGGAAGAAGTCGCCAGAACCACCCCCAATGCAAGTCATACATGCATACGCACACTAGCCACCAGCGAGCCCGCCCCGCAAGCCCTAGAGAGCGCTGTGGGTAAAAGCCTAGCGAAGCCCGCCCGCCAGCTCTTTTCGAACATGCGGTGAAGAAGACACGGGCCAGGCCATCCCTGTCTAAGTGAGGTGAGTATGAATCTGCTTCGACACGAGTATGAGCATGTTACCGTATGATACACATATATGTATCTATAACGCACATATACACGCATATCCTCCTTGCATACAGAGTACATGCCCACGCATACCCGCCCCAACATGGGTCGCCTTAGCCTAGGTACCTAACCAGCCCCCCCCCCTTCCATTCCTTAGCAGAAGGCATATTATCGCGGCCTGGCTTGCTCGCCGGGCCCTTCCGTCGCAGGCGAAGACGACGCTAGCCCGCTGCAGCGGAGCCGCGAGAACCTGTCCCGTCCACGCCTACACACGCACGTTCGTTCGCGCAATCCACATGTTCACACGCGTGTGTAGTGCGTCTGTACGAGGCGCTACGCCCGTCGGTACCAGCTTGGGGCCAGGGGAGGAACAGGAACACCGCCGACGGCCGCGGGGTGGCCAGTTTCTGGGCAGATGGGACGCGGGCGCGTCCCGCCCGACTGGCGCGTCCCGCCGTCGCTCAGGGGGCCACGTCTCCCCGTCGCGCTCTTACGTGCGTGAAGTCGGGCGTGAGAACGAGCGCCCACCTCGTTTCTCGCGCCAGGGCTCACTGAGCCGCGCTGCGCTCCGCGGTTGTCGTCGGCCGTGGGCGAGTCGGGTCGGCGGTACGAAGGGGACAGTTGGCTTGGAGAGGGAGGAGGTACAGATAGCACGCAAGGGAGAGAGAAGGAGAGAGGAGGAGGGACAGGAAGAGGGAGAACCCCCCCTTCGTCCCTCGTCCCCCTCCTCCCTTTCCCCTGCCCTCTTCTCTGCGCAAAGCTGCCGCGCCAACTCGATGGACAGGGCGAGGGGCGAGGGAGCGCGACAGAGCAGGTAGATCCCCCTCAGTCATGAACGCATTACGGCGACAAGTGAGGGTTAACCGGAGGGAAGCGCACGATACTGAAAATCACTGGTACTTATTTCTTAAGAACCGCCGATGTCTATTCAGTATAGTATATAAAGAAGATATCTGATCTCTCTCTCTCTCTCTCTCTCTCTCTTCTTCTACAGTAGACAAATGGAGCGCTGATGCGCGCAGTAACTATTGTTGAGGGGGCTGGGGGGTTGGGATATCCTAGCTTTACAAGAAGAAATGCAGGCAAACAACAAGACGCAATCCGACCCTAACCCTCCGGAGCGCCGGTCCTTGTCCTCCTCTTGAACCCTCCCTATTTGCAATCTTGCAAGAGTAGAAGTACAGATGTAGCTCGGGTCTAAGTGGTAGACCTGAGGATAATACAATGCATATAATCGAAAGTAGCGACAAAAAGGAAACGGAATGAAGCGAATGAAGGGGTGAGTGCGTGCGCGCGTGGCGCGTGATGGAGGGAGCAAGTCGGAGAATCGCTTGCTCACCTCCAGGTGCTATGAATCTTGCCTCGTCGGCTCCGCGACTTGAGGCCGACGTCGCCGTTGACCATCAGGCTCCTCCACCGCCGCCCGAGGCTGCTGCGGTCCTTGCCCAGGCTGCGCGCACAGTCCTGCCAGTCCGTCTTCGATAGCCGGAGCTTCTCGAGCACGAGCTCGACCAGTATCCGGTCGTCCTCCTTGCTCCACTCCTCGCCGTCCGCCTCTACCTCCACGTCGGCGCCCTGCTCCTCTCTCCCCTCCCCTTGGTTCTCCGTCTCCTCCCCTCTGGCTACGTGCAGGCTGTGGAAGTCCGCTCGGTCGAGTCCCAGCGGGATCACCTCGGGCGCGATGCGCGCGCGCTTCGGCGTGCTCGGTCGCATGCTCGAGTCCTCCTCCACTTCCTTCTTGCTGCTGCTGCTGCTGCTGCTTGCCTCGTCCGAACCAGCGCCGACCTCGAGATCGCTGTCGATGTCGTCGTTGTCGCGACCCGGGTCATCGTCGATGGCGCGTCGCCGCTTGTTGACACCGCGAGGGGGCGCGGCGGGCCGTTTTACCACCTTCTTGCGCGGGATAGCGTCGCCGTTCGCGCTGTCGGCCGGCCGGCGCGACCGCAGGCGCAGCTTCATCGGTGACGGCAGCGCGGTGTGGGACATGGGTGGCGTAGGGAGAGTGTCTCGGCGCGCGATGGCGCCGGCGGTGTTGTTGCTGTTGGTATTGTTGATATTGTTGTTGATGCCCGTGGCGGCGCCGGGCACGGTGAGCATAGACTGCAGCGCGCGACACGAGTTGAAAATGTTGCCGAGAGTGCTACCGCTGCCGCTGCCGCTGTACGCGCTCGTAGGAGGGCTAGCGGGCGGCGACGCGAACAGGGAGGACTGGAGCCTGGTGACGGGCGGGTGCGACGAGTCGCACGGGAGAGCGGACGGCATTAACATCTTAGCGGTCGGGTAGATGGCGTTGTCTTAAAGGTCTTTTCACGTCGTATTGGCCTCGCGACGGCTCTCGAGTGTCGGCTAAGGCGAAGACTAGAGTGGCAGAGAGGATAGGTTCGAATGTGCGACCGCACGACGAGAAGGCGACGAGCAGGAATGCGATGCGATTGACGGGTTACAGAGCGTAGAAGTGAATTCTAGCGAAACTAATGCAAGTACGTGTGAGTAGTTTGCAGATGATGCGGCAGCCTGCGGTGACAATCTGGGAGCGGCAGCGGACTGTAATGCGACGGGCGCAATGGTGATCGGGATGGTTGCTAGGAGATGGGGAGTGTGTGTGTGTGTGTGTTGGGTCGAGGGTTGTAGGTGGGAAGGGGGAAGCTCTGAGTGGGAGACGGGATGGCTGGAATAATGCGCCTAATAAGAAACTGGCAGGGCCAGGGTCCACCCACACGCCCACGGGCCACACGAGAGAAGAGAGTAAGAGAGTCGCCCAAGGAATGCGGAGATACGATTTGGGTACATGGCCCATGTCCCGGACCCTCTGGATCGGGCTGTAAAGGTGGGGTACTGCTACATAGAAGCCAGCATGACTCGCTGAGGCACGTAAGTATTGGCTACATTGTGGGGTCCGCTAGGCAGCTTTCGACGGTAGACATGAGGTAGCTCTCAAGTATCGTAGTCGCACGAATTTGACCACATGATTAGCGCCATTTTCGGTCTGAACGTGGTATCGGTACATCTGTAGGTACCCCGATGCCCGCTGATTCCGCATCTAGGTGCCTACAAAGCCCCCTACAACCCCCCTACACCCCCTCTACAGCCCTGTGGCATAGGCACCTCGCTCCCTGCAACCCATGTACCTACATATGCATAGGCGCTTCAGAGCGGCCGGGCGGCCGGGCTAGACCTGAAATCCACATCGCCCATTATCCACGACTCCACCCCTTCCAGCGCCCATCGAGACGGGCCTCGCAATACTCATCGCCTTTACAGCCTGCCGCCTCGTTGATGTGTGCATGCATGCACATATGTATCTATGTGGTCCTCGATACATCGTGTCGACTACTTACATGATCGTCTCGTCTTTTACGATAGTCGGGGGGAGGGAGCCGGGAGTCGCCAGGGAGCCTAGCTAGGGGTTAGAGGGTCGAGTCGAGCACTTGCGCACACACACACACACACACACACCACACACACCATTCGAGACTTCGTCACCACCCTTACGCCGCGATTCTGGTCATCTGAGAACCTCTTCATCACATCCTCCCCCCTTGATCACTCTTGAAGATGGCGTGCCACGAGGCATCCTGCAGCAGTGAAGTAGACAAGCCGCTAGGCCTCATCCGGGCGATCAACCGACCTAGATCCCACTGCTTCCCAAGGGCGACAAGTCTGGCAAAGCTCTGTAGCTCCCTCTTCGTTGGGAATAGTCTCACGACATAGTCTCATTCCAACAGATCCCTTTGCAAGCGGCCGCGCTGCCCGCCATGCTATTCCTTATCGACATGCCTACTACCTACATGGGGGAGATACTGAGGGCTACCTCAACGAGAGTTCCAACCGGCAACCACCCTCCCCCCCTTTTCGCAACCTCTCCTCGCCCCACCTCGACATGGATACTCGGACGTTACCTAGGCCAGGCCAGACCCGTCGAGAGGTATCTACCTACCTACACGTCTGGGTTAGACACGAGCGCAATCAAAGGTGCCGAACACTCGGGAAATAAATACAGCTCGAAAACGCTGGCGCCGTGAAACCGCCGCCCAAGGACATTTATATTTACCGCCGAGGACAGATTGCATCAGGCCGCACACCGAGCTGGGTATGGCCCACGGAGAGGGAGGGAGGGGAGGGGGGGGGAGGTTCAATAATCGTCAGCTGAGTAACAGAGGTCGAGTTATTTTAAACCATGGTTTCATCTTGTCGTTACCTTGTTAGCCATCCTGCTTCAGCATCTCCCCTCCCCCCCTCCACTATCTACCTAGGTAGATTAGTTCGTCCCTGTAGGAAACAGAAGCATGCAAATCGAGATCCGGAGTGCGTTTTCGGGTCCGGGACAGGCTTGCTCGATCGATTCCAATATCCACGCGCCGCATGGGGATGGCCAGGTGAGGATGCGTTTTCGAAGCTTTCCAGTATTTCCAACATTCATGGCATCGGAGCCGCGGTGTCGTGGTGGAGAGGGAGAAGGTAGGTAGCCCGGTGGAGAGCACCGCCCACCCTAGTGTGGCTCTTCGGCACAACCTTCTTCCCCTCTCCTCCCTCCCTCGTCCCTCTCCTCTCCCTGGTATCTCCTCCCTTCTCGCCCTACCCTTGTGTACCTTGCATCCCGATAATGCATGCAGGGCAGTGCAGTAGGCATTGAAGAAACCCAATATTCGTGGCGTAATCGACAGATGCGCCCATCGCTCGGTAGCCCGTCGGAGACCGTCCTGTTTATGCCTCGCCCGTACATGTTGCATCTGTAGATGGGGCAACATTATCGATAGAGGGTCCCGAGGGCGACGGAGTCTCGGACCGACTCACAGGGGGGGGAGGGGGGTTGTGTCTCTACGTCTATAGATCTTAAGTTCAGAAGTTCAAACCTCTCCCTCCCCTAGTAGGACTACGCCTCTTCGATTGCGAGTCATTTCCCAAAAGATACCGACTAGGCAAAGAGCTTGCAGATATCTGAGAAGATTGATCGGGTTCTCCCTGGCAAAGGGGGCCTACGGGTCCTCTACCTACCAGCTAAAAATATCCCGGTTCGATCGATGGGATCACGCCGCTCTGTTGGGTCGGCAGCGTACATAGCATAGTTCCATGCGCTTCGAGTGGGTTAGGTAGGTAGGTCGAGGTAGGCACCTATCTATGTACGTATCGTAGGGGGGACGTGTGGAGGACGAGCGAAGCGGGAAGAAGCATACCCCCGCTTGGCTTACAGCAGGACGGGGACGTAAAGGAAGAGAGGGGGGAGAGGGAAGCAGAGAGAGGGGGGGGGGACGAAGGCCGAGGGCGAGGAGATACGCGTGAGACGCGACTGAGCGCGTCGATGTCGCGTTAAATACCGCGACCGCGTTGAATGATCTCCCGTGACGAACCAATCAACGCCCGGGAGCCCACACCCTTGTCTGTTTCTCGTGTCCAATCCCCACCAGCTCACAGCAAGTCCCAGCAGTACTTAGCTGCGTACCATTCCCAGCACCAGCAGCATCTCTCTGGCCTTCGCTCACCTTTGCTTCCCCGTCTTCCCGTCTCACACCTCCTCGGCCGCGTTCGTATTGACTCATTGCGGCACTGGGCGCTTTGTTCGAGGAGAGATCATCGCGGGGAAGTCAGGCCACCCTTATCAGCTCGACCCAGGCTGTTTGCCGGCGCCGGCGCCACACGTGTTTCCCTCCCCTCCCTTCATCTTGCTCAACTCGACTCTCTTAATATCCGAAACCGACGAGGTGAGGGCTCGAGTGATTTCTTCGGTGGCCTAGGTTATTCTTGGCCATATCCGCCGCCTGGCTATGTAGAGACTCTCAGAGTCTCCGAATTCACGACGTCATTACCGACCTCCCACATTGCGTCACCCCTGTTAGGATTAATCTAGCATCAAGCTGGCGTCTCGACCTCAGTGGCGATGCCGTCGCCATCACCTGCTGTGCTGTCACAGGCTTGTCCAGTACGTGTAGCACAGTACGCGTAGCACCGTACGGGTGCTTACAGGTTGCCATCCTTGTCTACTGGTCTCGTCCAGAGACCAACGCATGCACACGTACATATCATAGGTGTATTTATCCTATCCGATGGACAATTGTAAGACGCCAGACCGTATCTAATTGTGGCGTCTTCCGATGTTCTCTTTGTGTGAATTACTCGCACATACTTCCTTTTCCCTAGCCTTCCAGGAGGTACCTATGTTTTTACTGACCTCTCGTAAAAAACGTAAACGGAGAAGGTAGGTAGGTATATCAACCAATACCTCCCCCCCCAAGTCCCTCGTCACGTCGCTCAATCGTGCTACCCCCAATATCCTTTTCCTCATCGCCAGCATCTCCTTCGCCAGCAAGAGGTCATCGTTGAAGACAATGCAGAGTACAGAGCAAAAACGAGCCCCAGGACTCCTGGACTTGCCGCTTGATATCTTCCCCTGTGTGGCCGAGAACTTAACCGACCGCAGCCTCGCCAACTTCTGTCTGTCTTGCCGTGCCATCTGCGAGGCACTAAACTCGGCCCTTTATCGCCGTGCTCGCAACAATGCGCGTGTCCTGACCTGGGCGATCAAGAAAAATCACCCTGTCGTCGTCAGGAAACTCCTCGAAGAGGGTACCAATCCAGACCTCATGCTAGGCCCTACCCCGTCCCGGGGCAACCTGTTCGGGGGCTCCTTTTCGATGGACTTTACAGATTACTTGCCGAGTCCTTCGGATCGTCCCGAGCTCGAGGTGCGGGTTGGACAAACCCATCAACCACTTAGCAAGGTTCTCCCCGCGACAACGGGTTCCAAAAAGCCGAAGCCTCATATCGATGCCCTCGCTTCCGTTTTCAAGGTGGTCAACGACGCTCGTCGCGGAATCGTGGGCAACGCTCTGGACGTCTATCCGATGCCTACCCCATATTTGGCGCAGAACCGGGGAATGATCTCGCGACCGTCTCAATACTTTGCTTCGTTGGGTATATGGACACCACTCCACCTAGCTGCCGGGCGAGGCCGTCGCCAAATCGTTGAGATATTGCTTGAGAACGGTGCAAATATTGACGCCCTTTCCCGAGGATTCGATACCTACAGGTTCTCCTCACGCCGAATACCTGAGGTAGAGTGCTCGTGGTGGAAGCCTCTCTTCATGGCGATAGTAAGCTGGCGGTCGGTATTCCTCTCTTTAAGGAACCTCGCTAATCCCTGGGCGTTAGTACCAGCGCGATTACGATTTAGTCAAGCTCCTGGTCGAGTCCGGTGCATCGTTTTTTGTCGGTACGGAAGCCTCGGGGCGTCCAGACGGCCACGTGACCGCTTTACACGTATCGTGCTCTACCGGGTCTATCGACATTTCGAGCTTCCTCGTAGATCATTACGGGCCGGAGATGATACACATCAAGGACCACCGGGGGATGACCCCGCTGTCCTGGGCCTACAGGGAGGGTAAATGGGATATGATTTACTGGCTGGTGCGACAGGGCGCCAGCGTCGAAACCCAAGCCGGGAACGGCCGCTCTCTGCTTCTGGATGCCTGCGCTCGTTGGGATTTCGACAGCGCGTTGCGTATTCTTCGGCTTGACGAAAATCCCAGCTATTTATCCGTTGCCTCGTCATTACACTACATCTGTGGCAAGCCTGCGCCCCCCGTGGGTGAGGATCTCGGAGTTTACCGAGGTCGGTACTATGACGAGTGCCACGAGGATCGATTCCAGGTTGCGGACGCACTTATCGAAAAGAGAGCGGACGTTAATGCGAGAACTATCGGTGGGAACGAGACGCCTCTGGCACTGGCCGCAACCCATCACCTCGTCTCCATCGTGAAGCTCTTGATCGCTGCTGGTGCTGACATTGATGCCCAGGATAATGCCGGCAACACACCGTTGATGAGGGCTTGTAGGCGGAATCCAGAGACATTTACTTCTCCTATCCCGACGGTGAAGTTGCTGCTTAAACAGGGAGCCTCCCCTGCCAAGGTCAACCACGTGAACCAAACGGCGTTGGATATAGCATGCAGCTCCGACGGACCGCACAGTTCTGAGATTGTTCAGCTTTTGAAGCAGCATGCTACTTCGAATCACCCTGAGACTCTGGGGGGCATCTAGGGCGGTGCGCGCGCCAGATCGCCCACTATCGGCGTACGCCATAGCAGAAGGCAGGCACTCAGCGAAGGGTCGGAGGTAACAATTCGACAGTGGCCAGTGTCTCCCACCCGTCCGCACACGAAAAATATTCGAATCTCCGAGGGCGGGTTCTACTTGGATAAGCATCGTAAGAGGGGATAAGTTAAACACATTTCTAAGGCGCGAGCAAATGAATGATGATTATGATCATGATCATGATCATGATGGAATAGGCTGACGAACGTGTTACTGCCCGCTAGCCACATAGGAAGCTACTTTAGGGGATTAGGTGTCATCGCGAGGTCCCTCCAACGCCCCTGTGTTGTATGGCAGTTCCTTTCCTAGGAGGCACTTCTCTACCTAAATCTCATGCCCTCTACATTTCTACATAGTGAGTCGTCCTCGCCACGATAATCGCCAATGGAACTGCCCTCGACATTTACGGGCCGTGAGTGAAGGTAAAGCTGGGGCAAGACCCGCACACAAGCCCTACAACAGGTGATGATTACCTAGCCTATTCTATGCTCTATAACGCTGCGATGCCATCCTCGTCATCTATATCTTTCTCTTCCCCTCGGTATCTCCCTCTCCGTGGCCATTCTCTCTCCCTCCTGCCCCTACCTCTCTACAGGACCCTCTGCCCACCCGTAAGATGGCCACCTCACCGTCAAGGGGCGTTTTAGGGAAGTTGGTCGTACCACAGACCATATCCGAAATTGCGTGAGAAGCGGTAGGGACCTTTCATTGCTGGTCTGAGGACTGGTAGGGCCTCGGTATAACTGCCGCACTTAAACAGAAAGTTAGTGTCCAGCTAATCGTACTACGAGAACTGTTTGAAGCTCCGCCTCCACTGGCAAGAATTTAAGGGCAGTAGAGTTGGAGAGGGGGTTGCGGCCCCTTGAGATTGCTCCTTCTAGCTTCAGAGTTTGGGAGACAAAAGGGCAGATCCAAAGACCTCTGTGGGATTGGTCTTCAGTTCGGTCAGTTCCAGTCAGTTTCAGGTTTAAAATATCGACGGCCTTTCGTTTTCCTATCTCCTTTCCCTGCCGCTCGTGATAAGTGTTCAGATAGAGCAAGTGGTAGTATTCGCGGACCAGAAACGAGCTGAGCCTACCGTGGTGAAGGGGACTAGCACGGATGAGCTGAGCGGCTCTCGGGAGGCAGGCTACCTACAAGTTACAACGCCGCTATCTATCATGAGCCCTTGGCGGGTGGGAGTCTGTGAGAGAGGTAACTGCGTATCTTTTCAGTTACGTGAACAGCCCACAAATAGGGAGCATCCCGGCGTGGCTGTTGGGTGCCTAGATAGAGAGTTGCAATTCAGTATTGCGTTCGGCCTCCTATTTACCTACCTATCTAATAACTTCGTCTAGGCAGAGACTTCTGCTAATACCGCCGTGGATGCTAGCAACACAGTACTATGATTCCGCACGCACCTTAATTTCCGGCGTCTTCACCAAACTTGAACGGGTGCCCGCTGAGCCCGCCAAGTCACTGCAATCCCAACAACTGCCCGTAAAAACTTCGTCCATGCGCATATAGCTAAATTAAGCTCTTGCAATAGGGAAAGGGAATACCATCATATGAGAACATGGATGCCTAACGCCCATTCCTCATCTGTAGATACCTATACTTTTTTCTAGACTTCCGGGACGACCCTAATACCAACCCCCCTCTCCTAATCCTAAGCATCTTCTCGGCACTTTCGCACCTTATCTACCCCTCAGGGCCTACATAAAAACCGCGAGTTTCCCTTAAGTGCAGTCTCCGTGGTTGTAGGCAGCGTTAAAGCTCCACAAGCGCGCGTGTCACCCAACGTGTTCGGGGGCTAGTTCGTAAGCAGCTCTTCTGCGCCGCTTCTGCGGCAGCTGACACCTTTCTTTGCCTACCTACGCTCCGTGGCACCAACGTGTGAGGTTCAACGCCAACGCTGCTACGTCGGCCAAGTGAGGGGAAGGGTTTGCGAGATGTAACTGCGGGGGTGGCACAAATGATGGCAGCTTTGCCGTGTCACCTTTCGTAGCCGAAGTGCTACGTCGGGATGTCGTCTCCTTTCACGCCCACCTGCTTAGCGTGTGGGTGGGTGTTGGTCGAATGCGAGAGCCAGGAGGCGTGTCTGCATAGTAGGTACGTGGTGCAGCATGTATCTAGGCGCATTAGGGAGGGCCTGGAGGGAGTGTCAGAGAGTTGGTAAGGGTGTATAATAGATGAGGCTGGGAGATGCATAGATTGTTGCCCTCGCATTCCGATTAATTTATACCCCCCCGAGCTACCTGTAGCGGGTATACGACCGCGTGCCGGCAAAGGTATGTACTGCAGAACTTGGCTGGTCCTTATGTAAGGGGGCGCGCAAGAGACCACCCAGGGACGTGGTGTCTGACCGGCAGAGGCGGTGAGTAGTACGGCGAGACACCACCGCAGATCCTCGTATCGAAGGTAATGAGAGATGCGGAAGTTTAAACGGATGGTAACTCACGATTGATTTCTGAACTCCGTATGGAAATACCCTGGTTTTTGGAATCTCGACTCTTGCTGGTTGGCCCTAACTCCACCGTTGAACCCAGATCGTTGAACCTCAATAATATCGGCATGCTATCTTACCACACAGCTAGGATCTGATACTACGTATAGCTATGCTGCCTACGAACAACGCATTCTCTATTACGTCCGCTACAGTCACTTGTAGCATACTAAGTTCGTCCTTTCCGGGACAAGCTGTCCTCAAGGGAGGCGCCAACTGCACAACGGAGGAACAGTGACTATAGTAAGTGAGATGAATGCCGTATGGCAGGCGGCCTCGAAGAGCTTTAGTGATTTTACATTACACTCGCCAGGTCTCGGACATACTGGCTTCCGATCGCCTGCTTTGCGCACCCCAGCAACGCCGATGGGGTCGCTGCCTTTGTCGAGATCGTCAAGAAGGCCGGGTCCAAGTTCACGGTACGCTCCAGCGGGTACCATTCCAACTCTGGCCACAACAGTGTGGGCGAGTCCGGAGTCGTCATGGACGTCCGCAATCTCAAGTCAATGTCCGTAGATGACAACGGCGCTATGAATGTCGGAGCGGGCTAGGGTATCTGGATACACAAGTACGTCGGTGTAGACGTGTGGACGACTAAGGAATAGCAGGCATCGTAACGCGATTCGACTTCCAAACGCATCTCATCATTTTAACGCAATATACGGCCAACCTGTACGGCCTATCAGAATAGGTATGTCAAAATCTTGCAGGCCACGGTTAGCGTCCACGAAGAGGCGGAAACAGACCCCAAAGTCGGCCTCTTTATCAACTCCCGATCGAGCTATGTGGCGGTAGGCCTCTACGCGGATTCGATCCTTTTTTTTTTCAACCTGAGCAGCCTCATCAGCGCTGGCGTCCCGAGGACTGATGGAGCCATTAAATCCTTAGTAACTGCTATTACTTACTCGGGCCCGTCTACCAAGCTAAACCACTTCTTCGCGGGCCACCCCTTCACGGACCGGGCAATTTATATAAGTGTACATACAAACGATTTATCCCTGTAAAAGAATCAGAAAAAGAAACCGGAAAAGCCTAAGACTTGATTACGTAATTAATTAAAGTAATATATAAGCTTTTTCGATATAAAACTATTAATGAAACCTTAAAAATAAAAATTATATAAACATCTCTTACTAATAAATAATAATTTAAAAAAACGTTTTATATTTATTTGATTATTTTTATTCATTATGTAAGAAAATCCGCGACTTTTCCTATTTCCTTTCGAGTTTTTACGACTCTTTTATATATAAACCTATATAAAATTCCCGGTCCGTAAAGGGGTGGTCGGTAGAGTAGTAGCCTAGCTTATTTGCGAAACCACGCACCGAGAAACGCTTCTACTGTTTCAACTCGCACAGCAAACGAGCAAGGAAGATAATATGACGTCGAATATCATCAAGCTCCCTGGCAAGATCTCTGCCTACACGTTTCTCTCCCGAGGAGCAGTTGGATGGGTGTATCAGATTAACGATCGTATCGCGCTCAAGTTCGCTCGTGAGCTGGACTCCGAAGAATTCGCTAAAGAGAACGACATGTTCGATCTCTTTGAGAAGCATCCACCCTGCCCACATGTCATTCAAAGCTTCCTGCGCCTTCCAAATGCCAACTTCCTCGCCTTCATGAGCGGCGGGTCTCTTGATGACCGCCTACGGTCACATCAGATCCGCGACGGCCATTTCGGAAAGGTCCTCCGCGTGGTCAAGACAGAGCCGGTAGAGCTGGTGGAACGATGGCTCAGAGAACTCTGCGGTGCGGTGGTCTGGCTGGAATCTCTAGGGTATGTCCACGGCGACTTACGCCCGAACAACTTTCTGCTGGACGGAAGGGATCATCTCAAGCTAGGGGATTTCGATTGCGCCGAGAAGGTTGGCGAGCCTTCTAGCGGGAATGGCGCCCCCTGGGCTCGGGTCCTGGGCGAGGACGCCGATGAGGTAGGGGCCCGGAGGGGCTCTTTTGGAATCAACGGGCCGAGAACCGAGCAGTTTGCCATCGGGTCCAATCTTTACTGCATGGTGTACGGCCTCGAGCCGTACGAGGATAGGGACGATCGGGGCCCGATCATTGTTAAGTTACTGCGGGACATGAAGTTCCCGGAGCTACGAGATGGGCATTTGGACTCTATCATTTCCCGGTGCTGGAGAGGGCGCTATCGGCAGCTGAAGGATCTGCTGGAAGAGGTAGAGGCAATCAGTGGTATGACGCCTTCGTCGGAAGCTATGAGCATCTCGAGGGAATATCTCGACGACTATCGAAACGAATGCCAGGCGTTGGTTGAAGACGGACTGTTGGGGAATATGTCACGATCTGCTAACCCTATTAGTACTCCTAAGGGTGTGCGGGGGCCTGATAGTAGAAAGGAGGCTAGCTAAGGGCTTGGCTATAGAAATGTAGAAATAATAATTGGTTGGTCCTGTCATAGTGTTGGCTGTAGGTCACCTGTCGATACGGGGTTTAATGGGTTCAATGTAACTAGCTCTGACGAAAGTAAGAGGCTTAGACCACCTAGAAGTCTTTCCATTAGGTACTTATTTAGTTAACGGTAATGGGAGCGTAAGAACCCAGTCCCAATGGAGTTCCGGCTACGTCAATCTCAAGATCAAGACTTGGGCTCTGGGCAGCGCTTAATATGATATCAAACTTGAATTAGCTGCGTTTTGAATGGCTTCTATTAAGTAAGTCGATTAAATCCTAGTAGGTTAATAGATAGACGATCCCACGGCTGTAGGACGGATGCATTAAACCCCTAGAGAGCATGTAGGCGTTGAAGAAGTGGAACCCGATATGGCCAAGAATGGCACATTCTAGGTGCATGGCGGTGGTAGAATTGGCGGTAGTAGATTGAACGGTACCGACATTAGTTAAACCAGATCTCGTTAGATCAAGTTGGTATAATAGACATCTTTCACAGCTGACAGCACACGATGTCTGACATGCAGTCAAATAGCGCCGGTCAATATTGATCTATAGGGTTTAGGGAGTGTCTCTTTTGAGAGTCCTGCATGTCGTCGGTCATACCACAAATACTAATAATCCGAGGAAGAGGGAGGGTGGGCGCGTGATGCCAACGACTCTCGGACGAAGCGACGTAGGTCACTTATTTGGAGGCGTACCTGTACCAAGATGCCATATATTAATTCTTGTTATCTCCCAAATCTTTGTAAAGGCTCGAGTGAATTGGTAAACTCGCCACTGACCTCGCGAAGCGTCGGGGGTAGACTGTCTCGTCACTTACTAACGAATTCGCACCAAGTTAAGTTCTCTTGTTCTCTTCCCAATTCAAGGTCAAGGCACGACGGTGTAGTTGACTAACTAGAAAGCTCTGGCAGGAGTTCAGCTGCGCTGTCTGACACTTTACTGCTATATCACGTTGCTTAAAAAACGAATTTATTCACGGAAAAATGTCAATCTATCAGAGTCGCTTCGGCGAACTTGTTTGGTCATTATGGTGTTTGGAAACTGCCTTCATCTCAGTTGGCCTAATACTTTTTATACTGTTGTTCGTGTTAGAAAAGAGAAGCCCAAGAGTCGCCCACGCCCACGTACACGGATACCGATCGATTTTCGAGCCTCCCTTTTTTCTTCAAACGAGATTCGTTCTAGGGGCCTGCGAGATAATTAGGGATGGATATGAGAAGGTAATATCCACCTTAGACGCTTCTCCGTTGTCCGAAGTCCCACGGCGCTTGTTCTCAAGTGTGAATTAGTTCAAAAATGTGCCGTTCATAGTCCGCCGCTTCGACGCCGACTACTCCGTCCTTCCAATGAGGTATCTAGAAGAAATACGTTTGATACCGATGACGAAACTTAGCGGCAAGGAATCGCAGATACGCAACATGATGCCGAAGTGGACCGGGTTGGAGTTCATGGTCCGGTCTCACCTCCACGTCGATGTGCTAAAGCGGAAACTCACTCCGGAGCTGGGCAGGTATTTGGAGGCTGCCAGGAGCGAGCTCGAGTATGGATGGGAGGTCGACGTCCCTAGACCCGACGGTAACGAAGTCCTCTTCTGTCCTGTCGTGGCTCTTATAATGCGCTGACTGCTACTATCTGACTCTGTCAGATTGGCTTGAGGTGGACATCCAGCAGATAACGCGCATGCTCATCGCCCGCATGTCTGCCAAAGTCTTCCTGGGACACCCGGCATGCCGTGACCTGGATTGGTTGCAGACCTCCGTCCAGTACTCCATCGACACCTTTACCACAGCTTTCATATTGAGGATGTTTCCACCTTTCCTCCACTTCATTGTCGCGCAGTTTTTGCCGTCAAAGTGGCGAATGAGAGCTCAACTCCGGACCGCGGAGCGCACCGTCAGACCGTTAATGGAGAAGCACGCCGAGGCAACGCGGAGGAGAAGTCTTGGAGAAGAAGTAGAGGAGCAAGAAGACACTCTCATGAAGTGGATGCTGGAGAACGGGACGGAGCAGGAGACGCGGCTGTCGGAGATGGCGGCTCGCCAGTGCGTGCTGACCCTCGCCAGCATCCATACCACGGCCACTATTGTCGCTAACGTGATATTCGAACTTTGCGCGCGCCTAGAGTGGGTTCCTGTGTTGCGTGACGAATTTGACCGAGTCACCAGGGAGGTAGGACAGCCCGGCAGTGACCCCAACATCGACATGCGGCGCTGGCATCCGCGACTAGAAAAGCTCGACAGCTTCATCGTCGAGACGTTCCGATATTACCCTCCTATTCTCCGTAAGTAGTGGCTTATCGGGCAAAAATCTCCCTCATTCGTTTTGTTTCCCATCTCCCTGCGCGCGCGTATAGCCACGTCTCTAACGGTTGACTCCTTATTATCACTAGTCGGCCCCCAGCGCCTCGCATTAGAGGACATTACGCTGAAGGACGGGACGAAGATTCCCACCGGGGCCAAGATCGCGTTTGCCATGTACCATCACCAGAACGACGCAGCGGTGACGCCGGGACCCGGGTTGTTCGATCCGATGCGCAGCTATCGCAAACGACAGTCCTCCGCAGAAGAGTACGCTCGTTACCAAGCCACCTTGCCAGACGTGAATAACAACTTATCTTTCGGGTATGGGAATCAGGCATGCCCTGGGAGGTTCTTTGCCATTGCCGAAATCAAGCTCGTCATTTCCCGGCTGCTTAACGAATTTGACTTCCGTCTCCCGGAGGGCCAATGTCGGCCTAAGATCATGTATGCCGACGAGAATACGTTCATCGACCCCAACGCCAGGATAATGATGAGGAAAAGAAGAATCGCATGATTACAACGCCCTCAGGAAGTCCTGGGAGACAGGGTTGGGGTTAGAGGGGACAAGCCACAGGAGTAGGAACATTCCTTTCAGACAGGTGACTCTCGAGAGACCCTGTCACGACACAGGTAATAGAAGTTAATCACAAGGAACACCACTTACGCATTTATAGGGTTAATACGGTGTCGTGATACCAATATATGTAACGGCGATACGAGTGCCCGTTGCGTTAGTTAATAGCCGCTAATATATCCAATCCTCAATACCTATATTTCACCTCCCCTCACTCAGCTAGATCTCCTGCTCCGATTCGGGCTGTTTCACGGTACCTTTTGGGATAACAACCTCTTTCTTCTTCCTGTCGACCCCCAGCCATAGAAGATCGGGCCTGCTGTAATGCCCGACAACATCAAGAAATCCCTTAACTGTCGCGACCTTGGTCAGGTCGAGGTCCCCGTATACGATACCTTCGGTCTCAGCATTGCCGTCTCCAAGCGCCAGGGTCAGGCGCCTCCCGTCAGGGCCGATGATACAACTGTGGCCTCCGCCAGGTTGGCGGCACATGAGCCCATTTTGTGATCCCAGTGCTTCAATCCCCTTCTGAGTGCACACAGATGTAGCGTGCAGTACGTAAGTTCCGCTCTCTATAGCATAAGTCTGTGAAAGATTCTGACACCCATGAGCCGTCATGCTCCACAGCCCGTGTTGGTCGACGCTGACCGCGGGTTCTAGCGGCGGCCACATCGCAACATGGATCACCTCCCCCTGAGTGATGCTGTGGTACTTGAGCAGCGGCTGGGTATGTTCCCAACAGGCAAGCGCCCCGACCTTGATCTTGCCCAGCGGGTCGCCGAAGTCGAGCTCGACCACGTTGGTCAGGTCGTCCCCGGAGCCGTCACCATAGATGGTGCGTTCCATGTGTGTCGGTTTGACCTTGCGTCTATGCAGCACAAGCTCGCCCTGGGGCGAGATAATAGCTTGCGCGATGTAAACACTGTCTGACGGGGTACGTTCCGAGAATCCAAGGACTACGGCGATGGCGTGCTTCTTAGCCGTCGCTTTCAACTGCTCCATCTCGTCCGACTCCAGAGTCAACGAGTTGTAGATGTATTTAGTTTGAAGTTCGAGGTCAACAGGTCGGGCCCTGCGATCAGTTAATAAGCTCCAGAGAGAAATACGCATAGGGAACAATGAGAACAAACCAGATCCAGCCGGGATATCCGGGGATCCAGACCTCTGCGAAAGCGATAATCCGAGCGCCGCCCTTTGCGGCCTCCTCGATAAGCCCACAAGCCTTCCGGACTGACCCTGCCAAATCCAGCCAGACAGGCTCGGCCTGGGTGACGGCGACTCGAATGGTAGCCATTAGGACTCGAACAACGTGGTTTTGGTTTTCCGTATAACTCAGTTAAGACTCGTGGGAGATGGAGTTACTCGCCCGATCGTTCGACGCACGAAGCTGTACCCCTCTTTTATGTACTCAAAACAGTCATATCTCGCGTCGGTCGGTTGCATCTATCATACTACCCCTCTCTTCCTCCCACCACTATTGAGGGCCACTTGGTCTCACCGGTAGCATTGGCACAGTGCTAGAATGCAGGTCAGATTTGAGCCGAGGAACTCGCCATCAGACATGCGCCACCTCCCGTTGATATTTCGGACGCAATACGGGTTTTATAGATCCGTGGAAACGTCTCGCGGGCTGGGTTAAGGACTTATTCTAACTTTCTTTCGAGAGGCATATAATATCCGAATGTTTCCATGTTTTGACTACGGCATGCAACGGGAAAACGTAAAAGAATAAGCGTCCGATGTGTGAGCAAAATGGTCAGCGACTTTTAGCCGGATATTGGTTCATCGTGTCATCGCATGGAGGGAGGGGTCAACATCACACAGTGCTACCGCGGTGGCTGAATCGGCCCAGAGGGACGGCCAATCCGAGCCACTGGGCACAGTTAGGTCGAGATTCTCGCAATATCTAGCCAATTATGCTATACTAATATCAAAAGAAGCTTCTAAATGTCGGAACAACGTCAAGGGCTCAACGGCCAACATGGCAATTCTATAAAACGAGTTGCGGGCGAGACTCCACAACGAAAAAGGGGGATGCTATTGGACAACACATAATTCCCTCGTTATGCTGACGTCTCAAGAATATAGGTTTCTGGTTGAATAGCGGTTACTATTACATTTGTAACAATCTCCGTGTTCGGTTGTTTACAAACTTACCCAACCGTATTCTTTTTAAGGCGAGAGGAGCGTGTCTCATACGCATATTCCACCCACCAATCTGAAAAGTTCCCCGGCCGCATACCTATATTCTTAACTTTCTCATATCTTTAACCAATACAAAAATAAGTATGGCTAAGCGGCCTTGGTAGCCGTACGTTAACGAAGTCGGCTTCGCAAGGACTCAAATGAGACAGGGTGTCGTAGCATGGCACAACTCTAGATATTACCAGCTCCGTTCTTACTTAGGGTAGTGCTACCTAACCAGTATTGACATTTGGGCTCACCCGCTACTTCCAAGTGCCAAGACTTACTCTTCAGTTACCTATATGTGTGCTATTGCTGTTTTGTTAGTTAAGCAACCTGTGGTTGAAGTAAGACCAACACGAACAACTCTACTCAACAACGCATGGTTAGCTTCATAACCGTCGTTGTTCCTATTAACACCTATCTATACGGTGTTTCGGGTGACTACCCATGCACACCGAAGGCCAACAGCCTACCCCCTTAACAGGCGGATTTACTTATTCTATTCGTTGACTCAAGGCCCAAACTTCTCCGCCTACGCATCAAAGTTTTCACGGGGAATAATTCTAGGTTACCTCTTGATCTAAAACTATAAAATCCGTATCCTTGCCCCATGTCGCCAAGTAGGTAGATGTCATCTACCTGCCTAGCATCCCCGCAACCACGAATCCTCAGATTCGTCTATCTCGCGTAGATATCCCTAGTTGCAGGGAATCTAAACTACTACGCAGTACCCAGAGAACACCCTGAACATTGAGCTTATTACAATAGGGGCGGTAACCTATGGTATGACGCCGATTGTTTACCTTCCGAGCTGATTAAAAGGACATCACCGGGCCCATCTGCGGGCAGGGGATCGACGCGATGAGGGTTCAGCCGAAGATCACCCAAAGCCAAGCGCCGACGTTGAGCCGGCGGAGTATCCCAATCCGAATACCCCTCTGCCTCCTCTTCCTCCCCATCATCTTCGCCAACACAACCACCTAGCGCTATGAGTGCTCCCGGCCCTCCTTAGAATGATAGCTAGCAAATTTGGTTGGGCTAGTTCGATAGGTGGAGGCGGAGGTCTTGCAAACAGCTACGCTACCTAGCTTGTAGAGGGCGATGGATGACGAGATTATCAAACAGAATGTGCCAACCCTCTTTACCCCGTCCCTCAATCTCACGTCCCCCTTACTTGAGACCCCCCTGTTCACGACGAAAATAAAGGGAGAAAAAGATAACCTTTCTTTGCCTGCCCTGCCCTGCCCTCCGGTCATCGCTGTGGGAATGTAGTGAAGGAAACTGTTCTCGTTGTTCATGGATTGTCGTGATTGGCAGATAGGGCCCTCGTCGAGTTCGCTCAGCTGGCTGGGTTGGGTGCCTGACTCCGGGTCGGATACGGACCGATAGGATCGTGAACTCCCCCTTCTTCAGCGTCACTCTCCGTAAACCAGTATATAACCACCGCCATATATCCAGTTTCCCCTCGTATCTGCTCGTGCGTAACGATTACTCACCCTCCACTATTTTTAATATTATTGGGGGGGATCAGGCACACTCCACGTCGCCTATAAAATCGTCCCGCCTTTGCTCGGCCTCCCAACCCCTCGTCCGTGCCTACGATCGGGGATTGAAATAATCAATTACTTATTCCCATAGAAACAAATTCCCCGGAGCTCGTGAAATAGCGTAAAATCTACTCTGTCTTTTGCTTGTTTATTCGCGATGGATCCCACTCTGCTCCGGACCCTCGTCCAAGTCGAGTCCAACTCGATCGCCCACCATGAGCACACTCTCCCGGCAGCGCCCGAGAGGGTGGTGTCGAGGACGTACCCGGCCGTCCCCCAGCAGGACCCCATCGAGCTGCAGTCCCTGCGACTGTCGAGAAACGAGACCGCACCGTCGCCCTCCGCTCCCGCGACGCCGCGCGAGGAGACCGACCTCGAGATGAGCGCCCCGGCCACGCCGGCCGAGCCGGCCGACGCCGTCGACGCTCTCCCGACTCTCAATAACCCGCCCAAGAACAAGTTTCGCCTGGCGTCGTGCTGCTTCCAGAACTTCCTCAGCGGCCTGATCGACTCGGCCGCTGGTGCCCTCATTCCTCATATGGAGATGTGAGTCGTCTTGCGCTTATTTCCTTGGCTACCTGCTGCATCCATCGAACAAACGGGAGTTCTCGAAAACAGAGGGGATGCGGAATCAAAATAATGGAAACGATGAGAATGGCGATACCTATATCCCACGTTAATTAAATGTGAAAATTAAATACGAATGAATACGAAAGTCGTGGCAACGAAGCTGACCAGAGCACCTATCCCTCCTCCGCCGACCGCAGCCATTACAACATCGGGTACGCGGTGGTGTCGCTGCTCTTCATCGGCAACGCGCTGGGGTACATCATGGCGGCGCCGTTCGTGGACCAGATGCGGCAGCGGCTGGGGCGGGCGCGGGCGATGGCGCTGTCGCAGGCGCTGATCGCGGCGGCGTTCGCGCCGTTCGTCAGCGCGGCGCCGTTCCCGGCCGTCGCCGTCGGCTACTTCTTCATCGGCTTCGGCTGCGCCGTCCAGCTCGCCATCTGCAACGTCTTCTGCGCCAACCTGCGCCGCGGCACCACCATGCTCGGCGCCATGCACGGCAGCTACGGCGTCGGCGGCACCCTCGGCCCCCTCGTCGCCACCGCCCTCGTCGCCGCCGGCGCCCCCTGGAACTACTACTACTTCCTCACCCTCGCCATCGCCCTCTTCAACCTCGCCTTCTCCTCCTGGTCCTTCGCCCACTACGAGGCCGAGCAGGCCGACGCTGCCCAGGCCGGCAGCGACCCATCCGCCGCTGCCGCCGCCGGAGCCGACTTCCCGTCCCGCTCCCCCGCCGTGCAGCAGATGTCCGCCATGCTCGTCGCCTTCTCGTCCCGCGTCGTGCTGCTCGGCGCCATCTTCATCTTCGCGTACCAGGGCGCGGAGGTGTCGATCTCGGGGTGGGTCATCTCGTTCCTGATCGCGGCGCGCGACGGCGACCCGTCGACGGTCGGGTACGTGACGTCGGGGTTCTGGGGGGGCATCACGCTGGGGCGGTTCCTGCTGTCGCCGGTGGGGGCGCGGGTGGGCGAGAAGCTGTTCGTGTACGTGCTCGTGGTCGGCGCGGCGGTGTTCCAGCTGCTGGTCTGGTGGGTGCCCAACATCGTCGGCGAGGCCGTCTCGGTCGCCGTCGTCGGCCTCCTCCTCGGCCCCGTCTGGCCCTGCGCCGCCGTCGTCTTCATGCGCAACCTCTCCCGCCGCGAGCAGGTCAGCGGCCTCAGCGTCGTCAGCGCCTTCGGCAGCTCCGGCGGCGCCGTCGCCCCCTTCACCACCGGCATCCTCGCCCAGGCCGCCGGCACCTTCGTCCTGCACCCCATCGCCATCGCCCTGTTCGCCGTCATGGTCCTCTGCTGGTTCGGCCTGCCGGGTAGCATCAAGAGACGGACCGAATGATCATCCTTTCCCGTTTCCTCTTTCTCGTCCTCCCCCCCCCCTCTCTCCCCTCTCTTCCACTTTATCTGGCCCACGCCGTTCCTCTTTTTTTTTTCCCAATACATACGGCACACGTACGGCGTATGACGTACCTGCGTGCATCCAGCGAGGCGATCCATGGTCGTATTCGTGGTAGCGAATGGAACAATGGCGGCGGTACTCGCCTTTCTGCCTGCGCAGGACAGGGCGGCAACGCATGGATGATTGGATATCACATGTATGACCTACATGTAAGCTGAAGGGTCTGCATCTCCACCCCTCCCTCTTCCCACATCCCTTCCATGGGCGGAATGCAGGGTATAATATTGGTTGGATATCGGGACGATGCCGGCCCTAATAACCGCGAAAAGATGCCTTGTTATTACTACCAACAGTAGATCTACCTGGACGTGTTTGTATTTGGAACACATATTCTGTCATTGGCGCAATGATAACTGGTGAAAATTTTTTTGTTGAGCTTTCGATGGGAGTTTATGCGGCCCACGGTACCAATGGAAACTAATCCCATCGAGCAATAATCTATCCATTCGTTCATATATGCCCATCATCTCCTAGTTCACCCGACCCGTCTGCTCATTCGTCTATATAGACGTCTCCCATGGAGACATCAAGAGAGCACCCGATTCGTCATCCGTCGTTAGGATCTACGGGAAGTAGTGGGTAACCAGGAAGGGGTTGAGGATGACACAACGTGGAAGAAGACAGGGGTTCGTTAATCGTCGGCGAATCTACTTTCTGCCAACAGCAGCCTCCTTGACGCTGATCTTGCCGTCTAGGATAGAAGCGACAGTTTCGTGGATCTCGGAGAAGTTGTTAAACGTGACAAATGGCGCCTTCTCGTGCTCGCAGTATGTGACGAGATCTGAAAAATTAGCGTCCATCTCCAGTTTACGGTATAGGGGAGGAGTTCCTACCGCAGTTGGCTTTGGCAAAGAGCAAATCGGTTTCCTTGGCGGCGGACAAGTCGGATACACCGTCCCCAGCGTAGAACAGGATGGGCCGCTCCGGCAGAGAGGAGTACGGCTTGATCGTGCGAGACTTGTCGTGGCCGAAGGAGCTATGTACTGTCGTTTCAGCAAGCTGGCTCTCACGCCTCAAAACCTGAAAATAGCCGTACACGTTTCTAAATCGAAATTACACGTGCAAATTTATACAGTAGTAACAAGAAGCAAGAACAGCAACTATGGCAGTAGGAAGTGCGAACATACAAACAGAGAGATTGGTGATAGAGAGACAAGAGGAGAGAGGTATAAGGAGAGAGAGGGGGGGTTACCTATCATCGCGGAAGGTGATGGTCCAGCCGCCCTCGTCGTTGATGGTCTTTCCGGGGCGGGCGGCGACGTCGTTGCTGACGATCTGCATGGTGTCGACGAGCTCCTCGCCGACGAGGTGGGCGAGGAGGGCGCGGATCATGGGGCGCATGCCGCCGCTGAGGACGACGACGGGCACGTTGTTGCCGCGGCACCAGTGGAAGAAGCGGACGAAGGCCGGGTCGAGGACGACGCGCTCGCGCACCGTGTCGACGCACTGGTCGAACGGCGTCCGCACGCTGTCCATCATCTCCTGGAACGTGTCCCGGAACGGCCGCCGCCCGTAGATGACGTCGTAGTTGAGCTGCCGCCGCAGCGCGTTCCCGAACCCGAGGTTGTCCGTCAGGAAGTCGTTGCTGTCGTCCAGCGTGATCGTGCCGTCGAAGTCGGTGAAGAAGATGGCCTTGGGCTGCGTCTGCAGCAGGGGCAGGCTGCTGGTCTGCTGGTTGTCGGCCATGGCTGTCGAGTTTCTTGTGGTGGTGGGTTGGGTAAGTAATGGGGGCGGAGAGGACAAACAGAGCGAGAAGCCGAACTGGAGAGTGTTCGAGCTGTAGATAGGGTAGTATAGGTGATGGCCTATGGAGAAGTAAGAGGCAACTCGGGAGAGCGCTTCGAACAAGATGCCTATGTCTGAGGGGTTCTGTGTAGAACTAGGTGCCCTGTAGCGAGGAATAAATCGTATCCCCTATGTTGAGAGGCGGATATGAAAGGCCCTATTCTTGAAGCTCGTTGAGAAGGAGTTGATGCCACGCGGAGAAAGAACTATTTTCTCTCTCGTGTAGGGTCAGTCAGCTCGTGCTTCTGTCGCTCTCAGAGTGTCTCTTGCTCGTCTGGGTGAAAAGAAAGAGAGGAAGAAGATGCGAGGAGAAGTCAGCGACTCGAGCAGGCTTTATATGTTTCCAGTCGGACCAACCATCGATCCATTGTAACTACGTAGTTAGGAAATAACTCCCTATCTCTCTACCTGGCTATCTACCCAGCTATCGACGCGTTGTAGCTTATCACCACTACCACCACCACCACCACCGTCACCTACTTACCCACCTCGAGCAGCGTTGAGCTCGCCATTGGACCGCATTATACCATCACCCATACCTAGCTACACCGAGGGGGAGGGTGAGGCCGGCGCCGATAGCGTGCGATATAGTATACGCAGATACTTCCCTCTTACCTCGGGCAGCCTGCCAATGGCAGACGCTGATCACATCCACGCAGACAGAGGCAGACACACACGCATATACAAACCATGGCTGCCGACGTCAGTCTGCATGACGACGTTGTACAGCTCATATTGCCGATCGCACAGGGGACGAATGGTGCTCAGTATCTGAAGCCGTGTGAAAAGGGGCCAGTCAGAAAGGACTCGGGGAGTCTGAGCTCGGAAGGCTACGGTAGGGTCGGGTAGGTCCCTATGGCGTGTTGCGATCCTCTTCTCTGCCCGTTATCGACATCGGCGGCTTATGTCGTAGTACCTCTATACCTACCCCGGCTGGTCGGCTCCTTCGATACCACGATGGCCTTCGACGCAACTGTGCACCCGCTCCTGGCCGCTCCCTACACGCATCCCTACGTGCCATTCCCACCTCGCTGCTGCGCACCCACGTAGCAGGGCCAGGTCGGCACAGAGGCACGGAGAGGCAAAAAAACCTGAAATACGTAGCATACGATTCGGTACTTAGGTCAAGTGTGAGTAGCAGGAGAGGTGAGAAGTTGACGTAGGTACTGTCTGTACATCTGTATGTCTGCCACGCCATGTCACCCCTCCGCGCGTCGGCCGACGCTGACGGGATGATCGCCGCTGCAGTCTTCGCTCCCGTCGCCACTCGTATGCGATCTGTTCCTCTTCCATGCTAGATTGTCTCGTCTTAGCTAATTGTTATCTAGGTACGTTGTTTTTTATTTTTCCTACGTTGTATTTTGCCTTTTCGCCGGCACCTAGGATACATCTGCCGTCGGGACGATTCCTTTCCATCACGTCTTTTTCTGTCGAACCCACGCGTGAAGCTATTCATAGATGGTACCGGTACAAGTGCCTACCTAAGGGGGGGTTTGTAAGTAAGGGCGAGGGCAGACTCCTAGAGGCAGGGGGTATATCTACCTATTTGAGTAGGTTAGGTATCTACCTAGGTATGTACCCGTACGCGGGTACATGTTGGGTACCTAAGGTATCTACAGTAGGTACGTAGATCGGTATTCCGTCTCTCCCCTGCTCCTTCCCTTCGACCTGCCATCGAGGACCCACCCAGACCCACCCATCTCCATGCGGGTCCCACTTATATAGTGTGGGTCCCACTGAGGCTTATTCGATGAGGCTTATTAGCGGGCTTGGCGGCCGTGGTAGCCGCATCGGGCTAGTCTGGGCCGGCAAGGCGGTGGCCGGGTATTCCCCGGCCTCACTCGTGGCTGGTTGGCAATTCCGGACCTGCGGGCCTGTAATCTCGTAGCATCAACTTATTATCCTATTTTCGCCGCGAATCTTCTATCCTCTCGCCCTCTCGCACCCTGTGCCCTCGCACACGCATACGCCACTCCCACCCCACGCGTGTGCCGATTCGGCACCTATCTGCTTCGGCTCTGGCTCCGGCGCGAGCGGCGAGAGAGAGAGAGAAAGCGAGAGGCCAGGATAGCCAACAAAACTCTCACGGAGCCTGACCACGGCCTGGAAAGAGGACGAGTTGAGCGAGATCTAAGGCGAGAGGGAAAGGCTACTGCTACCTCCCCCCCCCCTCCCCCCCCCTTACTTTCATTCATGCTGTAGTCCGCCCTTCATGTCGACCTCCCGGGTCCTCAGGCCCCTATTCGGGCCTAGTCGTCGGTTCCTTGTCGATCAATTGGTGCCGCCTCAAGTCGCAGCAGCGGGGGGGGCCTGCAGGCTTATCTCGAACCAGCCGCCGACAGCGCCGGTGTGCTTGACCTGCCGGCACCGCCTCGTCGCCAATCCGCACCAGAGGCTCCATTTCTCCTCCTCCAGAACGACGTCATCCTTCCCGTCGAAACCTGCTTCGAGCCGCGACAGCGACAGCAACCAGGGTCCTACCACCACCACCCCTGACACCGGAAACGACTCGTCCTCCAATCTCTTCGCCCCGCCCATTCCTCCTCTCTCCTCTTCCTCCTCCACCCCTCCACCATATCCCGCCTCCTCGGAATCCGAACCACCAAATCCGACCGAGCCACCCCTCCCCCCTCCCCCTCCGCAGGGCCGCGACGGCAGCAGCAGAAGCAGCAGCGACGACAGCGACAGCCATGCCGACCGGCGCCAGCAGCACGACCCGGAGCTCCCGTCGGCCCTCAACTCGCGGCGGTCGCAGCTGAACCGGTCGCTGAGCGCGTTCATGGACCGGGCGCAGACCACGTTCTTCGTCGCGTCGCGGCGGCTCAACGACCTGACGGGGTACTCGGGGATCGAGACGCTGAAGGGGCGGGTGTCGGCGCTGGAGGCGGCGCTGGCGGCGGCGCAGCGGGCGCTGCACGAGGCGCGGTCGGCGTACAAGGGCGCGGTGGCGGGCCGCAGCGCGACGCAGCGCGAGGTGACGACGCTGCTGGCGCGGCAGAAGACGTGGTCGCCGGCCGACTTCGAGCGCTTCACCGCGCTCTACCGCCAGGACTACGAGCTCGACGCCGACGTCGCCCGCCGCGCCGCCGCGCTCGAGGACGCCGAGCGCGACGCCGAGCGCCTCGCCCGCGACCTCAGCGCCGCCATCCTCAGCCGCTACCACGAGGAGCAGATCTGGAGCGACAAGATCCGCCGCATGAGCACCTGGGGCACCTGGGGCCTCATGGGCGTCAACGTCCTCCTCTTCCTCGTCTTCCAGTTCGGCGCCGAGCCCTGGCGCCGCCGCCGCCTCGTCCGCGGCTTCGAGGCAAAGGTCCGCGAGGCCCTCGACGAGGACCGCGACCGCGTCCTCGTCGCCCTCGCCGAGGTGCACGGCCCCGCCGCCGCCGCCGCCGCCGCCCGTACCGGCGATGCTGCTGCTACCGCTCCTCCTCCTCCTACTCCTCCTCGCACCGAGCCGTCCCAGACGCCCGGCCAGGACGAGCTCGCCGGCACCTCGGTACCCCCCGCTCTCGCCGAGCTAGCCGGCAAGCCCTCCACTCCCCCCGCCGTAGAGACAGAGCCGGCCGCGGGCCCGCTCCAGATAACGTACTGGCGCGACGCCTCCTGGCGCGAGGCGCTGCTGAGCCGGGACTGGTGGCGCGCCGTGGCCGCGGACCTGTGGAGCGAGCGCCAGGTGGCGGTGCGGATGCGCGACGTGTCGGTGATCGCGATGGAGGGCGCGGCGGCGGGCGCGGCGCTCGCCGGAACCACCGCGGCCCTGGTCTTCCTGGTCGTCGCGCGCAGGACGTAGGCCGCGATGGGGAGGGAGGCGCAGACGCCGAGGCAGACGAGGGAAAGGGGTGGAGGTGACGGAGATCGAAATGGTTATAAAAATGGAGAACTGCACATCTGGCTAACCAGGTGTTCCGCAATGCACAGAGAACGTCCGTGTGCTATGCTATGCTATGCTATGGCCTGTATGTAGAATGTCTGTATGCTATGCTATGCTATGGCTTGTATGTAGATATGCGCGTATGTACACTAGGAGAGACACAACCTCTACCTACCTCTACCTCTACCTCTACCCCCCCTACCTACCCCTCCCCCGCGCCAGCCGTCCCCGCAAGCCATCTGGATAGCTAGCATGGTCTCCGTGCCAGCATACATATCTATATACCAAGCGTCATCGCCCTCACACCGCCGAAGAAAACCAGCTGGTCACATCCTCTCGTAGTCTGGCCCCTTCCTCGTCTGACAGATATTTAAGATGGTTATCTTCTCCATTTCTGTCTCTTTTTTCTCTCTACTCGCGTCCATCGTCTTATCTAACACATCCTGCAGCCCCCCCACCACACCGTGTCTCTTGACAAAAGGACGCTGAAGCTAACAAAGACACCAAAAAAGCCCCCTCTAGAATATGAGTTTTCGCTGCACTATTCTTGTTGCGTGTAATTGACAAGGCGACCATCGCCCGTGCTACCTCTACTGTTACTGCCCTATGACCCGGGGGTTATCTCTCAAGATCGGGTATGGTGCCGCTCCTCGACAAATTCTAGGTAGTGATTACGTCGTGCGCCCAAAGCCCCAATGCCACTCTACTTCTCCAAGCGACTTATATCTCGCCTTTTTTGGGGGGGGGGTGGGGGAAGAGGGAGCATTGGTTTCTTCTCTGGTTAAAAATTCGTCCCGCGAATGGCACTTCGCAACCCCCTCGTCTGTCCGCTGCCCCTGTGGCTGGTAGGCGCCTAGATCATGACTCTCATCGAAAGGCAAAGGTATCGAGCTTGTAACGATTTACTGCCGAACCCCTCCCTCGCCCCCGCTGGACTACAAAATCGCATTACCCCGTTATCGCGGCTCTCAAAGCTTCACATAACAAGAGAATCCTCATCTATTTGCTTTAGACGGTTTTCCTGCGTCGGGGGAGTTCTATCAAACGTTTTCATGGCGTCTTCAACTTGAGGCTTGGTCTGACTCTTGCAATTCCTTTCTTGACCCCTTAGTCAAAATCGGCCGTGTACGAGAATCCACGGAATTCCTCCTGCATTGCCTGGGAAAGCACTGTAATTTTGTTAGCACCCCTCGTAACCACGCGACAGACTCGAGCGGTATGCTTACCTGATTGTACCGGTGTTAGGACCGGCGTGACGCTAGTAAATTCTGAATCGAAGTTGCTCGTATCCGTAGCATTCTTGATCGCCGGCAAGAATGGCGGTTGCACCCTCTTGTGATAGATGTCGTCCCAGCTTATATTCCGGAAGAAGGGTTGACTCATAACCTCTTGAGCATCAGTCGGCCCGCTGCCGAGTCGTTGGTCAGGATCTCTGGTGAGCAGTTTCTGCAGAATAGAGACCGACTCCCTGGGCATATGAATAGGGTATAACGGCTCGTCGGCGAGGATCGCGTCGTATATCTCGTCCTCGTCTTCACCGCGGAAAGGGGACTGCTGCAGGAGCATTTGGTAGATCAGAACTCCAAAAGCCCACCAATCCACGGCTCTCCCGTACTTCTTGTCTAGAAGAATCTATCCGCATGTTAGATAGCTAGCCCATCGGCGTGAGTGGAGGATTGAGTTACGTACCTCGGGGGCCATGAACTCCGGAGTGCCGCAGAAGGTGCCCGTCGTGGTGCCATACCACATATCTTCCTTACACAGGCCGTAATCGGCGATCTTGAGGTGTCCGTCGAGAGTGAGCATAATGTTGTCAAGTTTGAGATCGCGATAGATGACTCCGTTTTCGTGGAAATACTTGAGTGCCAAGCAAACCTCGGCGGCATAGAACCTGAAGGGAATGTTAGCAGACCTCCCAGTAATGAAGGCGCCCCCCCGCCCCCACTCTGAGGACATACTGTGCTCTCTTCGCGCCAAATGGCCCGCGCTGGATATGAAGCATCAGGTCACCACCGCTGATATACTCCATGACAAAGTACACCCTCGTCTCTGTTTGGAAGCAGGCGTGGAGGTTAGTTAGGAATGGATGGCGCTCCCTGTTGGCAATTAAAAACACCCTCTTCTCCGATCGAATGCTCTCGACCTCGTCGTGCTCCATAATGAACTCCTTCTTTAGGACCTTGATGGCGTAGAGCCGCCGGGACTTCTTGGTTTCAGCCAACATGACTTTTCCGAAATTACCCTTACCGAGAACGGCAAGGAAGTTGAAATGGTCGAGGCCAATGCGCTGACCCGTTCCCGGATCGGTAGCAGAGGGCAAAGGTTTCCTTGCCGGAGGTGGCAGGGTGGTGCCGGAGGATAGAGAGGGAGTCTCCTGAACCGGTTGCGGCTTCGATACGGGTGTCACAGGTGAGTACATCTGGTGCTGGTGCAGCTGTGACGTGGGTGATTGTGGCTGCGGAGCAAGTTGTTGCGACGGGGGGACTTGTGGTTGGCTCGGAGGGTAGTTGCTTATGTTCGCATATGCTGCTGGGTTGTACTTGGGTTGTGAAGGAACGTTATACCCTTGACCAGCCGAGTACAAATCGCCTTGGCTATCCCCAGGCCCGAAGCTGCCTACTCTGCCAGCAGAATAATCCGGAATCTGTCCGGGGCGCGCGGCCTGCGAAGCCAGGGTATTACTCATAGCAGCCGTGGCGGCGGCGGCGGCGGCGGCACTGGAACCTGACGAAGTCCGATCGGGATGAGCCGGTCGAGAAGGCGAAGTCTGACTAGCATACATCGCTTTGGCCGCGTCGGTTGCCTCTTGGGAAGCGGCACTGGGCTGGTAAGAGGGGGCACCATAAGGTGACGCGGAGCTTGATGGACTTGTCGGACTTATCTTGCCCGGCCTGAACGTCTTCTCGCTTAACGATGTCGCCTTCTGCTGACGCTGTTTCTGTGATCTGATCCCTTCAAGTATCTGGTTAGCGACAGCCATACTCATACCGCAGAAATCGGGGACAAGATGAACGCATTGCGCGTGAGCCGTAAGTCCGCATTCTATAATAAGGTTGGTTAGATTCGCATGCTAAAAGAAGGGGGGCGGGGGACGGATGGATGGTCGCCGTACCGGTACACTTCCTACAATTTTTCTTCCCGAAGGGCAGTATGTAACCGCAGTGACAACACCAATTCGCCGTGACGTTGGAGAAGGGCGCAAACCTGTGAGGGATGCGGTGATTGATCTTCTCCTCGTCCGGATCCGTCTCAGCATTGCTCTTGCTAATGCATTTGGTGACCACGCTCGAGTAACATTTCGTATGGCACGTGTATTTGCAGTCCTCGCATTGCATCCCGGCGGAATATTTAAGGAAATCGCCACAGAGGGCGCAGCGCATGATGTTGTAGAATTGGTGCTGCACGAACTTGTGACCGTACATCTCGTGCACCTCTTCTTTGCGTTGACGGATGGCGCCCTTTCGGCCGAGCCCCAAGTCGACGGGCCTACGGTCCTTGCTCTGTTTTATGAAGTTGAGGGACAGGTGGATGGAGCCGGTGGGCTCGAGGTTGAACCACGCATCGATCGGTTGAGAGGTAACTTGGGGGACCGCTTGAGGCGTGAACTGTTGGTTCTGCCCCGAGCCGCCCGGAGACATTGGGGGGGCGCCGAACGGCGATTGCGGTGGTATCTCCATCGGGAATTGAGGCGGAGGGACGCCTCCAGGTCCTCCCATCCTATCAGCAGATACCCAACCAGAGTTGTTCACTTCCGCCTCGATCCTCTTTCGCCGCATCTCTTCGACGATGTCCGATATGCGCACCCAAAGCATGGCAATTGGCAGGGAATGCTCGCCATTCTTATCGTAAACCGTAAGTTCTATCTCGTTGGCTTTGTCGACCTCGATGTTGTGGTATTCGGACTCCCACCGGTCGGAGCGCGAACGGTTCGTCCGCGCGACAACGTTGTCTTCGACTTTGATAGCGACGTGCGTTTCCGGACCCCGAGAGAATCGCCCGGTGCTCGCGTGGTCGACATCTTTAACTTGGATGACCCGGATGGTAAGCTGTCCCGTCAGCGGTTTGCGTAGGTTTGGCATATTGATGCTGTCATCTACGAGGAGAGCCGGTTAGCGCTGAAAAAGGTGGTGGTATTTTCAAGGCGGACAACCAACCGTCGGGAGAGTCAGCAGAGTCGAAGTCGTCAATGTGAAGCTCTTCGTATCTCTTGAGTGCCTGCTTCAAGAGGTGAATCTTCTGTTTGCTTTCGATCCTCTTGGCCGCGGCGTCCGCCTTGCTTTTGCGATCCCCTTCCATGCCGTAGAGCTGTACCATCTTTTCTATACCCTTGAGATACTGTTCCTCGACGTTCAGCTTGAACTGGATCTGGGATAGCATGAGCTGAATTCGAGGGCCGAGGTACTGGGTATCGTATTTTATAAGATCTACGAGCACCTTCGGTCAGTATCGCTTTCCCTTTGTCTTCGGTCCAGGGGTAGGATCGCTAGAACCAACCGCAGCGGTGCCAACGGCAGTAGCAGCGACGTCGGAAAAGAAGAAGAAATAACTTTCGACGTACCCAGCTTGGTGAAGTTGGGCCTCGGCCTCGGTATCGACGATGGCCCCGGAGGAGCAAAGGGGTGTCGCGGCGGCATCAGATCCCCGTGACCACCGATCTGACCGTACGATAGAGAACCGTAGGAGCCCTCGTCTCCCGGCCAGCCGCCGGCATCTTTGGGGGGAGGCAGCGGCGGCCCTTCGAGATCAGACCCCATTTCACCGCTAGTGGGTCGTGATGACCCAGGCACGCCGGACGTGGGAGAGCCGAGAGACATGCTGTCGACGCCCTGGCCGAGCCGCTTCATCTGCAAGTCGCGCAGCTTCTCCTCGAAGAATTGAAGATTCCGTCGTCCCTCCCGCATCTGGCTGTCGAGACGGGACCTTACATCATCGTTGTTGGTCTGCTGTCGCATCGAGTTGGCGGCATTGATGAGGGCTTTCTCGCGCTCGATCTTCTTGTAGATATTGGACAGGGCATCTTCGTCACTCATGTTGGGCGGCGGGTTCGCGCGTCGTCACGCGCGGTTGGCCTCTGAGGCTTTGTTGTGGTTATTGTTGGGCGGGTTCGTCGTGGCGGGTGGGGGGAGGAGGCGAGGGGAGAGTGTTGTGGTCGTGATCGGGGCTCGTGGTCCTACGCTTGAGGGCTTTAATTCTTTCTGTTCGGCGACGACGGCAGCAGTGAGAGCAAAGCCGAGAACGAGCAATAGAGACGATCCAGATGCTGGTGGCGTGCAACACACAATCCCGTTACCTGTTTGATACCTGCTACCGGCCTCTGGGCACAGATACACTGGTGACACTGGATAGAGGCAGCGTTAGCTCGCGACCGTGGGCTCAGCCATGAGTATATAAGCTAAAAAATTGCGAAGCGGGCAGTGCCAAGCGGGCAGGGAGGGATGGGCGAGGTGTCTTCGGCGGTGGGCACGGGTTGGTCAGGAGGTTGGGCTGGAGAGAGAGGGAGAGCGAGAGAGAGGCAGAGCGAGAGACTGAGAGAGAGAGAGAAAGAGAGGGAGAGGGAGAAGGATATCTGGAAGAATCCAGCGTGCGGCGGAATCTCTCATGGTGGAGGAGATGCAGTACAAAGTATCTGGCAGCTCGGTGCCTGCCTACCTAAGGTACATCCACCAGCCAGCGGTACTAATCAGCGAGTACTAATCATCAGACCGTACTCATCAGGCCGTGCTCATCAGACCGGCGGCGGCGGTTGTTATTGTTGCTGTTGTTGCGGCAGCTACCTGAGGCAGATCCAACCGATGTCGACGGCTGACCTAAGGAAAGGCAGATGCGAGAAGCGAGAAGAGGTACTGCTACACCAAAGGTTGCTCGCTGCCTCCCGTCCGGTCTGGCTGGGTTGCGTCGCTGCCGCTTCCTCATGTTTGTCTGGAGTCCATGGCGGGGTCTTGTGTCTCGCATGCGGCGGGCAGTCGCGCCGGTGCCAGAGGGTGGCCTGTGTGTATGGCAGATGTGGGTTGTGCGGCTTGGTGGGTTTCGCCCATGTTCCTTTCCGCCTTCTCCCGCCGCGCGAGGTACTTCCGCTGGTACTTGCAGGCGGTTTCTTTCCGTCCTTTCTTTCCTTCCTTTCTTCCTATCTTTTCCTCCCTTCCACCTTCCCTATTACGTACCTAACCTTAGGTATTAGCCTCAGATACCTTACCTCAAAGTACCTTACCTATTTTCATCATCATCATCTTCTTCTTCTCCTCCCTTCCCCGCTCTCTCTCCTCCTCCCTTGAACTCTTGTTGTCGCTCCATGCTAGACGTGACGCGGCCCAGCTGGCCCTTTCGGACTGCGTTGGCGCTCTAATGCCTCCCAGTTCGCTAGGTCAGGCCAGGCAGGATACCCCCGGCTTCGTGAACTTTCTTGCGTGTGTACATTTTGAGGTATGCAGACACCTGCCCATGCAGAGTGTATGCCAGGCAGATGTGCCTAAATCAAAGATCATGCCCTCGCTGCAGAGAGAACAACAAAGGGCGGCCTACCTTCTAAGCAGCCAACCTAAACAACATACGTGTAAGTATGCGTGGGTATACCTATAGGTAGCCCAGCTCCGTTCTCTCGATTTGCGTCCTACGCGGATATGCATATGTATAAGCGCGAATCGACAGCAGAGTTACCTTAGTTAGATAAGTACCTACATATTTTTGTACGATGCGCGGTATTAGCTTATCGCGCGAGCAGCTTCGATCGGGTAGGGCGACACAGCATAAGCCAGCGCGACGAGTACGCGCTTGGCTTCGTGGGCGTCATCCAAGACAGCGCTCTCCAGCATAGACCGCTGCGGGAAGAAACTAGCTGCATCTGGGCGGATGGCTCCTAGAGACACGACGACGGCCAGAGTAGGGGGCGCGGGTGAGATCGCAGTCTTTGTGGCACGCGAGAGCAGATCATATCGGACGAGGAGAGAGATCAATCGATTCCAAAACCGCCTGCGTTCCATCGAACCTACCTAGAACCCAGACCATAACGTGCCGAGGCCAACTCCAGGTACGCGACATGTCGCTAGTTGTATCTTCGGCTTACCTGCGTCCTGCATCGTTGCTCTTACTGCTCGCGACCGCCTACCCCGTCGCCAATAACACGCACATATGGAGGGGATATAGAGTGTCGTAGGCCGGCTAGACCATAGTTTGAGCAGGGTCCAGAGAATATTGAATCGCTGCGACGCGAGACAGATCCGGAAAAAGATCGCCCTCTCTCTCTCTTTCTCTACGCAACGCGTGTCTCAAACTGCCAGCCACAGAAGAGTGCCCAGACGTTCGCAGAACTACAACACTGTCCGATGCTGTTATATTGCTGATCATCGCTGTTCCATGGCACTGTTGTTATCGTTGCTTTTGCGAACGATGCAACGAGTTTGGGCGAATCAAGAGCCTGAGCACACGGAAACCCCGTTGGGCATCACGAAAACAAGAAGCTTTTCCTCGCGGCCTATTCGTCAACTTAGAGAGCGGGATTGCGCGTCCCACGCGGCCCTGCTTCGCGAGGCAAGACAGATCTACCTCCTGAAGGTCACATCAATCAAATCAATCAATCCGACGATGATTTGGGGTTAGAGGTTACAGGTATCGCTAGCCAGAGACCCAAAGTTTTGCCTGCCTGCTTTACTTGTTAGTTCATCCTCGCTCACCCCCCGCACGCACAGGCAGGACACGGACCTGCACCCACAGCGCCCCTAAGTCGGAGTCCGTCAAGATCGGGATGAAAATTTCAAAACAGACACATCGTCGTGATAGGGCTCGCTATTAAGCTGTAGGTCTACGCTGTAGTTACGCATGGAGGGGGCTACTACGCCCCTACGTAATATCGGCTAAAACCCTTGATCCTAGGGGCTTCCGTGCTACGAACAGCGGTGAGTTGGGGGACAGAAGAGAACCAGTACAACGACAGCAGATGAGTTGTTCCAGCTTTGCACAACTAGGCGAATGTATAAAATGTATTAGTTACCTATGTGTATATGTGTATACGCACATATACTCAACGCTGGGGGTATCAACAGTACGCATCAACATGAAGAGCTGGCGGCAAGCAGCCTTCGTCCTAGATAAAGCCGTATCGAGCAAGCCACGGCCGTGCTAACGCACGTCGTGCCTATAGCCGAGCGCTAAACGCACACATACGCGGGGTCTCAAAAACGCAGGAAGTGCTGAACACAGATACCACGGAACTCCTTCGACGGCCGTGCCTCTTTCGTTCATCCTCTTCTGTTTGATCTCAAAAGAATACATTACGACGTTGGGGCAGCCCGGGCCGAACCGAGCGGCGCGTAGAAGCCGGCGAGGTTCTGGTAGTTCTGCTGCGGCGGGGCGCTGGTCTCGGGACCCTTCGGCGTGCCAGCGGCGTTCGGCTGGGCGAGCTGCGCCTGGGGGGGCGCCATGGGCATGGGGGGATACGGGTAGAAGACGGCGCCGGGGGGCGGGGGCGGGGCGACGACGACGCCGGCGGGCTTCGCGAGGTTGCGGCGGTGGGTATCGATGCAGGCGAAGACGAAGAGGACGAAGTGGCCGAGGGTCCAGAGGCAGAACATGGCGGTCATGGCGCGGAGGGTGGGGATGTACATGTTCTGCATGTAGTAGAAGGAGCTGTAGCCGTCGCAGTAGCTCCAGCGGGTGTAGGGCCGGCCGGCCTCGTCGTCGCAGAACCGCGCCATGCGCTGCGTGCTGAGCGCCACCGTCGCCGTGCCCAGCACCGCGAACACGCCGACGAGCCAGAACACGAGGTGCAGGCCGACGTGCGCGCCCGGGTGGATGCCGCGCTTCACGTCGCCGCGCGACCGCACCGCGTACGTGATCAGCTCCGCGCCGTTCCACAGAATCGACGCGATCACGATCGGCAGCCCGTACCACGCCGTGACCTCCCCGTCGCCCCTCTCGCCGATGAAGACGCACGCCAGCGCCAGGATCACGATCGACACGAGCGTCACCGCGATGGTCAGGATGAGCTTCGTTACCGTCCACGGCTTCGAGTATGGCGGGGGCTGCCGCCTCGGCATGTACACGCAGGGGTACGGCCCGTAGGGCGACGGGTATTGCTGGTACGGCTGCGGCAACGGTTGGTGATGTGCGGATGGGGGCGTTTGAACAGTCGCGTTCGCCGTCGGTCTCGTCGGTAGTACCGGTGAAATCGCATCCGTCGGTCCTCGGGGATGGCTCGACGCCGTCGGAGCTGGAGTGTGCTCTCGATTGGCTGGCGCTGGGTCGCTCACAGGCGAGATATTACCGCGTCCATCCCTCGTTTCCGTCATCGGTTGCGTAACATCGTTCGAAGCCATCGTATTGGTTCCTACAATATAGGTATGCGACTTTCCTTTGTGTTGTTTTCGGTTCGGTATGTTTTTAGGGTTTCAACACAAGACCGCTCGGAAATTAATAAATACGCTAGAGAATAGAGAACCAAAGAATAGAAGAACTGCCTTATGATTCGAGGTCAGGGTTATAAACGAACGACGATGATCTGCGTGAGAGCAGCACGGAGAAGACCGACAGAAAGCAAGAGAAAAAATGCTAGGGGGGCGACGCCACCGTTGGTATTTAAATGCATAGGTATAAATACACATGAGCCAAGCCTTTGTAGGATCCTAGTCGCCTTTCCTAGAGCCAGACTGGCCAGACACCGAAGGAACGCCTCTCCCGTGTCCGGCACAACATGCCTCTAGCTTATCCTGTCGTATTTTGTCATGCCATCATGTCCAAGGCCAAGAGTCGCTGGCAAGCCAAGTTCCCCGTGCCCCCTCGTTTTGTGTTGTTCAATTGGGGGCCAAATACAGGCGAATCAACCGTCTTCCACCCCTATGGTATTTTTCTGGTGATGATGACTCAAGTTGGTCGTTGTGGATCACGGGTTGGCCTACCCTACGCTAGTAAAGGGGCCCTACCTGGTCTATGGTGGTCAGTTATAGGCAGAACAAGGTGTATAATCGACAAATGTAGCCCTTTAAGGCTGCTGAGTAGCATTGCAATTCCAGGCTGCACGATCCAGACCTAGTTCGAGTTAGGTTGCCAAGACGCGACGAACAAAACTCCTTGTTGTTTATTACCCATGGGCCATATATGTACATATTTATGTAGGTACAGGACATATAGATATGTATGTATGTATGTATGTATGTTATTGGCAGCGCTTCGCCTGGTTGCTGCCTAGGGTGAGGTAGCATCGCGAAACCCGCAGCACGATACCGAGATTATAGGTATGGGTTGTGTTGTATAGGTACCTATAAATTTGATACCGTTAGGAAATCCCTAAGATAATCAGTAGAACCCAACCACTAAGGCAAAGCTATCCAAAACCATTCGCTCTCAACTAAGTACATATAGCTTGCTTGATACATTGGCGTTGCTAGAGAAAAAAACAAGGCGACGCCTTCGCTAACAGACAATAACCTGCTCATATAAAATAGAGCATCCCTAGATATATCTCGGCATGCAATAACCCCACATTCTGCCTGCTAGATGCTGTAGACACAGTGCTTTGTGCTGTCGCTAATGACTAGCAAGCTCATCCAAGGTAAACGGAATATCAAGGTTGGCGCAGAACACATCAAGTGGGAAAAGAACTACGCCCACATGTGCCAACATTTGCCATCAAAGATCCTTCCGAGGTCGTGTTTTCCCTTTCCTCGGGACAATGCCTCGCTGTAGCTACCTTTTTTTCAAACCCTCGTAACTGCTACCTAGCATTCAGAAGCTACGTACAGAGAGCCTCAAGTGCAACCTAATTTTGTGGTCTTCAGAAAGCTGCATTATTTTCTGGACCAATAAAGAGTCGAATAGGATCACGTGACAAGGATTAGAATCAGAACCGTGGTAAGTTGAGTAGCTAGAATCACCACAACTTACGCTTATGATCTGCCACAACGATATTTCTCCCTAAATGGTAGGGGTAGATGTCAAGTTGAAAAATAAGAACAGTTCATTAGAGTCGAAGATTGGGATGGCAACTCTAGGTAGTATAAGGCCAGGATGAATCAACCAATAGGTAAGGGGGTGTAGATCACGTGATGCCTGCTGCGCCTTAGGAGGATGTGTTGTGGGAGTTGTTAGCAGACGGGGGGATTAACTCTTCAGCTGCTGACATGCATGTATGTCCGATCGATCAACCTATACAGCTATTTGTCTCCTATCCTTGATACATCTCGCTACGAGGTAGTTTCGGGTAGCTGTGCAACAGCATTAGTAGCGTCACCTCATCCCAGCACAACATCGACCCAGCGTGGTCTCGCCTCCCACCATACCTCCCGGTCAATCTCACCCAATCCCGTCCTGTACGCGATGCCGTCTTTCCTCCTAATAGCCATAACAGCGTATCCAGTGAACTGGCGTAGGACACTTCCACGCCCTGGCGTTGCAGCCACAACAATAAGTTCAGAGGTCCCGGACGTAGTTGGATCTTCGTTCCAGATCATGTAGCCAGCAGACTTCCCGTACTGGTCCAGGATTCTGTGGCACGTCGCCACGGGCTTCATAGACTGATTGAACAAGCGGTCATGTGCAAACTCACTTCTTCTAAGAGACTTCTCGACAACAAATGCCGGGTGGTCCTTTGATTCTGTGCTCTCCTCTGCGACGCGCGCGGACCAGGTCTGGAAATATAGAAGCTCGTCGATACCACTAGAGATTCCATCCAGGCCTAGATACTTGAGGGAGACCTGACCCAGATGGGGTCTATCGCTGTAGATGTCGGCCTGGCCCCACTCGCTGTCTTTCCAGCACTTAACAAGCCGGCCTGGGGGGTGGCATGCTGTCCACATACCGATGCCGAATGTGTTGAGGGGCCTGAAGGCTGACGAGGCCTGACTGCCGCATAACCAGCGGACAAGCGGTCGGACTTTGATCTCTGGCCGACTCACCTCGTCGGCCACACTGCTGTACTGGACCGGACCTATCCACCCCATCCAAGACCAGCTCGGCGGAGAGCTCGTGGCCACCAAGTTCCGTCGCTGTAGCTTGCCTTCCGGCAGCCAAAGAAGCGCTGCGTCAAAGTGAGAGGTCGGCAGTCCGTAGAGAAATGGCTGCTTGAGGCACCTTTCGAATGTCTTCTGGACTCCAGAAAATGCGTTCTGAATGTCAGACGGGTAGCTCAGCTTGCGCGAAGTGTACTCGGCTACTACTTCTGCATAAACCCGGTAGTTCCAAGATAAAAGACAGGCATGGTGCCGCGAGTGGCATAGCACGGTGTCCCTTAGCTCTGGATCGAGTGCGAAGGAGCCTTGAAACCGTACGGAATTGTTTGGGACTGCATCTTCACTCACAGTGTCCAAGTGGAAGTGTTTGCCAATGGTATACCTCACGGGTACTTTCGGTGTCTGTGGCTTGACAAGATTGTTGATGTCGAGGTCACTAATTTTGTGATGAGTTATCCGCATCTTATCCTGCGACTTGACCGAAACTCTCATTCCCTCCGTACCCATGTCGTCTACTTCATCTAGTGTAATAGCAGGCTCGTAACATGCCCCGGTGCTTGCGAACTGCTCAACAGGGAATGGGGGGCTTTCTCCACCCCTCGGCTGCTGGATGGATTTGATTTCGTTTATGATGTTGTATTCTCTTATGATAGCACCTCGCCGAAGGCTAGTAAGAGAACCAGGCCATCCAGAGAAGGTTTCGCTGGCCTCCGAGATGATATCTTCAAACCAGGTGCTACATTTGCATTTCCAAAAGACCTGATCGTCGATAAAGACAAGTGTCCTTGCGCTGAGGACTTCCTCTTGGAATGTCCACGCTCGAGAGTTCCAGACCGAATGGCGAAGCTTTCGGGACGGCTCTAACGGGAGAGAAATCCGGAGTATGTCATCAACCTCTTCAGTCACTTGGGACAGGGTTCTCAAATGGGGCCACACGCCAGGAAGACCCGAATTAGAGTCAGAGCCGCCGGCAGCGACAATCGTCAATACCGCTCTGGAGTAGACCTCGTCCATGTGTTTTATCTGCGTAGCTTTGTCTTGTTCATCGTCTTGGACTATACACACTGCGTCGACCCATAGGTAGGTCTCGCCGATTTCTCGAACTAGGCTTATGGCGTCGAGGACGGTCCTGGAGATCTGATCAGACAGATTTCGTATGCCTCCCTCGCGGCGAACCTCATCGAGATTCTTTGTTGTGGTTTTGAAGACTGTTGTATCGCCCCACACATAACTAAGTGCACAGTATCGGCAATCTCGAGGGGCATCTACCAAAGTGTATGTGACAGCATTGATGACTCGAAAACACGATGGAAAACTGCCTTCCGAGTACCAAGGCAACATACCGCATGTCTCTTTATGATGCGTCGTGCAGATCTCCAGCCAGGATCGGATTAGAGACGTATTAACGACATGACGGGGGGGAATGCGGCCCATAAAGGTTAAAGAAGAGCTGTATTCCGGTGCGACCAAGTGAGCCCGAATAATAGGCACTTCACATTCGCCCGTCGGCAGAATTGCGCAGAGCCTTCGGCGCTGGTCTTCGTCCCCGTACTTTTCGATCAGAGGCTCTGGAACAATTGAGAACGGGACATATGAACCGTCCTCTAGCAACGGGATTTGGTGCTGCATAGCAGCTCCACAGAGGAAGCGGCAGAACTTGCAAGTGTCGTATCGGCTGGCGATATCCGGTGCCGGATTCACCCTCCAAGATCTGGGAGGATTCTCGTCTACGTTGAAGAGAGACCGGAAGTCGATTCTCTGGCACACATCGCAGAGCCGCGGGTTCTCCCTCTGGGCCTTGGTTGTCAGCCCGATGGTGTCAATAAAAGGGAGGTAGTCGTCCCCTAAAGCGTTGCCCTCGAATTCCTCCCAGAAGGTAGACCGTGTCTTGGGACGGAGTTTGCGGCGGTTGCGTAGTAGGTGCTCCCTGATTACTGAATCATAGGGGTTTGACTCAAAGGTTCTCCCCGGCAATAGCATTTCCCTGGGTGGTGGAAACGGAGCGCAGGATAACTTCCTAACCATACATTCCTCGTGGTACGCCTGGTAGTGTTCCGACATAGTCAATGGGAGCCTTGAATCAATGGTTCTGGGATGAGAGCTATTACACCCGGAGGCAGCTCTCTGATGTTCATCGCCAGAGTTTATTGCTGCGGCGATTTTCTGGCCTTCGAGGGCCTCCTGGTTGATAGAGGAATGATCGATGTCAAGCTTCTTCATTTTGATACTTGGCTGGCTATCTTTCCGGCCTTTGTGACCGTTGCTGGCTCCTGATCGACTATTTGGATAGGGGTAAAACTCCGGTGCATGTCTTCCAGGTATCAATAGCACGTGCGAATCATGGTGCCAGAATATCGTCTCGCTTCGTCGCTGCTTATTGTTAAGCTTGTCACCGTTGCAGCATCCACAAAGAGGGACCTTGCATTGAAGCGATGTGTCGAGGCTTCTGACGCAGTGTGCCGGAAGCCATTTTGAGTTGTTGTCATTGCTGAATCTCTTTGATAAACCCGAGTATTGGGTCCGTCCTTTGGGCTGAGACTGGTTAGAAGGAATACCGGATCTATAATATTGCACCTCATAAGACTCGTGGTCTTCGTCAGATCCACTCTCGTCTGTTTCCAGACTGTCTCTGTCTTCTGAGGTGTCATCATCGCCGCCGACGAAGACGTCGGAATATTTGGCCTCCGGTCCAGGCCTAGACCTGGCGTCGTCACCCACAGCTTCATGCCAGAACCTCGTCTCACCGCTTCGATAGAACGCAGCACATTCATATATTTGGAGAAGACTTCCGATCGCATCCTCGCCATACACATCAGCCACTGTTCTTTTCCATTTTGCCACCTTCCTAGGGCTGGACGGGCAGATTGACGGCGGCGTGATGCCGTGGCGGAGGAAGAGCGGGATCACAAATCGAAAATTGTGCAGCCTCTTCTGGAGGCTTGGATCTTGCCATTTGAGTGCCTCAGCAGTTGCTGTCGTAATCGCACAGAATGCCGCTTTCAAGTCAACAAGAGATTTTGTGTAGTTGTATTTCACGAGGAGGTATCCGCTGAGGTTAGAGGATATAGCCATCGTCCAGTCTTCTGGCTCTACTGATAAATCACAACTTTTCCGTTGCAAGATTGAGATGCTCTCCTGTAAATCCTTGGGATTATTAGTGTTTTCATAGCGGTCGTGATACATGGCGGCGAGATGGAGCCGATCCCGAGGCGAATCCGTGAAGGATTTAATTCCGCTTGAGATAGCTGCATCCAAATCCCTGTTCTTTCTCGTTTGCAGATATCTGCCGTATAAGTTCATTGCGAGAATTCGCAACGCCGTTGTACGATCGGGGTCGTCCTCGGCCATTGCGGCGATAATATTCTTGGCCTTCCAAATTTTGACATTCATGTCACCTCGGCAGAGAATGTTGGCGGCAGTGTCAAGGTGAGTGGGTGCATGAACCGGGATAGGGTTATTGATATCAAGCAATTCTTTGGGATAATCTTCTGCGAGCGTGAAAACATATTCGCCTCGCCCGTCAATGTCATCGTGGGTTGGGTTGGGAGCATCCGACGAACTGGCAGTCATCCGTATCAATGGTAACGGGGATGCCTCTGCTGCAGCGTCCGCGTAATTTATCCGGATTTCGACTGCCTGCGTTGTCCCGGCGTTCCCGGGATCTTCCACGGTAGATGCATCTTGGATAGGGGCATGCATAGCGGACTGTATGGCCGGATTGTTCGCCGGCATATTAAATGGTTGAATAAAGTCGCCGCCCCAAGTATATAAGTTAGGTTACCGCTTCACGAGCCACCCCTTCGCGAGCCGGGTATTTTGTATAGGTTTACATATAAACGATTTATTCCTGTAAAAAACCGAGAAAAAATCGGAAAAATCGGAAATTTACTTACGTAATCAATTAGCTTGATTAAATCAACATATGAATTTTTCGAATTTTTCGCTTAATAATATAAGAAATTATTTACGATTTAAGGTTTTTTAAAACTATACTAACAGTTTACCATATAGTTTATTAGTAAATCTGTTAACTGTGCTTATATTAACATGTTTACCTATTTTTTTACGGCAATAAAGTGGGTCTATTACCTAATACTTTATTTTATAAATAGAAAAAAGGCTAGTAGTAAGTAATCTTATTTTTGTTCTTTGATTTCGTATTTATTTAATATATTATTTTAAAAAAACTACGTTTTTGAACAGGTTAAAACTTTCTTAAATCGTACCTATTTTCACAGTAAGAATTCCACCTTTCCGACTGTCCTATTTTTCCATACAAAGAGGTTCTAAAAAAGAACACTAAAAATTAACGTTTTTAAGACTTATTTAATTTAATAAAAATCAGAAAAATAAAAAGAAAAAAGTTTACATAATCTTAACCATCATTCTATCCATAGTATAAAGGATTAGGTAATAGACCCACTTTATTACCGTGAAAAAAATAGGTCAAGAGGCCGATACAGAGTATAGTTAATAGATTTACTAATAAGTTATATAGTAAACTATTAGTGTAGTTTTAAAAAACCTTAAATCGTAAATAATTTCTTATATTATTAAGCGAAAAATTCGAAAAATTCATATGTTGATTTAATCAAGCTAATTGATTACGTAAGTAAATTTCCGATTTTTCCGATTTTTTCTCGGTTTTTTACAGGGATAAATCGTTTATATGTAAACCCATACAAAATACCCGGCTCGCGAAGGGGTGGCTCGCGAAGGGGTAGTCTAGCTTAATACCTAATCTCGAGACCGACTCTAAGAATTGTGACCAAGCAAAGAGGCGAGGATAGGTACCTGAAAGCTTGGACGAAAGTCCTAGACGGAAGCCCAATATTACTTTCCGCCAACTTGCCTTTAGTTCAACTAGAGGTGTCGGTACTCTGGTAGAGAAGGATCCGGAAAGGAACCGAGGAGAGAGACGGTTCGACCATAGCCTAACCTAGAGAATGTGAGCCGCCAAGAGTCGTTTGACCAACTCATAATCGCACTTTAATACAGCCTTGTCCTCGATATGCATAGCTGCCTGAAGGAACGATAAATGCACTTTCTCAAGCCAATTACAAAGGTTATCACTGCTCGTCATCGCCCTGCTTACCTCTTTAGGTTGGATATCAGGCAGGCTGCCAAATATATCGTGTTTATTCGCTATACTCCATGCATCTGCACAGAGTTTCAGCGGTATTAGCTGATTCCCGAGATAACCCAAGTGCAATTCGATTTTTAAACCGCTCACTGCCTGTATATGCCAGGTTTTTCGAAATAAAGCCTGCGGGACACCCCCCGTTTTCCAAGCAGAGACTCTTAACGGGAGCTCAATCCGAGGAGGCTGAGCTTCGCGTTTCAACCTTCTTTGAACACAACCTCCCCCTCGTGATAATCGATTGCTCAAGGAATTTCCCTCGTCTGGAGCCCAATTAGAGCAGTGACACGACAAGCCGGTCGAACCTATACCACAAATAAAATCCTTGACAGACAAGCCCTATACAGCCCAGTCTCTCCAACCAGAGCTCGTCAGAATGGATAGTTCTCAAGACAAAGATGTGGGCTTGAAATGCGAGGTCAAGGCCTTTTATAATCACTCGCCGGACCCCAAGAGCCGCCACCAGAAATGGTCCGAGTTTGAAAACCCGATCGCTGAGGACAAACGCGTTCAGGAGCTTGGTAAAGCTTATGCCGTAATCCACCGCTTTTCGAAAATTGGGAATCAAGAGAGTGACGAATATGGCTGGACAACACATTCTATTGAGGCTCAAAGCATACGCCTTCGCAACCTCCTCGACCAAGTCTTCCTAGACTATCCCAACTGGTATCCGGACGGCAGCCCCTATGCCGTCTCCCCGCCATTTCAGCCTTACGTTCACCGGTGGGAGCAAATTCTGGAAACCCTTAAGCAGCAAGATACGACAACAAAAATGGAGTTTCAACTTCTCCGGCGTGAGTTAGAACCCCGCCTCAAGCAGCACTTGGACGCCTTGAAGAGGATCAGGGAGGTCCGGACTATCAACTTCGACCTGCTATGGCTCATCCTCGCCCCGGGTTCCTTGATGCTCTCCCGCGAACAAGGGAAGAATTGCATCTCGAGACTGCGGACGATTAGGTTGGTGCCTAAGTCCGACGCCTATCCCGCTTACTGGGAGCTCCAGCTGGACCAAATCGACTGGAACGGCTCTTACAGCGGCTTCGAGACCAGAGAAAAAGAGATCCAAGAGTACGGGGACTCGATTCTCATAACCAAGTTAGAGGTATACCCTATAGAATTCAACCCGGATGTAGAGGAGATTCGGAAGCAGGTGCTTGCCCGAGGCGCAAAGTTTGAAGCGCTCCGAGGGTTTCACGTTGCCACTTGTACCGGGAAGAAGTATGTCAAGAAAAATAGTTGGGGTGGAGAGGCGGAGAAGCCGGTACGTCGTGTGCTACCTTGTTCTGAGTTGAAGGGCAGTGTGCTGACTATTAGTGCTCGTCTTAGATTTCTGGACGTGTTATCATTGACGCCTATGCTTACTTTACGTGCCAAGATTCGCCTCGCAAACCAAAACTGATCCGAGCAAAATTTCTGAACAGGCCATCTGGTCCGCCCGACATTCCCTCAGAGGACACTGATGACGAGAGCGACATTTCGGATAACCAGAGCAGTGGTGGCGAAGCGTCGGTTGAGAGGAAGGAGGATCTGAGTCCTCTCAGTGATTCGGAACGCATGCTTGCTGTCCCTCGCGTCAGGGGATTCGATTTGGCCGCCAAGGAATGGTGTAAGAATTCTGTCTCTTTTGCTTTCTATTCTTATTCCTCTATGTTCCCCTCCACTGTCTCTTCTAAATAGAACTTACCAAGTTCAGGCGAGTTTGACGTCGATGATATCGGCGAAGTCGTTTGGGACGAGACTCCCTATGAAAACCTTGTTCTGCCGCCCGGAGAGAAGGAGCTCATCTTGGCATTCACTGATCGTCCGCGTAATGTCAAGTCCAGATTCGACGACTTCGTCCAGCATAAAGGTTGGTTGAGGATAATATCGTCAGTTACGAAGGGCGATGCCGGGTCTCTAACGCTATGTAGGCGAGGGAGTAATCATTTTGCTCTGCGGCCCGCCAGGCGTCGGCAAGACACTTACCGCCGAAGCAGGTGAGAAATAAGTGCGGATCTGCACGAAAGGTTGCATTTGCTGAACGTGTCGCAGTGGCAGATAAATCGAAAGCCCCCCTGTGTCACACGGGGAGGGAACCCTGCGCTAATAATCAGGTCATAAGGGTCAGGAGGACAGAGTTAGGCAGCAAGGCCGTTACCTTAGCGACCTACTAAGAGAAGTCCTAGATAAGCTTCGGAAAGCTTCGGTACTAAGGTATAAAGGTACCTAGGTATAAGGATACCTCCGAGATATATTATAACGAAAAGGGGACGTAGGAACTTAGGAAGAGTAAGGATTATAAGAAACCCCTTATAGAATTATTAGTTAAATTAAACCTATTCTAAGTATATTCCCTTGTTATAGATAATTCTATAGTACTCTTGACCTATAACTCTTATTATAAGCTAATAATAAGTAAAACCTATACCTAAGCCGGCGTCGTACGTAGCCGCTACCGGTACGGCGCTACCTCCTGATTAACCTAGACTATTAACTAAGGTCCCTAAATCATAGGCGTTCCCCTTTCCGCGGTTAGCTACCTCTGGGCTAGCGCCGGTTACTATGACGGAGATGGCCTAGATAGCGGCTACGATTAATAAACTAAAAGTTACGATAGCCGAATTAAAGGTAAAGGAAGCCGAACGATAACGAATAACGCTAGCGTCCTAGCTAGAAGCTACTCCCGAACCGACCGATAAATCCCTCGTAGTATATTAACCCTAGGAATACGAGATAGTTATAATTAATACTCCGGAGATCGCGAACTTAGGAGTAGTTATACGTAATTTTCCGTAATAAATCGTAAATTTATACGAATAAATAGGATAAGTATATTAAAGCCTAGCGATATTAGTTAACTAAGTCGATATAAGATATTGATAAAATACGATCCTAAAGGAGTAATACGAATAATTACGGTAGCTTCATTAAACCGTTATAGCTATATAGGCTACCGGTATAAGAACTACGAAGATATAGATCTAGGAATTCTAGAAGTAAGTCGTAAAATAGAATACTTATTTCGCCTAAAACGTATAGGAAATAATAGCTAAGTTTATACGATAAAATAAAGCGCGGACCGCCGCGGTAAACTAGCTCCGAGACGCCGCCCTTTAAAACTAACGGGTCTTAGTTTAATTACGTAAGGAATATAATAAGTTAATAACGGACGTTAATTCCTAGGCTACGTAAAAGGATAAGTAGATTAGCGAAATCCTTAGTAAGGAATATCTTACTCTAGGGGCTATAAAAGAAAAGATTTAATTAATTAAGGATAACCTTAAGGCTTACGCGGCTAACCTAATTAAGGAATACTAATAACGACGGTTAAATAATAAGCTAACGGATATCGAATCTATTATAACTAAAACTAATTAAAAGGCTCGAATACCTACTCCCGTACCGGCTACGCGTCTTACGACCTCGTCTATAGAAAGATATACTAATAGCGAAGCTAGGATAAGGAAGATTATTTCTAACAGCGTACTTTAAAACGCCGCGGCTAAACGTATTACGATACGCGCGCGGGTCCGTTTCTAAGACGCTACTACGGATATCTTTATATTAGGAGGAGCCAGGTTAGGACTACCGCCCTCGTTAAGGATCCCGCGAAATGCCTTAAGAGACCTAAGGAACTCGGATAACTCGGACGGCTTAGAATACGGGGACCTATAAAGGCTACGACGTTTCCCGGGTATCCCTAAAAAACCTTAAAAGCCCCTTAACCTAGCCGAAGAACGTATAATTCGGGCCTAAATTAAAGTTATAAATAATTAACGAAGTATTACGGTAACGATTAATCCGGTATATCTTATTAAGCCTACGCCTTATAATAATAAGGACCTAGTTAAGTTCCGTCCTTAATAAATTAAAGTTAAATCCTACCTCGAAACCTACGAAGAAAGCTTTACCCGGGACGTTTAGAAAATTAACTAAGTAGGATCGATACTTATCGAGAAGGCCTAGCTCTAGTATTAATAAAGGCTAGCCTAGGTAGAAAGGTTAATAATCGTCGATATTTAAATAGGATATTCCTAAGCCCTTTAGGAACGATTTAAGGATCCCGCCGAACGGTATCGTAATTCTAAAAAAATATAGGAACTTAAGTACTAAGGAAATATCTCCTAGTACCTTACCGAACTTATAAATCTTAATAACGTCGTCTAATAATCGGGAACTACCTTTTAAAACTATATTATCCGTACTTTATTCGATAAAATAACTAAGTTAGTTTATTTACGACTAAGTAGTATTCCCGAAAGCGATAAAGCCTTCTTCGGAGCGATTAAGGAAGCCGGCTAAATCTATAAGAATATAATAATTAACCTAGGGATTTCGGGGAAAGGAGGGTCCGCTTCGTAGAAGGAGTATACGAAAACGGACTAATAACTACGGTAACCCGTAAAAGAGACTCGCTTCCGCTTAGGATAACCGTTAAACGAACGGAAAAATAAGGATAATAAGAAAGCCGCGCTAGTTAAGGACTTACGTTAGGTAGGTAATAAGGAAACTTTAACTAGGATTAACTAAACCGTTATCGACTAGCGAAAGAAGGATAAAAAAGCTTACTAGCGGTATGGAAGGAATAATTACTAAACCTTAGCCTATTTTATAAAGAAGGACTTAGAAGGTCGGGACTTACCTACGTTACCTAAGAAGGTCTTATCGGGGAAAAGAAGAAAGGAGGAACCCGAACCGTTACTTAATAAAAGAGCTAGAATCGATACTACCATACGATAGGAGGAAACCCTCCTTCGTATTATGGAATTATCCGATTCCGATAAGGAATAGGATTTTTAAATGTTCCCTTATAAGCGTTAACGGAAGAAAGAAACGATAAAGATAACGTAAAGATTACGGCTATTAAAAGACTTAGAACGCCGGAAGTAGCGGAAGTAGTACTAACGGCGAAAAAACCACGAGTCCTTTAGCGTAACCTAAGCGAATCAAGATTAAGTAAACGGCCTATCTATACGATATAAATACGATATTAAGGAAAGGAATACCTCTTGCGAATCCTTTTAAATACCGGTAGCGAGGTACTCCTAATTAACGCTACTAAGGTTAAATAATTACGCCTCCTTATTAACTAACGCCCGAGGCTAAGGATCTTAGTAGGATTCGATAGCTTTAAGATTTCGTTAGGAGGACTTTAATATACGAACGAAATAAAGCTCTGTAGCTACGAATATATCTACCGTATCGCTTAGGAAGTTAGTAAATTAAATAAAGAGGTTAACGCTATCCTACCGTAATAATAAATAAAGGAATACCTCCCGTAAGGGCTATTTATAAAAGGGCGGTTATATTTTAACTCGCTTTAATGCCGGAACTACCGCCTACGGCTAACCCGCGTAGGAACCGCACGAGAAAAAGAGGATCTACTATAGGTATCCGAATAATTTCGCGACTTCGTTCTTATTATAACTAGAAAAGCGGGATAACGGTTCCCCGACCGGTAACCATGGGACCATACTATCGAACTTCGTTTAGGAATTACTCCCTTATAGGGACCCTTATACGCCATAAGCGGGCGATAGTTAGAAGTATTAAAACCTTAGTTAAACGAAATAATAACTATAGGAAGAATCCGGAAATCGAAGGTATTATACGGGACGTTTATAATATTTATAAATAAAAAGGACCTTAATACGTTAAGATTAATAGCCGATTATCGGGGGTTAAATAAAATTATAATATTCGTCCGATACCTTATTCTATTAATTAACGAATTATAAAACCTATTTTAAATAACGCGATAATTTATTAAAATCGATTTAAAGTCGGGCTTTTATATAGTACGAATTAAGGAAGGCGACGAATAAAAAACCGCCTTCCGTACGCGCTATAGGTTATATAAGTATATTATTATACCTATAGGACTAATTAACGCCTCCGTTACCTTCTAGATTATAATAAACTATATCTTCCGCGACCTTTTAAACGTAAGAGTTATCGCTTACCTAGATAATATCCTTATTTATACCGATACGTTAAAGGAATATAATAAATTAATTAAAGAAGTCCTAAAACGGCTTACGGAAAATTATTTAGTAATAGCCCTAAAGAAGTACGTATAACGAACGTAAGAAGTTAAGTTCTTAAGATATAATATAAGCCCTAAAGATATTATTATATCTAAGGATAAAATAAAAGCTATCCTTAATTAGCGTATCCTAATTACGCTTAAGGACTTATAAAGCTTTATCGGATTTACAAACTTTTACCGTAAATTTATACGTAACTTCTCGGGTATAGCTAGATTAATTATTAGCGTTAATAAAGGGGACCGTAAATTATAGAAATAAGAGATCGAAATAAAAAGGGCCTTTTAGGAATTAAAAGAAACCTTTATAAAGGCCCCGGTACTTATATACTTCGATCCTAATCGAATTCTAATAATTAAAGCCGACGCTTCGGATTTTATTATCTCGGTTATCCTCTTATAAAAAAACGATAAAGAAAAACTAAGACTAATAGCCTTTTTCTTAAGACGACTTACCCTAGCGGAAATAGATTATAAAATATATAATAAGGAATTATTAATAATCGTCGACGTATTCGAGAAGTAGCGATATTATTTCGAAGGTATTTAGCATTAAATAAAAGTATACTTAAACTATTAAAATCCAACGTACTTTATTATAGCGAAGGTACTAAACCGACGATAAGCCCGCTAGGCCTAATAGCTTTCTTCGTATTATTTTATAATATACTACCGCCTAGGAAAGTAAAATAAAAAGGCCGATATTTTATTTAGATTACTATAATATCGCTTTAAAAAAGGAGGAGCTAAGGACTAGCCGATAGCGATAGTTTTATAAGAAAAGCATTTTTTAAAAAATCTAAGCTCGTTAACGGTAATACTTTCTAGCGTACGATTAAATAATATCCCGATATCCGCCTAGACCTAAAAGTTCGTTAAATAAGTTAAGAATGCGGCTAAACGGGACTCGGAATACCAGGCCTAGTTAACGAAATAACCCGGTAAAGAAATAAAGCTTTAGGAGGGCCTCCTTTACCGACGAAATCGCTTATAAGTATTAAAGGACTTATAATAAGAAGTAATTAAATCGGAATACGATATTAAAGTAGCGGGATATATAGGTATAAATAAAACTATAGAGCTCGTTATACGTAACTTTTAGTAGCTTAATCTAAAAATAACGGTTAAGGAATTTATAAGGAAATATCGTAAGTATTAATAGAATAAGGTATTACGATATATCCCGTTCGGATTACTATAGCTTATGGAACTATACTACCGGCTATAGTAAATAATAGCTATAGACTTTATTATAGACTTACTAATATTTAATAACTATAACTTTATATAGGTTATAGTAAACCCTTTTATTAAAATAACGTACTTTATCCTATTAAAAAAGGACGGAAAAAAGGCCGAAGACTTAATATCTATCTTTATTCGTAATTACTAACGGTTATATAGGATCCCCTTAGATATTATCTCCGACCGGGACTTACGGTTTACCTCCTATATATAAAAGGATATCCTAAAGCTCCTAGAAGTTAAGCCTAGAATAAGTACTACCTTCTACCCTTAAACGGATAAATAAACGAAAAGACTTAATTAAATCTTAAAAGTATACCTACGCGTCTTCGTAAATTACGAAATAAACGACTAGGAAAGCTTATTTCTTACTACCGAATTTACTTATAATAATATTACTTCGATAGCTACCGGTATATTACCCTTCTACGCTAATTACGGGTAATACCTAGTAGCATATAATCCCTTACTAGGTACCCCTAAGAATCTAGGAAGTAACCTCTATACTTACTAAATAATTAGGATATATAACGAAACTAAATAATATTTAAAGAAGGTACGGTAGCGGATAAAAGAATAGGTAAATAAATATAGAAAAAAGAAACCCCCCTTAAAAGTAGGATAGCTTATTATATTAAATATCCGTAATATTAAAACCAAGCGCCCCGTAAAAAAGATAAATAAGAAGATATTCGGTTCCTTTAAGATTTAGAAGGTCGTTTCGCTTATAGCCGTAACCTTAACGCTCCCGAAAGGCTAGCGCATTTATAATATCTTTTACGTATCCCTTATCGAACCCTACCGCGCTAGTAATTAAGAACTACCTAATCCTAACTAAGTCCTACGGAAGGTAGCCCCGATTAAGGCAGAAGATTACGAGGTAAATAAGGTATTAAATTCCGCTAGGATCGGAGAAACCGTTAAGTACTTAGTAAAATAAAAAGGCTAGCCGGCTAAGCGTTACTAGACTTAGGAACCATAGGAATACTTTACTACCGAAGAGGCAAAAGAAGCTATTAAGTTATTCCATTAATAAAACCTTAATAAACCTATTAACTAACGGGCATAGGTACCTAATTAACGCTTAGAAACGAGTTCTTCCGGTAAGAAGAAATGGTATTATACGGGAAGGAAACCCTACGCTAATAATTAGGTTATAAGGGTTAGGAGGATAGAGTTAGGTAGTAAGGCCGTTACCTCGGCGACCTACTAAGAGAAGTCCTAGATAAGCTTTAGAAAGCTTCGGTACTAAGGTATAAAGGTACCTAGGTACAAGGATACCTCCGAGATATATTATAACGAAAGGGGAACGTAGGAACTTAGGAAGAGCAAGGACTATAAGAGACCCCCTATAGAATTATTAGTTAAATTAAACCTATTCCAAGCACATCCCCTTGTCACACCCTGTATGTCTTGAGTGCTGCTGATCTAGGTACGAGCCCGGATGAGATGGACGTCAGTCTCATGAGAGCGCTCGAGTGTTGCCGTTTGTGGAATGCGATCCTGCTCCTTGATGAAGCCGATGTCTTCCTCGAGAGCCGAGATATTAACAGTCTGGCTCGAAATGAGCTTGTCTCGAGTCAGTCTTACTACCATAGATTTATCTGCCCTCGCGGACTGCTAATCTGTCTCTCCATCATAGTCTTCTTGCGACGGCTAGAATACTACCGAGGGCTCATGTTTTTAACAACAAACCGGCTCAATGTCATTGACCCAGCATTCAAGTCCAGGATTGATCTAATACTCCCGTATTATAATCTTGATAAGAGTTCCCGCCGGGCCGTGTGGGTTAACTTTATCAATAAACAGGGACCGGGCGCCGCAGACATCAGCGACAGAGACTTTGATGAGCTTGCAGAAGTCGAAGCAAACGGACGAGACATCAAAAACATAGTCAAGACAGCTCTGGTGTTCTCGACCCGCATGACGGTGCCCCTCAGGCTGGAACATCTTCGGACTGTGCTGAACATCCGAGAGCGCGTAGTCTCATTCGGGCTTAATGATGATCGGGCAAAGCGGTCGTAGTCCAGGGGACACGCATGGCGATAAAGACGAGGACACGAAGGGAGCTTTGGAAGCGATTTGCCCTCTATCTAATAGTCTGTGAAACTTACGATTGTCTGTTTTCAGAGGCCTTCACTGAGATATTAGTTAGTCGCATTAAAGCTGACTTAAGACCTTGCAACGTCAGCATTCTACTGAATCAAACTCGATGAATTTGAGCCTGCCTTGCATAATACCGCTGTTGCGTGAGTTGTATTTGGCGCTATGACTTTGTCATTTCTACCAGGTGAGTGTGCCTACCTTGGGGACTAGGGTTTCCTTCTTTCTTCCCACGTTTCCTAACGTCCATGGGGTTCCTTGAATACTCAAACACGACTAGCAAATATCTTGTAACGTTTCCCTCGAAAGTGAGTATCCACTTACCAAAACATACCACTCGGCCTCTAGACATTCCGTCAGGCCGCGTGGTTCGGTGGCCGAATATGCGTTTGGCAGTGTATTAATCGCTACGGTGGGCGAGAGGTGTAAGCGGTTTCGGGTCCCACCCCGGCCCCCTGACCTGACCCAGCTTGTTACCCACTATAAGTGGCCAGCGTCGTGAGCCTGCCGGTCCGCACCCTGATGTGACGATGTGCATGCATGGAGGTTGGGAACGATTCCTTGGCAAAAGTCAAGTTTACTTATAGGCTACTGCTGGGAGAGTTTGGGACAGTATTCCCATGTCCAACACGCCGAATGCTGTAGCTTTCCAGTTACGAAACCAGGGTCAGGCTATTCATGCTAAACCAGGCACTTATCAAAGGAGTATAGAGTTAGTAGCGTCCGGCCCGTTGTCAGATTAGGGGAAACTTGGCAACTATCGCAAGATCCGTGTGACCCGCCGTAACGGCTGAATTAGAGTCCGCATTAGTCTAGCTTGCCGGAAACCAGTGGACCTATTATCGACTGGAACTCCGCGGGCCCCGGAGTCCGGCTTCCATCGTCCAATAATCTATACAGAGGCGTATAATGCAACCCTATGACAAATGCTATACGTGGCTCAGACTACAAATACGAGACACGAAGCGGTCTGTTCCGGACCCTCGGACTGCGCTCCGTACCGAAAATTCTCTCTCGAACCCCTTTTCCTGTGGATGTTCGGACGTGTGTATACGCAGGCTGGGGGAGCCCGGCAAGCAGATGCCGGGTCAACAGCAGGCAGGGGTGCCACCTCGGCGTGATCACAGGCGGCAGGGTGTCGAGAGGGCGTCGAGTATAAAGCCGGGACGCCATTCTATAGATCTTGCCACTCGCAACTTGACTTCACATTCTAACACACGCAAGCCACCAACATGTCGACCATAACTATCGCCCCTACCACTACCCTCTCCACCGCCCCCGAGACGACTGAGCTCGTTCCGGGGTTCGAGGTTCGCCCGCTTGGTCCCGAGCATCTGGACGTTGTAAAGGCGTTGTCAAACCACTCTATGATGTTCGAATCGCCGATCTGGTCCAAAATCATCCCCCTGAGCGAGCAGACGAAGCATGTATACAGGCTTTTCGAAATCATGGGCCCGTGGGCCATGCACGGACTCAAAAGCGGCCACTCATACGGATTGTTCGATACCAACTACGTGTATAAGCGTCCGGAGTCAGCAGCAGCACCAGGAGGCGGAAAGCTGTACTGGGACTTTGACAACCTGAGCGCAACTAAGGAGGAGCTACTCCAGCAGCTGGACTCCCCCCTCGTATCGGTCGCGCTCGCGTACGACGGCTTCGACAAATTCGACCACGCCCGGCTGTGCCCGACGGAGAACTGGTTCCCGGGCGTTACGGGCATCATGAAGCTGCTCGTGGAGCGCGACACGCGCGACCCGGCGTCCTGGGAGCCGACGGCGCACGGGCAGGTCATGTTCCGCAACTCGACACAGACGCGCTCCGACTACCAGGGCCACGGGCTGATGAAGGCGCTGTCGCACTTCCTGATGCGGCAGGCAAAGAAGGAGGGGTTCCGCGCCATCAAGATCGAGTGCTTCAACGAGATCCTGCCCCGGGTCTGGCTGAACCCGCCAGCCCCGTTCAGAGCCGTGCTCGTGTCTCAGGCCCACACCAGCGAGGTGGAAGAGGTGGGCGAGGACGGCGAGACGGTCTTCCCCATCCGCGGGGCGCCGCAGAAAGTGTCGAGGATCCACGTCGACTTGTTGTAGCCGGGGCGATCTCGGATCTCGGGAGGCGTAGACTTGGGAACTGGAGGCGTCCTAGATATCTGCTGATGGCCTAGATTACACCGACATCGTAAATTGTTATTTCCTCAAGCAACGAATAGTAGAATAGATGGCATCATGTCCCGATTCGTCGATTACACGTCTGGTCCTCAAGCTGGCGGTAGGGTGTTCAAGATAGGGGGAAGTGGAAGGTCTGTGAGGCGGACGTGATGACGGGGCGTCAATCTCGATAGGTTACATCCTCGACTCGGGGCTGCATAGTCAGCGCGTTAGCGGCAGGTTCCCCGCAGTTACTATACAGTCATGTGCTTATGCAATGTATTTATGCAGCCTCCCTGCGGAGCATATTTATGCAATCTACTTATGTAAGCCATGCGCAACAGACAGACTTTTGTGGCGATGCCAGGTGAAACATTCCACACACCTGTGACCAGCCGCCGGACGGACATTACCTGGATTAACGAACCGGTTCCCAGCTGGGATGCCTGGTCAACCGATATCACCGGGGTAAATCCGACACACCACCGGCCGGCTCTAAACTTCCTGTTTAGGCTACCGACGCCTCCTCTCGATGTCTTACTCCGGCCTCCTTGCTTGGCTACCTCCCTCCTAACTTGCTCGCTCCTAGTACCTACGTTAAAGCTACCATCCTCGGCCCGTTCCAGGTGCCCATTTCATCGCGATAAAGTCCTGCGCGGGGACCATTCGAAGCCACAAGCGTCAGCCAAGCGAGACCGGTCTGTCCGCCGTGCCCGTCCCTTTGTTCGCTTCTGCTGCGACCTCGGAGGCATTATTTTTCACCTCTCCATCAAGCGGTGCCCGCAAAGCTCATTTAAATCCCCTGGCGGATTCTAAGTTGAATACGGCCTAGCGGTCTGCTGCAGAGGAGCGCTACAGGGCCAGAGCAGGGCTTGCTTGTGGGACGGGATGTTTACTCTTACGTAGACGAAATTTACGGAAGTGGGTAGAGTGACATCTAATCAATCAGATAAACGCGCGAAGACTGCACACTGTCGAGGACTCGGTTGAGGTGTGCCCAGGTAAAGAAGAGTATGCGGTAAGTTACCTCTGTACACTCGTGGGATTTTCTCCCTCTACTCTAAAACAGGGAGCTGCCTTGCTCTCATCCATGGCTTCGTCTAAGTTCACGTACACAAAAAAGGTTTTCTCATGCCCTTGCTTTTCCCTCTGGCTGTTAATAATTAGCTCTCACGTCAGCGTATGTTCATAGTCGAGTAACAGATCGGACACAGCTCTCGAGTGCGGCGCGATGCCTGTTTAATATCCCCTACATCACCCTCTGTCCACCACGCATCCTGCATGATCATTGACTGACGTACGCAATTCATCATGGATGTCGAGAACAACCATCACGATACCAGCTCCGGTGCTGCTGCCAAAGAGGATGCCCATGTATCTTCCGACGACCAGAGCTTCACCTCTGGATCCGACATCCACGCCCAGGGCGTGGAGCGCATCTCCGCCATCTCTGCAGCCTTCACTCCGTCGCTAAAGGTCTTTCTCTTTCTCGGGATCTTCCTGGTCGCGTACGCCTACGGCCTCGACGCTACTCTGCGGGGTACCTATCAGACCTTCGCAACCAACAGCTATAGCCATCATTCCCTGCTGGGGACTATGAACACTGTCCGCGCCATCCTCGCTGCCGCCATACAGCCCGCCTACGCCCGCGTCGCCGACAAGTTCGGCCGCGTCGAGCTCCTGTCCTTCGCCGTCGTCTTCTATACCGTCGGCACCATAACCTGCTCCGCATCCAACGATGTCAACGCCTTCACCGCCGGCCAGCTGCTCTGGCAGATTGGATACAGCGGCCTCATGCTCCTGATCGAGGTCTTGATCGCCGACGTCACGTCCCTGGAGAACCGTGTGCTCTTGTCCTTCGTCCCGGCTCTTCCCTTCCTCATCAATACCTGGGTCTCCGGCGACATCGCCCAGGCCGTCATGGGTAGTGCTGGCTGGCGCTGGGGCATCGCCATGTGGTGTATAATCCTACCCGTGTGCGCCGTCGCGCTCTTCGCCCCTGTCATGTTGGCTAAGCACAGGGCCGCCAAGCAGGGCAAGCTCCCGCCGCGCCGGCTGACCAAAGACGCCCGCAGCCTCGGCGCCAAGGTCTACGAGATCGCCGAGGAGATCGACCTGGTCGGCATCGTGCTGCTCGGCGCTATGCTGACGCTGATCCTGCTTCCCCTGACCCTCGCCGGTGGCATCACTCAGAGCTGGAGCTCAGCCCACATCATTGCCATGCTGGTGATCGGCGTCGTTGTCTGCGTCCCTGCCTTCGCCATATGGGAGATCAAGTTCGCCAAGTACCCCTGCGTCCCCTTCAGCGTCCTGACCGACCGGACCATCCTCGCCGGTCTCACCATCGCCATCGGCCTCAACATGTCCTGGTACCTGCAGGGTGACTTTCTGTTCACGGTGCTCAGCGTCAGCTTCAACCAGACCATTAGGTCGGCGACGCGTATCGCCTCCCTGTACTCGTTCTGTTCGGTGCTGGCGGGCGTGGTCACGGGCTTTGCCGTCCGGGTCGTGAAGCGCGTCAAGCCGTTCGCCGTAGCCGGCACCCTCGTCTTCATCCTGGCCATGGGCCTGCTAATAAAATACCGGGATGGCGAGGCCGGCGTGGCCGGCATGATCGGCAGCCAAGTCGTGCTTGGCATCGGCGGCGGCCTGTTCTCATACCCGGTGCAGGCGCTAGTCCAGGCGGCGACGAGTCACGAGAACATGGCCACGGTGACCGCCATGTACCTCTCCTTCTACCAGATCGGCTCCGCTCTGGGCAACGCCATCAGCACCGCAATCTGGACCCAGGTCCTGCCCAGGACCCTCCAGCAGGAGCTGGGCAGCGCTGACATGGCCTCCGACGCCTTTTCTACCCCGCTCACCTTCATAGAGGACTACGCCGTGGGCACGCCCGAGCGTACCGCGATAATCGCCGCTTACAGCCAGGTCCAGCGATATCTCGCCATCACCGGCCTCTGCTTGTCAGTTATCACCTTCGCCGCCTCTCTACTCCTGCGGAACTTCAAGGTAGACGGACGGCAGAGTCTCACCGAGGAGGAGAGGAAGGGGAGAGTGACTGCGGCGCACTAGTTCAGCTTGGCTACTACCAGAGCAGTTAACGGCGTGTGGCGGGACATGCCGCGATTATCGTTAATAGTCCTAACATAATGGAACGTTCTAGCCTTCTCGTTGTTAGAGGCTGAGCTGAAATATGTATACGACCTCGTATGTTGCAGTGAACAGAGCCCCCAGCCGATAATATATATAGATGTATAACTACCAGGACCCCTAAAATCAACAATCTCTCTATCACCAATGCAAGCTCCAATAACCAGCTAGATTGGGGGAAAGGAGCCACAGAAAGCAGGCAAGGGGATTCCCAGAGGCTCACTTGGCATGACCCGTCATTTGGTGAGTTCATTCTCATATGGCAACAACACACAATTTCTAGCTTCAGTAAATTCTATTACCCATTTCGAGCTTCTTATGTATTATCTCCACGTTATCACTCACTGTGAGTACCAGCTCCTCCCACACTCAGTGTTTCCTAGCTAACTTCGACCAACTTCGGATCCGCGCCCCAAAGAAGTACAATACATATATCAGCGCCACGAGGCCAAACGAGACGAAACCCAGCGTTGCCATCGCCCACTTGGCCTCCAAATTGTCAAACATGAGGATTCCTAGGGGGATAATGCGATGTTAGGACGAGCCCGATTCGGTGATTCTTTTCCCACGGCAGCAACAACTTACCAAGATGGCAGCAAGCGGCCGCGATCAGAAAGGAGGGGATCAAGAAAGCAGCGATCGCCGACGCGGCAACGTTCGTGTAGGAATCGGCGATGTAATTCAGCATCGCCAGCCACAGCAGCGGGTCGCAGAAGCCCAGCAGGCCCCCGGCGACCACGGGCGACCAGAACGACACGCTCCCGTCGCAAGTGAAGGCGAACCACAGCAGGGAGACCGGGAAGCCCCAGACGAACAACAGCGAAGTCAAGAATCTCGCCTCGGGGCGTCCGACGCCGCCGTTCCTCCCGCGGTCGCGCTTATAGAACCACGTCTGGACGGGCACGAAGGCGAACATGATGGTGACCCCGACCACGACATTGAGGAACGTCAGGTCGGCGCTGAGGGGTCTGACCTTCGTCAACACAAGCAGTTTCAGGATGTAAGCGGGGGGCGGCACTCACGACAGCCCGTTGTTGACTACGAACACGTCGAAGACGCCGTCGAGGTACAGGAACAGCAGGCCGTAGGCGAAGCCGTTGTAGATGCCGAGGAAGGCGACGACGGGCTCCGTCAGCATGATGCGGAAGGCCATCGAGGTTACGAACCGCGCTTCACGGAGGAGATCCACGCGCGGCTCCAGGACGGCAGCGTCGGAGCCGTCGGCAGACCCGTGCTTCTTGGCCGCCTCGAGGATGACGGCCCGCGGCAGCGTCTCGGGAACGAAGCATAGGACCACGGCGAATGCGCCGCCGATTATGACGCTGCATTAAGTCAGACCGGTGTCACTCCCAAACCCCGTCGCGCGCGCGCCATGAAGAGTGTACGACGCCAGCGTGGAGGGGAGAGAGGGGGCGGGGAGCATACTTGATCCAGAACACCCACGGCAGCCCCATGTTCTCGTTCTCGGCGATCAGCTGGCCGACGGGGGAGCCTATGCCGGGGCCGTAGTTCGCGGACACGACGAACAGGGCCATGGGCTGGGCGGCGCCGTCGGCGTCGCCGAAGAGGTCGGCGATGGTGCCGGCGACGTTGGTGACGGCGGTGCTGCCGGCGGCGCCGGCGAGGAGCTGGAACACGACCAACATCGCGAGGCTGCGCGCCAGCGCGGCGCCGACGTTCAGCAGCGCGTACGCCGCGATCGACCCGACGTAGACCCACTTCCGCCCGCCGACGTCTCTGCGCCACGGTCACTCAGCTGCACGCCTCGGAGCGCGCGAGGAGAAAGGTAGGTAGGTAAGGGGGCGGACAGGGGGAGGGGCTCGGCGTACGACAGCGGCCCGAGGAAGGCCGGCCCGACGGCCGTCCCGACCACGAACATGCTCTGGCCCAGCGCGACGACCTGCGTCGAGCTATCGTATCTCGCCCTCGCGAGCGGCTCCGCGCTGACGAAGGTCGTGGTCGACAGCGCGACGAATGTCTGCAGCAGCGAGTACACGACAGTTATGCTCCATTTCTTCGCTGGGTGCCAGTGGATCGGATGCGCCGGGCTGCTCGGGTCGACATCCGGCAGGGCGGAGAGGGCCACGTCTATGCTCGCGGTCGCGGCGCCCGCGCTTGGCGGCGCGAGCTTCTCCTCGTCCATATTGCGCGGTATTGCCGTAGTTTAAGGAACGTAAGATAATAGAAGTAGAGTCTAAATGGCTAAAAAACTCTCTAAGCTTTTAAGAGCTCGGCTCTATACACGTATATATGACTCCATTCCTATCTAATCTGCCCCCCACCGTCTCTTGTAATTACCCTCAGACCCTCAATGACAGGGGTATTGACTCAGCAGCTACTCGAATCCGGGCAGTCGTGAATAATACCACCTCGTCGAGATAGCCGAGCTCCGCAGGCGGCCAATGAACAACGCACTCTCTGGTTCACCAGATCGGGCCTACCCAAGATATCCGCAGATGCTTATCATTCCAGGGAGTCGATGGGCTCGCTGTCTGGCTGCTTACTGCAGGGATGGGTGGTGACGCTGCAGCTCGAGACGGGGTATAGCATGCATAGCTGCTAACGCGACTCAAGCATATTCCCCGTTTCTCTTCTCCCTTTCTCCGTATCTTCACCTCATCTAGGAAGCGGAACGCAATAGCCTACATCGGATCTAACCGCTCGGTACCTAGATCCGAGCCAGCAGAATGTGGACGTTGCGTCTCTCCGGTCGTCGGGTCGAACGGCTCATCTGAGACGGCGACCACCCCCCCCCCCCCTGCTGACGCTGTGCATACGGCGGTGAGTGCGCAGGAGACCAATCATCACAGCCGATCCCCGTCGTGGAGGCGAGGTCAGCATCTGGGCGCCCGGAACCTGCAAGACTGCCACAAGAGAAACAAGAAAGTGATAAGTGTGTCCACGCCTGGGCTAGGCTCTATGATGTTCTGGCCTCGGCCCTTGCATACAAGCTACCCTGGATAGTATCACTGGCCTTTAATGGCTGTATAATCGTCATCTTCTATCCTGTCTCGCCACCTCACCCCTCGAAGCTCGGGCGGACATCCCCATCGACGCGCAAGCTGTCGCCCCCTTCGCGCCACGGGCAAATTGCATACTATTAAGTGTCCGGACCCTCTCCGCTCGCGATTATCTCAGCAGGATGAGCATTTGGCTTGATCGAGTCGTCGGTGTCACGTAGTTGACCGTCTATGCCAATGTTCGTCACGTCTGCTATCATTCTTCGCCCAGGCTTTTAGGCACGTCACCCGAATAGCACTCATACCCTGTGCCTATCGAATTCTACCCCCCGGGAATTGGCACACACTTGGTATCTTTTAGGCCTACATCGATTGCCATCGTGCTTCCTTTTTGTCATCGACGCGGTTACGCTAGCTTCCCAAGTCTTGTAAGTTTCGTGGGGGGGTTACATAGACCTACATCCACCCCCACGAGAGAACCTGTGTGTAATAGTCGACTCTGCAGGATGTGGAGGCTGGATTAAGGAAAGCAGATCATAATAGTGTGTGCTTGATACACCCGTATTCAGAGCGGATTGGAATAGTAGATGCAAGTTAATAACTAGCAAGCGTCTGCCCCTGACTCCCAAACAATTCAGGGGGGGGAGAATCGGCTTGCTATAGGTACGCGTAGAACCTCGCCGTCTCTGCCAGGCCATGCGCTATTAAAAAGCAGCAGCATGGTGACTAAGTGGCGCTCTCGTAAGACGCGGGTCTGAGAGGGTGGGTGAGACGACGACCCGGCTGTCTTATAGACGATATCTGCATCGAACAGCTATTTTACACTGCCGCACTTCGTCGCCGCAACGCCTAGCTGATACGAAAGTACGGTGTGGAGAGGTAGCACTATATTGCCTGCTTGGGTATTGCCTATCTAGATACATCTCCATGCTGGAGACGTAAGCGCGTCCAGGTCGCGTGCGTTTCAAAACTTGGGGTAATAAGAGAACATAAGCAGTTTATGCAGCTGGTTATAAAGCTATCTGTTGTTTGTTTTCCCCCTTTGCCATAACTACCCACTAGACAGGGCCTCGTGCCATTCGGATCTGATCGTGCGTCCTTCCTCTCCCCACCCATCCACCCACCACCTTGTCGATTAGCGCAAGCCGTCGAAGTCCTACATTATCACCGCCCCCCTCTAACCGAATACGCCAGGATAAGCCACCCGTATTTGCATAGGGGGGATATCACGGAAGCAAGTGCGTGTGGTAGTCAAAATAAGCTCTGCCGAGCTCCGCGTGCCGAGCTCCGTCGACGTTCCCGGGCATTTATGGATACCCGGCGGCTAGCATGATGCCGCCGCCGCCGCCGAGCCACGAGGCGCGCTTGGCGAACGGCGTTAGCTTAATTGGTAATAACGCATGTTGATAATAACGTATGCTAAGAAAGCACCCAGAGTGCCGAGTCCTGACCCAGATTCCTCGCATTGATTGGTTAAGGCTGCTCGAGGGGGAGAGAGGGGAAAAGAGAGGGGAGGGGAGAAGGGGATGAAGGGAGGCGACGCCGTCAGTGGCGGCGGGCCAACTCCAACTTTGGCGATGCGACCCGCGCCGCGTAGTGAGACGGCGGCGTCGTGGGTGGAAATTGCACGAGCATAGACGGCTTTAAAATGACCGTATTCTTCCAATATTCAAGGTGAAAGGATTTCAACGTGCCCGCCACAGTAATTAACATGCTGCCTGCTTTAAACATATTTGCCATTTTAATCCGAGATCGTATAAATTTCCACGCTAGCTAGGGTGCGCCTATTCCCAATGTTGTCCAGCAAAATCAAGAGAAGCAAACATATCAATTCGATAACTCGTCTCAGTCATTAAAGGCCGGTCGCAATCCGCAGTCTCGGCAAAGCTATGATTTCAGAATAACTTTCTCCTCCAAACGCCTGGCTTGATAGATGCATGGTCTCGGGGCCGCGTCCGAGGGGCCCCGGCAATAGATGCGGGAATTCCTTTACTTAATGGCCTCCCGAGTTCGATAAGGCGTCGTGGGGGTTCGGGAAGTAATAGGAGGCGACGGCGATCGAGACGTAGACGATGACGCACAAGAAGCCCTCCAAATAGTCGCTCTTGCCGTCCCTCAAGAAGTTGCCGACGGTGATGATGGATAGGATCAGCAGTGCGATGTCGAAGAGTTCGAAGTTCAGGTCCATCGGGAGGTGCAAGCCCCATCCGACGATGACCACCAGCGGGGCGTTAAGCATGGCGGTTTGGATGGTGGAGCCGATACAGTGGGACAGGGCGAAGTTGATCTGATTGTCCCAGGCCTCGTCGATAGCCGTCAGGTGTTCGGCCGCCTTCTCGACCAGAGGTACCAAGATCAAGCCCATGAACGGGTCGGATACGTGATTCTCTTCCACTATGTACGGGATCTCGCTAACTAGCGCGATGGCGATGATCGTCACGAGAGCCACCGAAACAGCCAAGGCGATGACACACTCGGTAAACGTTAACTTGTCCCGGTCTCGTTCCTCGTGGCGATCGGCATCTCGTTCCTCGTCGTGTTCGAAGATGGCGTCGAAGATTCCGTGGTGCGTGTGCATCTGGAAGAAGACGAAGAGGGCGTACGCGAGGATCAGGAGGATGGCGATGATGCGAGAGATGTCGAGCACCCTAGAGTCGATCTCCTCGGTGGTGAGATTGAAGCCCGTGCTAAGGATAGAGCGCTGGAAGATGGTAGGGATGGCGAGGCCGAGCCCACTAGCAGATGTCAGCACTACAAGGGTTCCGCCGACGCATCGGGAGGGAAGCGTACGCGATAAGCAGAAGATTAGAGCCGACTTCGCTGACAGCGGCGTGGAACGTGGCCTCGATGCGTCGCAGGCCAGCGGTGAAGAAACACAGTCCCAAGCACAGCAGCATGGTGGCCAAAATCGAACCGAGGATGGCGGCCTGGATGACGTAGTACTGGTGCTGATCCAGGAGGACCATGAACATGATAATCTCGACGGTCGAGGCGATGGTGGTCTCGGCCAAAACGCCTAGCGTATGGGGCATCTTCTTCGCCAGCGCCTGGCCGGCGAAGCCGATGAGATTGGCACACGGGACCATGGCGATGTAGGATAAACTGAACTTGAGTACGTGGTTCCCCTCAAGGGCGTAGTGGACGGCGATGGCGGCAGGCACGAAAGGCCAGAGGACGTTCACGGCTCGCGACAGCCAGCTAGTAGATCGCCAGATGATGAGCAAAAATTGGATAGGATGGACACCCCTTCGCCCGCTCTCGCCGGCAGTCTTGATACGGAAAATACCGTTCGCCGCATTCCCCTCGGCGCTTCCAGTGGGGGGCTGGGGTTTAGGCGAGAAAACGGCTCCATCGTGTATCGCCATGTCGGCTAGTTGGACTCTGCCTATTCACCGGATGCCAGATCAGAGACGACAGGTAGGATGGAAATCAAATGGACATGACTCGAGCGTATGCGAGGAAATGCCAGAACGGAAGAAGAAGAAAGAAGGAGGGAAAGGCACAGGACGGCGAAGAGAGAAAGAGAGGGAGGGGAGAGTAAGAGGCAAACGGAAAAGTAGTGGTGCGCTGTTTGCCCCGGGTGCGTCAGGCCCAAGTCGACAGAAGCATCTTATTAGTGGGCGGGAAGAGACGAGATTAGGAGGGTTGAGTAAGACGCGAGAAGGAGAGGTGAACGGCGAATTAATTAATTGGAAAAAAAAAAAACGAATAGGGAGAGGGAGAGAGGGACGAATCTGGACCCAGTACAGTACAGTGCATACTATACAGTCGAGCGAGCGAGAATCGCAGACGGGACTGGATGGGATCTTCGCATGGCGTCCGCCGAGCCAGGGTTCTGCTGCCGTCTGCGTTGTCGCTTGCCAAGATGAGTTTAGTTACCTATCGAGAGGCATCCCGAACGGACGGCATAAGATGTTTCGGCGCGACGATCCAATTCTTGCGTGCATGTTTTTTTGTAGGTAAGTATGTTTGCATATGAGCATATATGTAGGCGTTCCATGCACGTATAGGGCATATCGGAGAACCGGGGCTTGTATATACCGACCCCCAGAGGCAGGCAGGTGGGTGTGTAATACGCCGCCAACCGTACATAACCTCGTTAGCACCTTATAGTCCCTACATGCACACAGCCAGACATACAGATACATACGATATATTACCTCCGGAGCGAGGGATCAGAGGAGATAATAATGCATCGCGTTTCACGATACCCCAATAGAGAGAACCCGGTTCCCATCCCGGCCCAGCATCGCAGTATGAGCTTCCCCACTTGGGACCCCCTTTTTGCCATCTCCCCCTAATTAGAATCGGCGCGCTCTCTACTAGTAAGCACACACGTCCCGATACCCCCCCCTCCCCCCATTCACTTAGAGGGGGAGCATATACAATCAGACAGCCGGCGCAACCAGCAGGCGGCCTGTTTCCTCAGCGCATACCGAAGCGCACAGCGAAAGCGGTGAGAAATGGCCAGGCAGTGGCCACGCGTGCTGTCGCTGTACGGCGTTGCGTGCGACGTAGTATGACACCGCACCGCGATATTCTTACTACCATGTCAAGCCAATGGCGTTTCCAAGCTAGGCGAGTGGACACGATACGATTCCAATGTGTTCCTAAGCTCTGGCTCGGGCGTGCCAAGGAGGTATACATATATATACATGCATATATAATATGACCGCCGTTAATGCATCTACTTACAGACTTGGCCCCCCCTGGATTTTCCGGGGGTTGTGTGCGGCTGCTTGAAGCCGATAATACCTACAGTAACCGATCGAAACTTGTTCAGTTGTCACCGTGGTCCCTAACTACATGGGCCGTATAATGACGCATGCGGAGATCCGATGCATGCATTCGTCGGATCTAATCTCTATACAATAATGCTGCTGAAGATTCCTCCAGCCTACCTCCCCGCTTAGATGACACATCCCACGACAACGCATAGGCACGCACATATGAGTAAGACACTACCCAAAGGGTCGCCGTGGCAAGCAGCGGGAACGTCGCCCCCACATGGCATGGCCCGTTCCCGCCCGCAGGTTTCGTCCCCTAAGTACCTTTAGCCCCCGTGCCCGTGGGGTGCGTGGGCGGCCTCCGGTCCATATCTGCTACCCGTGCCAGCCCACCGACGCGATCCATTGTCCCTCAACCTCCCCGGAGATGAGCTAAATAGCGAAGACTACCAAGTAGCGCTGTTAGGAATCGAACCTATCCTTCTAGTCTCTGCTTAGCCTCTGCCATCTTTGACTCAGCAATCCGTGAAGACCATCTCTTATTATCCCATAACTTGTCGGCTTTCTTCTCTGTAGGCAGGGCGCGGGGGGGGAGGAATTGCTCAAGCCCCATTTGGGACGCAGATTGGCAATACTGCCCGCTGTGGATAGAGATGTTGCTGAGCCCATGCCTCTTCACAAGCCGAAACCACATCGAGGGACGACCAGGTGGTCGGAAGCCTTCGGTATCCATTGTGATTACGCTTTAAACCGGTATGACATCCGATGGACGAAAGTTAACAGGCGAAACAGGCTACTGAATATTATATCGGACGAAGGGGGGATGAGTCTTGACAGGAGCGAATAAACTTCTAGCGTCGTCACGAGTAGTAATACCCGATATATTATCATATAAAATACGTCGAAGCGCGGAGCGCTTCTCCAGGTTTTCGTACCGAAAACCTAGGACCTCTCCGAAGGCTAGGGAAAAAGGGGTAAGTAGGAATCGACGCTTGAACTGCGAAAAGAGATTGATTAGCAATCGACTCTTGATTGAACGGGGAGAAACTGACCTGGATTGAACGGGGAGAAACTGACCTGGATTGAACGGGGAGAAACTGACCTGGATTGAACGGGGAGAAACTGACCTGGATTGAACGGGGAGAAACTGACCTGGATTGAACGGGGAGAAACTAACCTGGATTGATCTGTATATGAATAGGATTAAAATAGGCAGGAAATAAGATTAGGTAGGAAATAGGATTAGGTAGGTGTCGCGTAAAACGTAGACGCCTACGATGCGCTTTGCGGTATGTAGGCATATAAAGGCTGGTTCAACTGCCACGTAATAGTAGGAAATAGTATTAAACGCGTTAGTAGGTAAATAGATGGACGCGTATACTGTGGTTTTATTAAATGCATCTCTTTTAAATAAGTTATACGAACTTTTAACTAATTAAAATAGCGTATTAAGGAGGAGCAGAGCGTACGCGATGCTAGTAACCCAGATAGGTTTATTCGAAAGTGTACTCTACCGAAGACTATAGTACGTACGATAATCTAGGATAAATAAAACTAATATCGCTATATTAATCGAAAGGCAAGGAATCTAATGTAGTTATCGTATCTTAGTTATATCCCTTAGTCGTAGAGATATAGTAATCGCTAGCCCGAAGGCATAAGAGATAAGGGAAGAAAAGGGGTAAAACGCAAAAGTTACCTATTCGGTTATAGCGGTACGACGAAGTAACTTAAGCGCCTATAATTAAAATAAATATACTAATCGAAGAACGGCGAATCTAATAATAAAAACGAATCTTTAATTAAGGTAAAAATAATAAAGATAGTAATCTAGCTATATAATAAACTAAATAATAAGTATAGTATATTCCGTATTTACGGAAGCTATAGTTACTCTATATAGGTATAAGGCCTATCGTAACGTATTACGTAATATATTAAAAGGATATGTCTTACCGTATTACTATAGCCTTCCTAGTTTAATTATACCGTAAGGGATAATTAAATTAAAAGGGGTAGTACGGTATATCCCGATTAATATCTCTCCTTAAAAACTACCGCGAAACTTTATTTCTTCGGCTATTATTTAATTACTACGGCCGCGCCTTTAATTTCTCGTTTAATATTATAAGGAAGCCCCTTTATTACTTTACGGCTAACTTAGCTTAGTTTACCCTCGCCGATCTAACCCGATCGGCGTTCTCCTTTTTTATTTCGGCTACTTTCTTTTTAGTTTCGTTCTAGCCTTTTTAATTAAGGAAATAATAAGGGAACGGGCGCGTCCTAAGGGTTAATTAGGTATTTTCCTTTTACCTATACGGTATAAAGGTTTCCTCCGATTAAAAAGCCCTAATCCTTTCTAATCCAGGGGAAGGAAGGGAGCGCGTTATAACCTTAACGAGGTTATTATAGCGGAGGTTTACGTCCGTTAATACGAAGAAGTAAGAGGGATTAGGTATTAAGGCTATAGAAAAACGATAGACTTCGGCTTACGCGATAAACCGGACGGAGGATTTACGGCTAAGGGGCTCGCCGATCGACGTACTTTACGCCGAGGTTATAACGTTAATAAGGTCGATTTACTTCTAATAATTTACGGCTTACCGAAGGCGCTTAATAATACTAACCCCTCCCTTTAAAACCCGAACGCTATAAAATTACTCTACTACCTCGGCGTATTCTCTTATAGTATTAAGGAAATCGAAGCCCTTATTCTTTTAGGCTTAACGCGCGATTTCGATCGGTCGTTTAAAGATAAGATACGGTAAAATACCGCTTTAAAAACCGTAATTAAAGCTATCTTATTAATCTATTAACGCGACGTAGTAAATAAACTAAAAGGTTATATTAAGCTCGAAATTACCGTCTTTCTATACCCGCCGTAACTAACCGAGCGCGTACGCCGCCCGATCGAAGGCGCCGTCCTTAACTATATTAAAGCTAAATAATTTTCGGGACTTAGGGAGGTATAATATTACGGCGAAGTAAGCTTAGGAAAACTTTAAAGGATCGGTAATAATTCGTTCGGGGTTTATTAAATCCGTATAGATCGTAAAAACTAAAATAAAGGTAGGGTTATCGAAGAAGTATTAACGGATTAGGAAATCGAACGATCCTACCGATCGGTAATCTATCGTTTAATATAGGTTTACTTCGAAGGCCGCCTTCTTATCTTTAAAGTCGTAGCTAGTTATAATATAAAGGACGTAGATATCCTCGTTAATAAGATAATCGTAACGGGCGACGTAAACGAAAAAGTTAATTAAGGCTACTTTCGTTTACTTTTATAACTACTAGTCTATAGTTCGGAATCGATTAACGGATAGCCGGAAGGCCTAGGCTATATCGGATCTTAATTCGATCGAACCTTTTCCCGAATCGTAGTTATCTAAAATACTAAGCTAATACTCCTTTATATTACTCTAGTTATCTTTACTACCGTAAATCTCCCGTAGGAGTTTAATTAAGTCGGTTAAATCGGCGCGACGTACGTTTCTATAAACGGAAGGGAAGGAAAAGGAAAGGGGGATTCCGGCGGAACGGGAAAAAGATATAATAAAAATAAAAAAAAAGAATTAAAAGGAAGGGAAGAAAAAATAATAAGTTAAAGGTAAAAATAAGAATTTAAATTAATAATAAGAAAGGTAGGCTAGAGATTAATAAGAATATAATAATTATAAGGGGGAAGGATTTCGGAATAAAATACCTAAAGAGGAAAAAGAAAGGGAAGGAAGGAGACGTATTAACGATATAATTAGATATACTTTTACGGCTAACGCTTTAGGAAAGCGCGTTTCCCCGCGTACGTATAGAGCTATAATAGGAAACGCGTTAGTTTATAGCTTCCTATTATATACTCTTAATAAAGTAATAAATACGTACGTTCGTAAACTCGTAATTAAACGTAGGTTAAGATAAGTACTATCGAGACTCTCCTAAGTACGGTACTTATAACCTAGGTAACGTATTCGATTCTCTCGTTTTCGTCCGACTTTCCCTCTTATTTCTCGCTATTCCATAATTCCGATTTACTTCCTTTCTTTTATTTCTTAGGTTCTTTATCTTCGTTTTAATTCGTTTTTCGATTTTTCTTAATTCTAGATTTATAATTTCGTCGTCCTTATCTTTCTTTTATATATATATATATATATAATAAACCTTACTATTTAAAAGTAACTCCTTAAACTAGACCGGGCGTCCGTCCTTAAGTTACTCGAGTAGCTAAAGGCTACGGGGATTACCGACGAAGAGATTATCGGGGCGTTTAAAAAGGCTAAGAAGGATAAGAAAAAAGCCGTAACGCATTAACGGGTTAAATCGATACCGCCGCCGGTAAACTTAATAAATAAGTAGCCCGACGAATTCTTTTATTACTTATCCTTTATCGAGAAATTCCGGGACGTTAATCGGTTAATTACTAAGCCTTAGTAGGTATCGTACGCCCCGTACTTCCGCCCGTTAAACTAAAGCCCGAAAGTAATTATCGGCCGGTAGTTCCGGGGTATCGAAGGAATTCGGGTAATAAATTAATAACGCTAAGTATATAGCTCTTAATATTAATAAGATTTATTAATCGAGGGTTATATTAACTAATAGTAAGATAATTTATAACGTCCGGTTTTATTTTCTAGGTAGGCCGGCGGTCGGCCGATATATCGCATAGGAAATTATAAGTAAGGACTTTTAGGAGGTTACCTACCTTTAAAGCTACGTTATATCCCTCGTTCGTTACGTTTAATCCTTTCGCCGCCGGACGTTATTTATAAAGATTAATAATAAGAGCCCGGTTAGCGAATATTTCCGTCGGTTAACGACGGACCTTCGTTACGTCGCTAGCTTATTCGTTTAATAATATAGGATACCTAACGAAGTATCCTATTAGTACTACGAACGCCGGCTCGCCTCTTCCGATACCGTTAAGTACGCGGGTATATAACCTTTCTTTTCCTACCGATCCTTAGCCCCCGATCGTATTTTTAAGTACTCTTACGATATTTACTTCTTTTTTATTAATAGGGTACGCTATAAATTCCGGGACGAGCGGTTTACCTACCTACGGATAAGGATAGATCGTAACCCCCCTTTAATAAAGGATCTAAGCTAAGCCGTATACCTGCTTATAATACGGGTAACGAAAGAGGAGTTATTATTTATAATAAACTCGAAGATCGCTACTTTCCGGGGGTCGGGAAGTAAGTAAGTTTTTAGTTTTCTTAATAACTAATAAGTAAAGGATAAGGTAAGAAGGTAAAGAGAAAAAGAGAGGTATTAATCGGCGGATATACGTTACTTCTGGCTTATTTTTAAACGCGTATTCCTTTCCTTTCCTTTTCTTTTTCTTTTGCTTTTATTAATATAAATTACTTTCCTTACTTTCCCTTTAAATATTAAAATATACCTATATTAAAATATAATAATTACGTAATATTAGGATATTAATATCCCGGATTCCTAACGATAAACGTAAAGGATAACTTATTTAAGTATAAGAACGCGTTAATCGGCGTTAATAATCTATGGAAATATACTTTCTTTTAAGGTAAGAAATAAGGGAGGGGCGTATCTATTAATATTATAATTTAAGGTATTAATTTCGTATATAGGCTACCGGTTTAATAACTATATAGGAATAACTTCTTTCCTTCCTTACTTAGGAAAGCGATTATATATTAAGTTCCTAGGCTTTATTACTCTTCGATCGGTATAGGTAGGTTATTTTAAGGCATTATAGCCTTATCGTATTATGGTAAGAGGGTTATTTATTAAGTCGGGTCGATCTTCTTAGTCCGGGTTTATCGTTAGGTATAACTTCGTATCCTTTAAGCTTCTTATTTAATATTTTTATTATAATTCGTACCTTATCGTTCGGGGCTAATTATTCTTCTTTTTCGTCGTCGATTACCGAGGGCATAGGCTCTAGGCCTTCTTTAACTTAAGGGTCGTTAGTAATCGTCGATTCCTAGTCCTTATATTTAATCGGTAATAAGCGTATAATCTATTCGTCCTCCTCCGGGTTCTTTAGTTCTTAAAACCCGTTAATATTTTAAATAAATTTCCGTAGTTTATGGCCTAAAACCGGATATAATAACGTAACTTTATTCGGTTTTTTAAGCTTATAACGATTATAACCTAAATCTTCGGCGATTAAAT